CGCGTTCGTCGGTGTTAGTTCATAATGCTCTCGTATTACGCATACGTTACAATGTAACCCGAGAGGAGAGAAAGATCGTCGCTCCGCGCTGCGCTTCGCGCGCAAGCTGCAACATGAATTAAGCATCCTCGCATGGCGTAGTGCGCTGGTAAACGCAAAATTGTGACACTGACATGTGTCGTCAATCACAATAGTCGTCGGGTCTCGTTCTCGTCGCGACACTTTGACATCTGCCTCTAATTATAACTAATTGTATCCGACGAGAGAAGACGCTCGCGCGCGCGCGGTGGGTAAACGCTACGGACGATGGTCGATATATCGGAACTTCGCGCACTTGGCAACTCCAAGTTCGGTTTAAACATGCTCTTTTCCATACATTGGACTTTCCGTGAATTTCGACGGAATTGCCGCGCACGGATTAACGTTATTTTCATTGTCCCTTTTGCGGCAGATAATAAGGCCGGAGGCTTAGCTTTTATAGCTGTCTATTGTGTCGCGGAAGTCTCTCTCTCTCTCTCTCTCTCTCTCTCTCTCTCTCTCTCTCTCTCTCTCTCTCTCTCTCTCTCTCTCTCTCTCTCTCTCTCTCTCTCTCTTTTCTCCCCATTTATCTCTTAATGACATTACTTCACGTCGCATTGCGTCAATGTAATATTGGCGGACTTTCAAGCACTTCGATTGCGACGAGTCCCTGCGAATCGAAGTGCCGAAGGCTGAATGCGACTCAAATCTGATTACGCGTCTCTGAAAAGCGTCGCGCGTCTTTTATTTTATATATCGGAGGCAAGTACGAGGGGGACACGTCGTACGTGCGACGGATAAAGCGACGAGCAAAGAAAGGCTCGAGAGCTCGGCCAAATTATCGGGCGAGTTATTCGGCTAACGATCGATAGACGATCGGGATAATCGGATAATTGATAATTAAGATAGACTGAATCTCCGATTTACTCACGAATGGATTCGCGTGAGCTTGATGTAATTCGCAAAATTCGCGGCTTATTTCTGGATTTGTTGACGAATTTGGGCTTGTTCCTTCCACGGAATTCGGGTCGTTCGCTAAATTAAGACTCACAAGGAGATATTCGGCGACTTCTCCGATTCGCTTCGATTCGATGCACCGGCGAAAACTCGCTGTCGCGCACACGTCGACGAAATTCCCGACGAAACGTATTGAGCAACCTCGAGATCTGTTCTTTTCACAATACACCCGCTCGTTTCTGTCTCATCGAACACGACGTCGTCGTCTCGACAGCAGCACACCGAAACAATAGAAGCGGCGTGTGTGGACGAAGACAACTGTCGCGGTCGAGCGTGAAACACGCGATTCGTCATTTCGCCATAACGATATCGCTCTACGAAATGACACTTCGTCCCGGCTGCTCAATCGTTCACCGTGCTGCGATATCGATTTTTATCAGCCGACTGCATGCAATTGTGCTAATAGCGCCGTACGTTACGCCGTATCCAGTGCCGTTTTTATTATTATTATTATTATTATCGACTAGCGAGACTGTAATACATGTCGTAACTCATTGTCAGTTCACTGCATTCGCGTAAATCATGAGCACCTCGCCGCCATTGAGAACTACGGGGAATATCGCGTAAGGAATACTCCTTATTACGAGTAATGCAACCGAGAGAGCGCGGAGAATGCTTTCTAGCGCAAAGAGGAGACGCGAAGATGAAGAGAGAGAAAGGGGGTAACGTTATCCGGTGTATTACAACATTACCGATTATTAATACAATAGATGTTATCGCGATTCCATTCGCCATGACACGTATAAAGTTCTCTGAATATCTCGAGTCTTCGAAGCTCTAAATCAACTAGTCCGCCATCACCATTAACGTTCGCGCCACTTTTCTGCGCGCGCGCGCGATTCTTCGGATAAATTGTTGCAACATTTCCGATTGCAGCTATGATCGGCGTTATCGCGATTCCACTCGTCACGACACGTGAGCAGGTTTTACTGATTATCTCAGACTTAAAAAATCCCAAATCCAACGGTTCGCGTTATCATCAGCACTTGTTAACCTGACGATTGCGGTTTTTTCTCTTTTACGCAAACTTCTCCGAATAAAACGCGTACATCTTGCGAAACTCGAGAAGTTTCACCAGGTGGTACGCTCGCGCCGATATGTGTATCGTCAATTGCTGTGCTGTAACAGCGATTAGTCTGCGCGTCGTGTGTTCAATACACGCGCCACGTCACGGTGTAACCGGCGAACGGGAATATAATAAAGTACAGTAATGGAACACTCGGCGGCGATACGCGCATCAATAAGCTCCCCTTTTCTTCCTCAACGAGGAGATGTCTTCCCTCGCTGTCTCGCTGTTCAATTCGCGAACGTCCTTTATTGCGCTCTCCTCCTGTCGCTTCAATCCTGAGAGGAGCAATTTTCACAGTTGAGAATCGCAACAAGCCAAGTTCACTCACGCATACATTTACATTTTTACTTCTTTCTATATATATATATATATATACACATATATGTATATTTGCATTTTGCACATCATTCGCGGCGTATCTCTTTTTCACAGACGGAATGTTCATACGTGATGCAACCGGCAGAGGAGGAATAATGTCACCGTTGCTGCTTTCGGGCCACGCGCACAGTCATCCACCGTTATTACTCCCATTTCCCGCTCGTTATCGTGATGAAAGTGAATTATTTAGCGGCCGCTAATTAATTAGTACCATCGGGAGCACACGGTTGTCTCATCGCAATATAATTTCCCAGGCTAAATAGCCCCGCACGCGCGCGCGCTCGCTCGCTCGCTCGCTCGCTCGCTCGCTGGCGTGCCGGCTACGTGGGATAATTGCCCGCAGATCCGTATTTCCGCCGTGTCTTCGAAACGCTCTGCTATTACATTATCGCTACCGCTTTTTTCTTCCCTCTCGCGTTCGCTTTTTTGTCGGAGTTACAGCTGGTACCGACATCGATTGCGCGACCCACTGGTGCGCTGCGACGGCGGTACCAGAGGTACCACCGCAGGTACCTCGCCTCATCGCGGATTTGTCCGTACGGAGCAGTACGCTTCGTCGAGCGAATTATTTCATAACGCCAAGTGCTTTTTGCGCGCTCCGAGTTGCACCGCGAAAGTTTCGCCTAAGACTCGTCTCCCAGCCGCTCCAATTGTGCCCTTTTATCGCACGTTTTTTTCTAATGAATATAATTTTGTGGGACTTGTTACTCGGGGATTTTCAGGGTCGCTGAATGCAAATCCGGTGTGAAAAATACGAAATTAAAAATGGCAAAATACAATATCGCCCACGAAATTTTCAAAATCAGCTGAATCCGCTTGAAATTTGTTACTTAAGGGGTTTAGGTTGAGGTTGCTCATTACAAATTCGTTATCGCCAAATTCGGAATGCCAGAGCTGTGACGGATATGTACGGCAAGGGTCGGTTGACACCGGTCAGGTTGCCCGGTTCTCAAGCACAGTCAGTTATAGCGATATTGCTAGCCGCCAGCAAGTCGCCATAATTATGTTCGTCATTTTGAATTTTGGATTTTCCACGCCGAATTCATACGCAGCAATTTCAAAAACGCCCGAGTAACAAACAATAAGTTCAAGCGAATTCGACTAATTTCGAAAATTCCGTCCGCCATTTTGAATTTTGTATGTTTCACACCGGATTTGTATTCAGCGACCCCAAAAATTCCCAGCTAATGATTTTGAAGTATACGTTATTACTTAAAATTTCATGTAAACGAATTTATTCTCTAAAAACGGCAGTTTTGTTCGGTATATGCATATCAATAACAAATTACTTATTTGAAATGACTCTAAAAGTCGATGTATTAGTTGGAGGAATATTTTAGTAGTCCAACAATACCGAATGTGCTAAAGAAATATGTGAAAAATTTAAATTATTGGAAAAACAAGCTCGAATGATAGGTGACACTCTGAGAGGGCCACTATGCAGCAAAGGGTTAATCGATCTTTCGACCTGCCATGAAGAAGCGGACAGGGATCGCATATTTCTTTGCGATTCTATTCTAGAAAAATTCGAAATGAGCACACTCGGAAGCGTTCCATCGCGCGTCATCGTTTTCCACGACGATTTTATGAAATGCAACTCGTCCTTCTGTTTCGCTTTCCGTTTTCTTTTTTTTTTTTTCGTATAAATAACTACAAAGTACCGTCAATTACGTTATAGAAGGAGCGCCGTATCGATACGACTATGGCAACTCCGTAAATAATCAGTTGCACGCAACGTAACGCGATAAAGGCATGCGCGCGCGCGCGTGCAACGTGTATGCGAATTTATCGCGTTGCAATAATTATCCGATCCGCGGAATTATCCCCGTAGCCGTACGCGGATGCGCATATGTAAGTCACATGCGATTATTATACGCTGACTCTCTATATTTCTGTCTCTCTCCTCTCTCCTCTCTATTTGCGAGGAGGCCGACGTGAAACTCGACGCGTCGACTGTTTAATCGGGGAGAAATTGAACGTTCTGTTTAAAGTGGCATTCTCCTCGCGATCGACGTGTCTCGTACTCGAATTAGTCATGTGCTGAGCGTCTCGATTATTCTTACTGCAAACGTGCGCACTTTTCGCTCGCGCGAATTCCCAGTCGCGCGATCGTGCGCGGAAACACGTCGGGGCGAAAACTCGAAGAGATTTTTACTTAACGCCTGAAAACTTCTTCTCGAACTTTCGTACGAGCGTACTCGCGAGAAGTCGCATTATAAATTCCGCTTTAATTGACATGACGAATTGCGCGCGATACGAGCTAAGTTGGATGATGAAAATTCTGGAATTCATGCGGAATCGTGACGAGTGTGCACGAGGAGCGAGGACGAAGGCGAGCGGGATCGATCTCTCGAAAAAAAAAAAATTCCGACTGCGTCCGACGGCGGACGGCCTTTTCATATCAAGTTGGGAATCCCTGATGGTGATAAGAACACGCACGCACTCGCTCACGCGCTCATTCACGTTTTCGCAGCGAACATTGAATCCATAATAATCGAGACGGCTTTCTGTGTTGCAGCGCTGGAGACCCGCCCCCAGTCATGTAATGCCACGAGGACCCGGCCAAATTAGCGGAATTCGGTAGTGAATATTTTCTCGCGACTTGAAGAACCTCGTTCCCGTTGAAATTTCGTCCCGCGAGTCTGACCCCGCGGAGACTGGGTGATGAACTCGGGGTACAAGCGGAAGAGCGCCGTTGAAAGATGTTCCGCTCCAAGATTCGCATTCACACGTGTCAAGTGATATTGCTGACGTCGCTGGTATGGTTCCTGGTCGACGTCATGGTGCTGATGCTCTATTCGGACTGCATCGGAGGGTCCGGATGGGGTTGTTCGGATAACAAGCAGCAGCAGCAGCAGGCGCTGTCGGAGGAGCCAATTCAACGGTTCCATCCGAAGAACCTGGTGAGGGAGACGTCGTCCAAGCAAGAGTCCAGCAAGAGACAATATCCGCAGTCAAGGTTGCAACTGTGGCGGCCGGCGAAGGTCGTCCGTGAGAATAAAGGCAGCCCCGGCGAGATGGGAGCGGCTGTGCATATTCCGCCGGAGAACGAAGCCAAGCAGCAAGAGCTGTTTAAGCTGAATCAGTTTAATTTGATGGCCAGCGACATGATCTCCTTAAATCGATCTTTAAAGGACATCAGGCTCGACGGCTGTAAGAATAAGAAGTACAATAAGTATCTTCCAGACACAAGTATCGTCATAGTTTTCCATAACGAGGCGTGGACCACTCTGCTGAGGACGGTTTGGTCCGTCATAAACAGATCTCCCCGATCATTGCTGAAGGAGGTTATCCTGGTGGACGATGCGAGTGAGCGCGGTACGTTTTTCAGTTTTCTCTTGCGAAAAGTCGACGTATTGATTCGCAAATTGCTCGTCATGCATCGGAAAACGATGAATGACTCAGAGCGCGCGCTTGAACGAGAATATCAACGTCGGTGTCGTAACAAATTGTCGCGATTAAATATTCTTGTTGCAAGAGATAGAACTTGCGTGAACTAGTGACGTGTGAATATTGCTTTTCTAGATCACCTGAAGCAAGACTTAGAAGACTACATAGCGACATTACCAGTTCCCACGTATGTATATCGCACCGAGAAGAGGTCGGGCTTGATAAGAGCGAGGCTTCTCGGAGCGAAGCACGTGAAAGGACAAGTGATCACATTCCTAGATGCGCATTGCGAATGTACCGAGGGCTGGTTAGAGCCGCTGCTCTCGAGAATCGCGAACGACAGACATACTGTGGTTTGCCCGATCATAGATGTGATCAGCGACGATACCTTCGAGTACATCCCGGCCAGTGACATGACGTGGGGAGGCTTCAATTGGAAACTGAACTTCAGATGGTACATTGACAACGTTACGAGTATATCGCGAGCTCCTAATTATATTATCAGCATGACCCTTTATTCCGATCGAGCCGGTCCGATCTCGCGTCTTGTGAAAAAGGTACAGACGAGAGAAATTTGAGTTGCAAATGCGAAAATCGGCTTGCATATTTTGTATGCGAATAGCTAATCTATAGATAGCTAAAGCTACATGGAATATTAAATCTTGATCGATCCGTATACACATACATATATATATATATACACACACGCGCACACACACACATTGTTCTTGCAAATTATTGCTAGATTCATAAATCTAATGGTTTAGTCGCGACGTCCATAAATCTACTAACCCTCGTTCTAATTCGGTTACATTTACATACATAATGATCCGGAACGTAATCAATGGCGGCGACTCTCTTTCTCTCCCTCACATGTATACGTACGTAACTACTACGGGCTCGACTACCGTCGAGCTCACAGATTTACGGTCCCCGTATTCATCGCGTACGTACAGAGTGCGTCCTGCACTGTTGTGTTTAATTAAATTTTAATTTATCTGTCGCATCGTGGATTTCGCAAAACAAAACGCGCCGACAGTCTGCTAAATCGCCAGTCATTCTCCGCATTTGCAATATCTAATTTCCCAACAACGAATTTCCGCTTAATGTTATTTCAATGCTTCGCTTAATAAGGTACAGAGTCGCGCAGAGAGAGATGGACAGAAGAAACAGCGACCGAACAGCACCGCTGCGAACGCCGACCATGGCCGGCGGATTATTCTCCATCGACAAGGAGTACTTCTATGAGTTGGGCGCGTACGACGAAGGCATGGACATCTGGGGCGGTGAAAATCTCGAGATGAGTTTCCGAGTAAGTTCTTTTCTCCCTTTCTCTCTCCTTCTCCTCTCTCCCTCCCTGCTCCCCCCCCCCTCTCTCTCTCTCTCTCTCATTCTCTCTAAGATGTGATAAGAAGAGAGATTGCCAATTTGGTGCGATAAAAATTATACAGCATGCTTTTCGGCTTACACTGAACAAAAAATCGCGTAGTGTAGACGGTAAATATAACTATTTCGATTTTTATATAACAAGAGGAGACCGAGTTCCCTAAAGAGGTTTCCTCTCTCGGAAAGGGTGTCGTCGCCATAAAACTTTCGCTGTTATTTGTGAAGTCATAAGTGCCTTGTAGGTGTGGCAATGTGGCGGAACATTAGAAATCAGTCCGTGCTCACATGTGGGACATGTATTCCGGGACAAGAGCCCATATACATTCCCCGGCGGTGTCAGCAAGATAGTCCTGCACAATGCGGCCAGGGTGGCCGAAGTCTGGATGGATGAGTGGAGAGATTTTTACTATGCCATGAATCCAGGTTAGATAATCTCAAGTGTACCGTTTCATTCATTTTGCGATGTTGTTGGTTGTACTACGTTGCGCTAAATGATGCCGTCGTTATGCACATTAACTATATACGTGTCTCTGATGCAACATACCCAACCAATCGATACCTACAGTAGTGTAACATCGAAATTTTTATTATCCGCATACATATAGTCTCTCTGTGTGTCACGAACTCCCGACTCTCTTCGAAAATTATCTTCACGACGTTTCGAATCGATGAAAAATTTACGATCGAGTTATAATAAGATACGCATTTTTCACCGTTAAAGATGGTCTTTTTTCGAAACTTTTATATACTGGTATATAACTGGTGTTCACGTAACATTCATATCGGGAGCAACGATATTATTTAATTATAAATATCTGGAAGACTGCATACACATCTGACAGCTGAGCGAGAGTATTTCGTACTTGACGGGTATCTGATATACAAAGAATCTACATAACATATACTTCATCGAACTGTTATACTTCGTATAGCTATGTAAGTTGCAATTGTGTTTTTGAATGCGTTATTTCTTGTTTAACCAGTTGTCTCTCCATTTCACTAATAACCGGCAGCAGTGCTGCGTTAATATATCTTTATAAAGTGACTTTTTAACACGCCACTAGTTACAGATAGGGTCAATCTGTCCAATTCACGTTCGGACACGTTCCGCATAATTATCTTCAGTCTTCAGTTTAGCGCATTCAGATACGCGCTGTGTGATAAACCGGAAGCTGAAGATAGCAATGTCCGGATTCGCACCGGCACGAAAACCGGAGAGGCGACAGCTTTAGCTACGGAGATACGTCGTAATATTAGTTGACAGTCTTCTATGTTTGTTTTATGCACATTGTGTGATTTTATATTGTGTTGTGTGTATACTTATATACTAATACTCTCATACGTAACATCAGTAGTTGTATTTGCGTTACATTACGTATCCGCTATATTAATAATCGGCGCGATAATCGAGATCTCTGACCGTAGTAATTGCTCCCCACTGTAGAATCTCTACGTCGATATCGTCGTGCCGAGCATCTTTATCCACCTCCTTTTCCATTCACACATTCAGACTCTGCCTTTCGGATCGATAAACATAAGCTTGGACGAAGCGACATTCAGAAATAGCCACGGGGCATCATAAACATTAACGTTGAATGGACGTTGGAAGTGATGTTTCGTTTGTGTCCTCCTGGTACACACACGCGCGAACCGCTGGTTGTAGTCTTAACCACTCATCCATCCAGCCGACTAACCAATTGAAATTTGCGCTTGCTTCTTTTTAATGGTATACTTTTTATCAAGCCATATTGTAGGTGCCGCAAAAGGAGAGAGAGCGAGCTCTAAATCCACCACGAGGCGCAGAAAAATTGCAATACATACATTCTTGTTCTTCTCCTTCTGTTGTTTTTTTTCTCCTTTTCTTATTTTTGTTGTCATTCCTCTCGTTTCTTATCATGTTATACGTGCCTAAGCCGTCGCAACTGCTAACACAACTAACAGAACTGAGTTGGTTAGATATGGATGTGTGGTGGGACATTGGAAATAGCGACATGCTCGCACGTCGGGCATGTATTCCGTAAGTCGACCCCGTATACCTTCCCGGGTGGTACGAGCAAGATAGTCAACCACAACAATGCGCGGCTCGCAGAAGTTTGGTTGGACCAATGGAAGTACTTCTATTACAACATTAATCCAGGTAGCACTAACCACTGGCCTACCTCATAAAAAAAAATAAAAAGAACAAAGAAAAGAAAGATCTCTATCGCATCTACGTATCTCCTCGCATGTAGTATCCTTGCTCCGAGCATCCTTTTTCTTATGCATCAGTCGCTTTTATCATGGTAACGGCATGTTTTCGCTGGATATCTGGATGGGATCTGTGCATGATGTCTATCGTTCGTTTCTGCTATCGGTTCACGGTTCCGGCTACTCTCTTTCTCTTTTTCTCTCTACTTCTATCTATCAGATACCCGTTAACATTGATTTAAGACGTTGTCGCTGTTACGTTCAACCATAACGTCGTTAGTCTATGATCATTAATAGTAATTGGATGAACTGGACACAGTATGTACAGTAGCACAATTATGCAAGACGTTCGAAGGTGTGTACTCTTGGAGTAGAAAATAAGTCACGCACAGCGCACTGGTTCCTTGTGCTGACATATTGTTGCGATTGAAGGGATGTTGTCGAAGCGAGTTACTGAATAGTAGACGACTAACATGAATACGACGAGACAAATTCATACTTCTGGTATCTCGATCTAATCGGTAATGCAAAATCGCACACTCGCGCGCAAAACAAATGTACAGAACATTGGCAAAGCACGTTATCTCTCTGCACGCTACATTCACGAACATGTGTGAAGGCAGTTGAAGGCGTTAATTAGAAATCGACGCTACCTCTCGCGACTTTCTCACATCTTTTCAAGATTGTCAGAAGTATATTATGCGTTGCGTAATTGCACAGTTATTTATTTATATTTTTTTCTCCTTTTATGAGCAAGCATATATACGGCATTGATGTATCATACAATTACCATGACAAATTTCTCTGCTTCGGCACTGAAATTCTGACAAGTCTCTACCTCTGTCGATCGATTTACGTGCAAGCACAATATGTAAAAATTGAACATAATGAATAAGTCACCGTGACGGTGGCCGCTTTAGGACCGATTACAGTAGGATCTGTGCTTTGCAGGCGCGCGGAACGTCGACGTCGGTGACGTGTCCGAACGAGTGAAGCTCAGAGAGCGGCTCAAGTGCAAGAGCTTCAGATGGTACTTGGAGAATATATATCCGGAATCACCGATGCCGTTAGACTATTACTATCTCGGTGACGTAAAGAATGTTGAAGCGCAAACCTGCCTGGATACGATGGGCAGGAGGACCGGGGAGAACGTTGGGATTAGTTATTGCCATGGATTAGGTGGCAATCAGGTTCGTATTAGATTTAGAAATGGTTCCTGAAGTTAGGATACATGAACGAAATTAAAATATATTCTGAGATATAACGCCTTACCAATGAAAAACCGAGGAGATAAGATTGCTGCTGCATTGAGAAATCTCTCACATCTGACAAATACTGTATGATGATACAGGTATTCGCTTATACTAAACGGCAACAGATAATGTCCGACGATATGTGCCTTGATGCAGCTAGTCCGCAAGGTCCTGTGAAGATCGTACGATGTCATGGAATGGGTGGTAATCAAGCGTGGGTGTACAACGACGAGGTAATGCGAAAACAGATCTGGAGGATGTGGAAGAGACTTTACGTGCGAGAACGATTCGCTCGGCTTACTGATCGCACATATGCTTTTACTTTTTCAGACCAAGATGATCAGGCACACGAACACGGGCCATTGCCTGTCGAAACCCCACTCGGGCGACGCGTCGCAACCTGTCCTGACGCAATGCGATCCCAACAACATCGGTCAAAAGTGGATCATGCGTAGCAAATTCAAGTGGCAAGCCAGCTAATATACGAGTCGACCCTAAACACAAGATTTACACGCAATATTTGTTAATATATTTAATAATAACAGAGAGACAAACTGTTTACTCCGCGAGGTATTCGAGTGCGCGAACGAGAGGCAAAGAAAGGAAAAGAAAAGAAGATAATCGAATATTACAATCAGTGGAGAAGAAACTGTTTACATCTAATAGGCATCTAATTGGCAATCTAGATGGCATCATGGACGCAATGACGAGGGGACGCAGTGCACAAGGAAAGTCAACTGTCGTTCGAGCACGAAATCGGGCAATCGGAGATCGTAGTTAATTCGTTTTATCCCGTAGGATTTAATTACCAATGATAGCAGCATCGGGAATTTGTTGCCATTCCTTGTGCTATGCATTGATCCAACACGCACGAGTGACAGGAATAATCTCCGATCGCGTGTGAATACGAGTGATACTAAATAACGAACAAGTGAACGTTTTCTTTTTCTTCTTTCCTGACTTAAGCAGCAGAGAAGAAAGCATATCAGACCACTGTTATAAATAATTGTTGATATAAAAGAGAAAAAGCGCGCGAGAGAGAGAGAGAGAGAGAGAGATTTGATAACTTTCGGATGAGTGCAATGACGGATGACTGACCGTTAGATGCGGTGTGATGATGAAATGTGAATATGTTAAGATACATAGTACGTTCGGTCATTTTATCCTGATATTATGACTGAGCGGAATGCTGGAATGTTAGTGAAAAATCAATGTGACGCTGAACTGCGCGATAATATAGAAATGATTATTGTACAATTCACTAATTAATTAAGGAAGAGCACCGGACCTTTTTATATTCATGTTTCTGACAGTTCCTCGTTGCATCTCGTTCGTATAATTTAACTGTTACGCATCATTTCACACGAAGAATGTACTTATCTGAGAATGCCTGAATTATTCATAGAGCGAGGTTACAACCTTACATTTTGTCGGGTTTTAGTTAGACGCGTACGCGATTGTCGACTGTCGTTAAGGAGACCTAACACGCGATTTATGAATGTACAGAGTGTCTTCCATGTTTTAACGATATCAAACGAATATTTTTCCGGTTTTATGATTAGCACACATTTGCGAATTATATTTGTTAATCGTGCGTGTCCAAAAAAATACTTAACCGGTGAGTGATGGTGCCATAAAAAAGATTATGCCGTTTGATTGTCTCTAAGCAAACGTCGCGGTGCCTTTGAACGTGTGACTGGGCTAAATTCAAATAGAAGATCCGTAATAACTGCAAGTTGAAGGAATCACGTTTTATTTGAGCGCGGTGTTTTATAGCGCGACCACTCACCAGGATTAAACGGTAAATTTAGTTTAAATATGTGACATTGATGTCAAAAGAGAATTACAATCATAATGTTCTACAAGATTGACAAACAGAATTGTTCGTTTTTCAAGTTTCAGCACCATTGTCTTTAACATTATAATTAGCAATCGAACATCTTTCTTTTTTATTTGTACGGATCATAGAATTTATAAAAGTTTTGCTCAACATTAAAGATTCATGTATGATCAAATATGTTGTGAACAAAAATATGTTCAATGCATATTTCATTTGCGCTCTCGCGAGACAACTTCCGCTATAACTTTAAGATTAATTCCTTCCCTCGTAAATGCTATTGAATTGACGAATATACTCATTATTCCTATGTAATTTAAAAGAATGTTATGGTGATGGTGCAACGTTAATAGCTTGATACATTTGTCTTCTAAGACTGGTATTTTATTTTTGTATAGAACACGAATTGACTTTTCTATATACATGTGTGTATATATATAACATAGATACATACACATGTGTGTATGTATATGTGTTGATAAGTGATGTATTAGTCCACCTTATAGAAAAGTGATAAAATGTTCGATCGCGTTATATAGCTCGTTAAAGTGGCGAGAAACAATAGTCAATAGCATCTCTTTGCAAACATGTCATTCCTTGCAGATTAGGTCTATATTTGATTTCATTTTACGAGAAGTGCTATTATAAACGAATAAAATTGCTAATGAACAATTACCACATTTTAATCATTTGCTCAATGAACAATCGCGAGTTTCACGGTTCAATTGATTATAATAGCAGAACAGATTCAAAACATTATAATAATCTGAACTGCGTAAGCATAATCTTTTGAAGACAATAAAATAATTTGTATATTCTTATTGAGTTTACATGATGAATGTCTCTATATTATATTATGTATAACATATATATATATATATATATATATATATCTCGTTATATATATTGCGTTTTATCATATATTTAAAGCATTTTCTTTTTATACATAGATATGCATAAAATTTGTAAAAATGAATGTATGCATTAACTATATTAAAATTTATCTCTTGTTTTCTCTTTTCAAAATGTAATTAAAACCAACTAAAACAAAGATGCTCCTAAAAGTATCTAATTGTTAAAATTGTACTATATATATATATAACCTCTAGGACATAGTTATATATGATAGATATAATTACATTTTAGAATAAATAATTAGTTTCATTATATATACGAACTGTTGGTATCATTTCAATATTTATAGTTCCTTTATGATCGTTCAATAGTTTGATCATAATTTCACAAAACCACACACATGCACTTAAATTTATAACTTCTTAATATTAATTATATAAAAACTTCATATTCATTTTATATAAATATTGTTTTATGAATAAAAAAGAAAATGAAACCACTTATCTCAAATTTCATATGTAATAGGAGTTTGGTAAATGGATTCATGGAAATGGTTTGGTGAAATTTATCATGGTTACACAAACCAATTGAAAACAATTGGTTTATATTAAAGAAAATCACAAAATTGTTGGAAATATATTTATTATGTATTTACTGTTCCTTCACCTCACGTAATCGACGTACTGCTGACCTCACTGAAGCGGCAGCTGTTGTAGAATATACCCAAGCACCACCAGCAACTGTCCTCTTGCAGCGTTTGCATGACCAGATGCCAACTACACTACGTTTCATCGCATCCTAGAAAAACAGAACAATAATTAGTTTCATATTCTGTTGCAAAATTACATAAAACTCTTTTGAATCTGTCCTATTATTGTTCAGATACATGTTTGAAATTATAAATAAAACAAGATAAATATCACATTTGTGGCGCATAATATATAACAAACAATATAGACAAGCACCAATTGTATTTCTTATATTACGTTTTAGTATTTGATATTTTTAAAACAACTAATTTTTGTTTGTCCTAATGCATGAATGATTTTGGTTCAGCGTATATTTTTATAAATTAGATTGTGTAAGAAATCTGAAAAGAAACTAACTAGTTTGGGATAAGAAAGCAAATAAAATTTACCAATTCTTTATTACTTACTTTGCCACAAAATGTGCAGGTATATTTACTGTGCTGCGTGATTTCCATTTTTTTAACCATTTTCCTGAGAGAAGCACCATAACGAGTGCCATATTTACCGGTGATTCCAACCTTCTTTGTACGTTTCGCCTATTAAAAATTAAACAAGCTTTGAATAAATATACTAAATTTATAATTTGTAAATGCTGTAACGAATATACAACAATATAAATAATCGACTTCTAGAACTGGGCAAAAGTAACCTCATTGTAACGTTAGTTTCATGTAGCTATATGTAAGTAATATTTTACACTCAAATATACATGTGAAACACTTCACAAGAGCGATCATTTTCGTTGGACAATTAGTATCGTGCATATTTCAACAAGATTTAGCATTTATATCTTGATAAAATGTCTTACCATTTTGAAGATACGGAAAACACTCGTGGAAAGAACCGGAAGGAATTCTCAATTGTCCTCAGTGCTTAGTTCGTCAAAATTAAAGATGGTGGCCGACGAATCGATATTCGATACTATTACTAGGATCGATTGTATTCTCGATGTACTCAAAATCGATTAATAATCGCTGTTCAGTTTTGAATTACTATGAACTTAAAGGATTATTTGATTTATTGAATATATAATAGATAATTTATTTGAAAATAAAAAGTCACCTGATTCTCTTTCAGTCGTTCTACACGAAAATAAAAAGTTCATACGACTACGTCTAACTTATCGTTGATTCGTACTACGACTTTTATTCTTCGTCCAAGATGGTGGCGGATCGTAGCGGATACTTCGAAAGTAATAAAAAGTAAGAGGTCTAACCATCAAGAGAATCAAAAGTGATACGAACGAATTTTTTGTTCTTCGATAAGAAAGATAATAGGAAATAAAAAATATCAATCTTTGGAATTTGAAAGTATGGGAGATTTTTGGCAGAGAAAGATCGAGCATCGATTCACTACTGATCGATTATCGTTCATCCCTACTTTGGACAACTGATCCTTCCCCTTCGCTTTCCCCTGGGGCACTCCGCGACCGATCGGGAGTCCGCTTCCAATGATATGGACGATACAGGCTGGTTTTACAAATATCTCGTAAAGATGCTTCATTGTGACATTTGTGAGCAGTAAAGGGAGTACGCCTTGGGCTCGGGATGCTTATTGCAAGATTAAGGACTTTCGATCACCGTCGCCTCGTTCCTTTCTGTCGTTAACAGTGTCGATAGCGGTCAGTCTGCATCTAGAAGACGATATACATATATATATAGTCCTGTTGACATGGCCGTCGTCGAGGAGTTTGATTACCTGTGCCGCCTGTGCGCGGCCAAAACTGGCATTTTGATGGGCCTGCCAATTTTCGAGGCCGGCAACCAGATGCGCAACATTGACAAGAAAATAGCAGCCTGCCTACCGGTTCAGGTAAAATACGATGATCGTGCGATCGCAGTCCTCGGATCAGTATTGGCAGCTTAAATCTGATTCTGGCTTTGATACTTGTATCCCGATACTTGTATTTATTGCCACATAAACACAATTCCTAGTTAACAATTGTTTGATTTCTAAAGTGATACATATGTCTCTTTATTTATTTATTTATTTATGCTTCTTTTTATTTATTGTATAAATAGAACAAGAATACCAGTTTTACTTATTGCTTCAATTCTTGTTGCTTTATTTTCCAAGTTTGTTATTTTGAATAGGAATAGAATACAATTATCGATGTTTATGTTCATATTGCTAAAACTATTAGAATAAATAGTATTTATTGAATTATTCAGAATATAATACTTTGCACTTTGAAAGCTAATAATATAATTTTACAAATTTCAGGTATCACTGACAGATCAGTTACCCAAAGTGGTTTGCGAAGAATGTGCGTTCAAATTAGATCAGCTGTTTGATTTTCGTGAAAAATGCCTGCATACAGAAGGAATGTTCATGGAAATGTTGAAAGAAATTGGAAAAGAAGAGGTTGTGCACATAGCAGAGCATGATTTGGCTAGTATAGAAGATATAGGTACAATTCAGAGAGATTTAAACAACATGCAGAATAATATTGAAAATGTACAAAGTCATTCTGCTGTGGCTCATGAGACTGCGGAACCTACTATACATACGATGCAAGTGATGGATGAAATGGATCTGGCTGGTGGTGAACAGGTAGTTTCCCAAGAAGAGATTGGTCAACAAGATGCTGAAATTCAAGTTGCAGCCATTGATTGCTTGGATGGAGATACTGTGAGAATGGTTGATGAACACATACGAGAGGTAATTGCGACAATTTATTTTTCTTGTAAATTAAACAGATTTGGTAAATACTTATATATTGTGTCTTCTATTCTCTATATTTATATGATACAATAATGTCATACTTAGGAAAGAATAAATTTTTCATACAACTATTGGCACCTCCTGTGAGTTTCAGTTCAATTATAGCTTATTTTCTAGGTTTCAAATCATCAAATTGCAATGCATTTGGAAGGTGATATGACTGTAGTTGGAAATCTGACAGTAAGTGGTCACTTGAGTCAGTTAGGGATAAATTATGTTACTTCTATCAGTCCTGAAGATCAGAGTCAAGAACAAATAGTGCATTACTGCGAAAATGTAAAATATGAGACAGTGCCAATAAAGGAGGAATACCTGCAGAATAGATTGCAAGAGAGATTAGCTACGGAAGAACCACATGTACTTGAAAATAATGTAAGTCTATTATGTTGAACAATATTCAATTAAAAAAGAGATTATCCCAACCTGAAACACATGGAGAACAAAAAATATAGATATAACACACATGTAAAAATAGAGGTCACTTATATAACAAGTTGCTTTGCAATTCAGGTACCAGCAGACAATTTCGCTTCGTCTCAGGAAGAAAAGGACGAGATGGAAAAATCCTGTATGAAACAAGAACGTAGTCATGTGAATTCCGTGAATTCTCTACCGTCAACAAGTCAGGTGAACGGTGTACCATGCGAGATAATGGTAAAGTACACGAAGAGGACGAAGGACGCATTGTTGAAGTCTACACTCGACAGTCCCACCGTAGACGAGACCGGCTCGCACTGGTACGTGTGTCCATTCTGCAATGAAGCTGCCTTGGAAACAACCAATTTAGCTGCACACTTCGAACAACACTTTTGCTGCTGCACCTGTGGCTTATATTTCACTAGTGTCGAAGTATTAAATTTACACAAAGAACAATGCGATGTATATAAGGACAAAGTAGCCAATGAAGAGAAGCACGACGCACAATTAGATGTAACTGCGCCGGCTACAACAGAGAGCAATGACAATCAAGCTGAGCAACAGAAAAAGCAATCGACGGTGAGGCAGAAATGGACGCCGAAGGTATGCGCGCAATGTGGCAAGCAGTACCGGACGAATTACAAGCTGCAGGAGCATATGCGCAAACATACCGGCGAGAAACCGTTTCAATGCCTGACCTGCGAGAAAGCGTTCCGCAGCAAAATCGGTCTCGCACAGCACACGGCCACGCACACAGGCCAATTCGACTACAATTGTTCCACCTGTGGCAAGGGCTTTCAGTGCAAGAGTTATCTCATCGTACACCAGAGAGTGCACTCAGATCTAAAACCATATCCGTGTAACACATGCGGCCAGAACTTCAAGACGAAGCAGTCACTATTGGATCATCAGAATCGTCATCTCGGAGTGAAACCGTACATGTGCGAGATCTGTGGTCGCGGTTTCATCACAAAGGGCCTTTGCAAGAGCCACCAGAAGATACACTCCGGTATGGACAATCGTCAATACCCGTGTGTGGTGTGCAATAAGATGTTCGTCAGCAAGAGTTATCTTAATACACATCTCCGCATACATACTGGCGAAAAGCCATACCTGTGCGAAGTGTGTGGCAAGGGATTCTTGACGCGTGTCGATCTTAAGATACACTCGACCATGCACACCGGCGAGAAGAGCTTCAAGTGCGACGTATGCGGCAAGGTGTTCGCCCGACGTGCGGCCCTACGTTGCCATCGTAGATCGCACACTGGCGAGCGGCCTTATAGATGCGACGTTTGCGGCAAAACGTTTACACAATTCAGCCCGATGGCGATACACAAGCGTCTGCATACCGGCGAACGGCCGTACGAATGCGACGCATGTGGTAAAGCTTTCGTGTCCAGGTCGACTATGATGTGCCACCGAAAGAAGCATCATGTTACAACGACAACCCCCGTACAGAAAGACTCACTCGTGCCGGAAGCTACCGAGGTGAAGATTGACCTCTCGTCCGAGATTCTAGCTAGGAATTCGCAAGACGGCGTACAGATCACCGCAGATTGAAGTCGCGAGCGTGGACACAACGTGTGTAGAATCTGTCGCGTGATTCGTACGAAGCAAACGAGTCGGAAATCCGGGTGCTAAGAAAACTTCATCCGCATTTGTTAGATAACGAACTGCGCTTTTTCGTCACCATAGTGTATTCTACAGTATGTACATTCAGAAACTTTATATAAAGATATTTTTACAAGGGATAGTTCTTGTGGTATGTAAGAATATACAATTGAAAGTTTTATGCCGAAACATTATATATACATATATTATAACCAGATCATCGAGACACGACATGAATTTTGTCTTTCACGTAGACGAAAGAAAATGTTGTGATTTTCTGGTGAACTCATCTAAATGAGAACCTTATGCAATTTTCTTTTTTTTTTTCCCATAAACGATATATTATACAGTATATTTCAATAATGTATGCTTGTGTAAATACATATCTTTTGTATCTATTTTTCCGCATTGGGTTCTGATTGAATGCCTAATAATTTTACCCTAGAGTGGGCATGAGCGAATAAATGCGTTATTTATAACTTTTAAGAGATTGAGACAAGATTATTTAACGGTAATAGATATTTCGGCTTATATTTCGAAACAGGTTTTAAGATGTATCGCAAATGTTGGAGGAAATGTTGATTATTTCTATCTTAACCCGTAACTGCTGTTCTCCGGTCAATTTGACCATTGCACTATTTGAAATTTAAATAATGCGGTTAATTTTCTAGTTGCGTATTCATCCGTCAGTGTATTTTCTTACATTCTGAATGTCAGTCGACTGATATACGCGCAGTTGTGTGGTTGTGTTATTTGTCAAGATATTCATCAATTCCGTTTCCTACCGGTCAATTTGACCGGTGAACAGCAGTTACGGGTTAACATCAGTTCCTTTTGCAAGATAAAGGGATTTTAATGAAACTTTTTCTTGAATAATGAAAGAATAATAAGACAACTACATTTTATATAGAATACCAAGTAGTTCATTATTGAACAAACAACTTTAGATATTTGAGATGATTTAATTGTTTGAATATAATGTAAAACATGGTTTATGTAAAAGTACTTCATTTTATGATTTCATATCGTGAATAATATAAGTTCTGAATTAGAATATATGAAATTGTAAGGAGAAAATTTATCTACAAACGATTCGGATTATATTGATATATCATACAAAAATGGATTGATTTTACTTTTAAAAAAACGTGAGGGTTTTTCGCATATAAAATTTATCAAATCATTACATTTTTTACGTCAAAATCTTCATTTTTATCATAAAAAAAAAAACAGAATATTAACATCGTTATAAGAAAAGTAAGATATTTTCTTAAATATAATAACGAAATATAATTTAAATGAATCAAAGGCTGATGCGCTCTTACGACGAAACATATAACTAACGACGATGCTTTTGCATCTATTGAATATTTTTGCGGAATCTTAACGAAGATCCAAGAAAATACCTTGTATAATTATCCTTAATATTGTATACTTCTCTATGCAGCTGTATCCCCGGAATTTTATTATCTCGAACGAAATCAGCTTTCCGCACTACAAAAAGTAGAAATTGTGATATATGATAAAATAATTAAATATATTATTTGTAAAATTGCGACGAATTGTAATGTTATTATTAACACAAACTCTTGGAGAAAAATATAAAGAGCTTTACAGACACTATCGTTGTTCTTCAGTTCTCCAGGATTTCCATGGATTTATACTTGATGTTGCTGTTCGCCGGTCGACAAGCACGATCGAATGGAATTGATTAGAACAGATCTTACTAAAAACTCGTCTTTATTTTCACAGTACGAAATAATAATACGAATCGCCTGAGTCGCTTCGATACGTACCACAACAATACGTAACTATTTGACTCTATACCAGCAGCAATAACGTATCACTGATATAATGTACGTTTTGGACAGTATATGTGTGCATATATATGTGTGTGTATGTTCTCGTGTGCATGTGTGTGTATGTATACCGGCGTACTGAAAAATGGACATCAATGTAGTATGTTCAGATTTCTTTTCCTTTTTTTGAAATACTCGTTTTATTATCTTAAGTTGGATGCAACTGTCTGTATGTGCACAATGAGTGTACATATTGTTAACAACCTTTATAATAACTGCTGCTGGTTTTTGCCTATTCTACAATTGACAACGAATATTTATTTCTATAATTTGACAATTAACTACCTACGCAAGGCATCGATGACATAATTTAATTTAATAATCTTCGTGTCTGCACTTCGTATTTTATCTACAACGAGGTGGGGGGAGAGGGGCCCCTAAGCTATGAGAATGACGACAAGCTATCTCCAAGGTCGTTTTTGCCGAACGCTGTAAATTATAACGGTACACACACACACACATACACCCTCACGATGTGGAGATCTGTAAATATAAAATACATATAAAATTGTAAACGGCTTCAAGTAGAAAAACGGAAACTTATACGATGGCTCAATAATATAAAGTACAAAACACGTTCGTCGTTGTTCGATGATTTCTTTGAAAAATTTCGAATTAGAACGGCGCTATTCTTAATATTTGATATTTAGTTTTTTTTCTCTACAAATTTACATGTCGCTCTCTGATATTCTTTTTAAGCGTGCAGGGGCCCTCGCTGCTAATTCGGTGGTCAATCGTGTAAATAAATTCTCTAATATTATATTAAATACGTATATTACAAAGCACCACGAGCTAAAATTATTAGTATATAGGGTGTTTTTTCGTCTTACATAATGTGGAACGGAATTCAATTTTTTTCTTACGGATATTTTACTTAAAGAAAAACTAACGGAGGGACAATATAACACGATCGAATTAAACCGTCGTATTGATAAAACTTCTACGAACATAACATAACGATATACACTAATATACGTTAAACACCCTGTATACATGGACTACTTAGAATTATATGTAATACTAGACTCTTACGTTTTACATTCGCTACATGTATTTCGTGTATAACAAAAAAAAAGATCTATTATAATCATTTAAATCAATATCTTCGAATATTACATACTGTAACAAAGGTGCACGGTGTTTTTTTTTTATAAATCTATATGTACAGCATATACGTTGTGGTATCTTCCAATTGTGATTATATTGATCCCAAAGCTGCGTCTTAAACGTTAAGCTTATGTATAAACCTAGCATAATCACAGCGATTTATATAAATCCGAAATGTAATATTTATTAGGAACATGACAAACAATACACTCATACACACACACGCACTCACAAACATACACAAATATACATACATACATACGTACACACATACATACATACATATATATGTATATACATACATATACATACATACATACATACATACATATATATATATATTGAAAATTTTCAAACATTTTAGGGAGAATAAATTTTCCTTTTAACTATTTTAAACTAATACCGTGCAAATATAACGCGCATGTAACAAACTAACCAGATATTGAGAGAAACAACTACGTTTGATATAATAAATATACAGCAAAATTTTCATCTGCTTTGAGATCAGGGACTTGAATATATTCGTAATAGCATAAAATTACATTGTCAACACCTTTTACTTCCACTGAATTGCTATTCAATCATTCTGACGTTTTGACTCTTCATTGCAAGCTTAAAAAATTAATACAAAATTTTGTACGAGCAACATACACTGTTAACATGAAATATTGACTATATCGATAAAACACATTGCTAAATTATTTCCATTATATACAATACAGACAGCTGTTTTAAATTAAGTTTTGGATAACAGGAGGAATAGCATTTACGCTCTGTTGCATACGCCATTAAATTGATACAGATACTGAACTTTTCAATATAATTATTACTATTGTTACTATTATTCAGCTATAAACACATATTGTATGAATCAAGGATAAACATTAAAATCTTTATGTGTAAAATGGACAGCATGATACATTAGTAAAAAGAAAATTGTGCAAAAGATGGCACTTGCATAATATATAATTACATAATTATGCGTCATTATATTGCATAAAATACAATACATCTTTATAACTGCATTGTAAATTATATATATATATATATATATAATTTACAAATGAGATAAAACATTTTCATACACATAACTTTTTGCATTTAAATTTTAACATGTATCATGCTGCAATTGCATCGAGTAACAATAGCGCTTAGACATCCACTTAAAATAGATGATCTCAATTGCGAGAAACTAGAAAAAGCGTATAGTAAAATAACAAATAAATCATATTTACGCTCTGCTATTAAATAGCGATGCTGCAATCAAGAAGCCGCATACACACAAGTCAGATATTTAGTTTCAGTTTATATATGGTTTTAACTCGTCCTATTTTCATCACGTATCAAATACTTTTTGAACGAACTGTTTTTCTCTATGAGTTTATATATATATATATATATATATATATATATATATATATATATATTATAACGTTGTGTAAGAACTATTCTGATATTAAAAACTTAAAATTGTAACGCACGTTGAATTCCTGCCAATATTAAATTAAACATAACTGTTATAGCAATGTAGTCCTCTTCAGTCTTTCTCTCATTTCGATTAACTGTCATGGTTCATTTCTTTATGCTCGTTACAATATACTACATACATATTTGTGTTTTGACGTTTAGTTCGTTAACGGAAAACCATTCGATTCTTCCATTATCGTACACATAATTTTAATGTCATATATGTAATACGATATAAATTTATTGTATCGTGGGATAAGAAGAAAAAAACGTTTAACTCCTCTTTTGATATCGGATGTAACAGTACATGCGTTGTATGTGAAACTCTTTATTTATATTCAAGTTCGGCATCCACGAATTTGCCATGAAAGTAATATGCCTCTCCTTAACATTTTTCACGGAAATCTTTCATTATCTTTTTCATTGCATACTGGACTGAATTCACATACTGGGACTGTGATTTTTTTATATAATGTACAACAATAATAATTAAAAAGCTTGCATTCCCCAGAACTTAGCCTTATCGGATCTTACAAGTAACAAGTAAACGATATACACAGTACGTACTACTTATACTTTATACAATGCCGGACAACAGCTATTTTTTAATGATATAAGAGCTTTTTGTCTTAATTTACATTATTGTTTAGCAATTGGACGATTCGAATGTTACAAATTCTTCATTGAACTTCACTTATCAGCACATATATTTCGAATATTTGAAACAAATCGGTTGTACACCGACAAATTATGATTGGACAGTTCTTCAGTTGTAAAAGCTGAAGACAGTATTCTGGCGTGCATCACACCCTCTCACTTCGCCTCTTGCACACAACTCTAACCAGGTATCCGCGAGAAAATGAACATAAAGATACGTGAAATTAAACTCTGGTAATAATATATTACATGTAGTCAAGCAGTAGCAATATACAATATTTGAATATTTTCCTTTTTTTGTTAGAATTTTTATACAGAAGTATAGAATATTTTATACAGAAGAAATCTCTCAGTGTCCAGCACTAATAGATCGTTAATCATGACCGTGAAACATAAAACTAATGTCAAATCAAAAGTGATAAGACATAAAAATTGTGAATCAAATGACAATTTGTACAAATTATAATTTGAAAATCAAGTACACCCTACAACAAAAGTCTTGTCGCGATTTAAATAATGGTATCAAAAATACATATATAATTTTTATGATCATGTGGTGATAATATAATGGTAATTTAAACAACCCAAGATATAAATAAACTTATTTACACGTATACGTACTATTATTGCTCCAATCCTACAACACTGATAAACGGATGCGAAGTTTCAATCTCAATCTATCCAATAGCCCAGCTTCATCACAGGGTTTGATTAAATTTAAGTATTCCACCCTGAAGAGAAATACCGTTTTCTCAGAATATAAATAACTTCGCTAAACTTATTTTATATTTCAAATTGTACTAGTGTTAAATGTGATATTCTCGATCGAAAGAATTACGTATAAAAATTCCATTCACTTACAATGCTACTTCATGGCGAGGGTCTGCTTAAGGTGGCGTATGAGATGACTACCAACGTCGTGCACCTCAGGCCACTGCTTGAGCACAAATACTATGCCCAACACAACAAACGTGGTTGTTAATATACGCACCCTGCACATGAAACAATGAGGCTTAGTACAGCTGTAACAGACACGTGAAAACAAAATAAAACAATGAGTGTGCGAAATAAAATTTTGAATGAATGGTTACGACTTGTTGCGAGTATGTAGTATAAAAATGAATGAATGAAAGAATAAAATATCAAGAAATGATGATTAATATTACACTTTCGTAAATTAATGTTCTAATGAGTTCGTTATCACACGAGTTAATCACTTGATTAACAGTTAACAATTATCTTAATAATAACAATCTTACCTAGTTCTGAGGAAAGGCATCATAATACCAGCACCTGTCGCAACGAGGAGTAAAATAACTTGCAACACTGTTAATACTACATTTATTAATTTTACAACCAATGCTCTGGCATTGCTGTTATCCAAGCCTTCCAAGGTTACGTATTGCTGATGCTGCTGCTGCTGATGTTCCATCTTACAGATCTTAGTTTGACAGCTCTCCAACATCTCGTGTATGTCTCGCAATCTATCCTCGCTTTGATATTGCACCTTTTCCTCCATATCTGTAATGGTTTGTTTCAAGTTCTCCACTTCGTTCTGGTGGAGTTCCGTCAAATCGTTAATTTGTTCTTCCAAACGTTCGCACCTGAAACGTTCTTCTTGGAGAGAATGAGAAAGATATGTCACCTCCTGTTGTAACGCCTAGACAAGGAAAAAGATGAACTGTATAATAATATCTTTGTCAAATCATATACATTTCTTTATTATATCCATATAATCTTAAAACGCTGTTCCGAATGTACCAAACACTAAACACGAACCTTTACGGTATCTAATTTTTCCCTCATTCGGTCGAGGTTTTCCCGATGTTCTTGCAGTTCTGAGAAAATAGATTTGAGGCTCAAGGCTGCGTTATTACTATGACATGTGTGCGGCTGTCCTCTACTGCCGGGACCACTTTCGCTGGTCACACTAGAACACTCTGATCCTTCCTCAGATGGGAACTTCATAGCAGCTGCGCTATGAGTAGACCCTAAACTGCACCCGCCAGGAAGTGTAGCCGATCCGTGATGAGTTTTATCATCTTCAACGCTAGTGTTATCACCATTACCTGCACGCGGTGTATCGTTTACATAAAAAGTCGAGCCATCTGTAGAGACACAGAGGTCGCAAGTTAGGATGTTATCCAATACCAAAGCGTGGCCTTTCGAAATAAACAATGTATATTATTTCACAAGTTATTATGTTATCCAGTCTTTTTAAACAACGGTTGTATCGCTTTTTACTTCAGATGGCGGTTAAAAAGCAGTTGTCTCGCTGTAAAATGTTCTCTTCAAAATTAATAGTAATTACGCAAAATTAATTATTTTATGGTATTTTTATAAGTATTGGATAACCAACAATAAACAAAAAAAAAAGTAAATATACAATCATAGAAGCCACTACAAATCACATAATATTATAGGTAATATTATATGTAAGTGTACTTGCAACAAAAACCACACATGAGATTACATTAGAGAACTATTTTGCATTAAATTATATAAACAAAATAAAAAATTTAATAAGCATAAGTTGAAATAAACTATGCTTTGCGTATGCAAGATAATTTTTAACAATACGAATTTGAAAACAATATTGTTACCATTTAACCGTTTATTTTATAAAAAAAATAAGAAGCTCGAAGCAGCCGACGAAGGAATAGAAATACTGTGCACGAAGCATATAATAAAGTGTAACAGAATTTCGCCTTTAGACAACATATTACTTACTACTCTCAACTGCCATGATAGCAAAAATGTTAAAAAATGTTTATTCGCTTATTTAAATATATTTAATATTGAAAATGTGAACCGTAAAAAAATTTCAATCATATCATATGAATTGTATAAAATTTTATATCCATATATACCACTATATAGAATTAAATTATGTATTGTTGTTTTAAACATATGATTTAATTTTTTTTAACCAAGTATTATTGTAATATATAAATAGATATAATTTGTTATGATGTTCTATTTCGTAATTTTGATAACATAAAACTCGTTAAAAGTTTATTGTTTATTACTTACGCGATAAAGTATTTATATTATCAGCACTTCCAAATTTGTTTTTAATAAGGTGAGCAAACTCTCTTGGTTTAGACATCACACTCCTGCAAAAAATTATGATTACGAACAAGTAATATATATAATTTCTTACATGTAAAGTTTTTTTTACTTAATTCTTTTTTTCTTAATTTTCAAAATGATTTTATAGATAATTTTGTATTGAAGCGACATTACTGATAATGCGGTGTAAACATCCACATTTCAAAAAGGTTTTATGATGAGTCAACTATATAAGAATAGGGGTTCCAATGTTTGAGCACATGGGATCTATTTTTGTATAAAGACTCACCCTGAAAAACCAGTGATGCCATCCCTGATGTTTCCTCCCACGTTTCTGAAAAGTCTAAATTAGTTAATAATGCTTCAATATTTATATGCTGATACACGATAATTTACGAAAGTTGTTTTTTAAATATGAAAAGTTGAAGCGATTTGAAATACTCACTTAAGTCCTTGTCCCATGTCCCGTAACATTTCCCTTGGTTGCCTATGACTGGTGGGTGCTCCATTCATCTCATAATTTTTCAATTTTTTTGTGTAACTGTCTAATTTTTTTTGCAGCTGTGCGATACTATGAGCTGATTTTTGATTCTTTTTCTCAAATACTGTTTTAATTCTTGTTAATTGCTGTTTGTCTGCGTTAGCAGCTAATTTCAAATATTCATTGACATTTTCTAAATAAAAAAAAATATGTAACACAATACATATAAATATAAAATGCGCTCTGATGCTTGCAATATAACTTAATATAAATTGAGAATACGATTAATAACGAATCGTTATTCGTTATTAAACGTGTGTTCGATTAATAACGAGGTGTGTTTTCATTCTTTCATTCTCTCTCTCTCTCTCTCTCTCTCTCTCTCTCTCTCTCTCTCTCTCTCTCTCTCGCATCCGCATTAATTAAATCGAAAAATATTTACGTACCATCCCGCGTAGTTTGTTCTATTCTTATTAGCTCCCGCGTCTTAGCAATTTTACTTTGAATATGTTCAATAGCTTGACGAACACGCGTTGCACTAGAATCAACATCGTCGGCGATCAATTCAGAAGAGCCATTCGATAGGAACGATGGAGTTGTGTGATATTGTTCCTGTTAATAAATTAAATACATTAATATCAAGGATTAATCTCAAAGGATTATTTCCAAGATTCTCGAAAGTTCGATATAAAATGGATATAATGCTGTCGAAAATATTATGTAAATAGTTACATTACTTCTTAATCTACACCTTAATTGCATATTTGTAATTAATGATATTGCATTCTCTCTCCATCGTGTGCCAGTTAATACATAGTATAACGACAATACATTATATAACTGTCTGTAAGAATGCAAAGTCACGTTATATGCTTAATGCATGCTTCAGACACGCAGAGTAACAATTTTCTTGGTTATTTTTTTATGGAAAGTTTTATTATTTTATATTTTATCAGAACCGAGACATTTCATTTTTATTCTTTTTATAATAAAAAATATCCTGACACATACTCCTTCATCATCAGTTGGTGGATGAATATTTGGCACAAACTCATCTGGTTCGGCAGTGTTTGGATTACTACTTGGTTCATCCATAGCATCTCCCATGCGAATTACAGTTCCTGGTGATCTTTGTCTACTGCTGTTCTTCATACTGAGACCACTTCCAGTACCAGTACCACCACCACCACCACCACTACTTCCACTGCCTGTGCTACCCTCTCCTGCTTGAGAACTAAAAATATATAACAAATTTTGTCTCTACTTATTATTATAATTTCTCTAATTCATGAATTACATACAACACGTATTAATAGAATCTTACATTGGAACATTACGCAATCGTGGAGTGTGATCCAAGCTTCCTGTTGATTGCTGCTGGTGTAGCTGGGATATTGAAGTTGCTCTACTAGGAGACCCACTGCGCGAGCTGTTCTTACTAGAGGCGTTCACCATCAAGCTTGCCATACCTTTTTCTTGAGAAGGTTGTCATCTGTCTATTTTGTTTTTACAAGGTCACATTGAACCTACACATCATAATTTATAATATATTATTATAAGATTACTGCAGAGTATAAAGAGCTATTACAACTTTATGATCATTATTGTTGCAATTAGCAATATCTTTATAAATAATCTTTTTATTTTCAAATGTACATTCAACAAATTATAGATATATATATATAATATCTCTCTCTCTCTCTCTCTCTCTCTCTCTCTCTCTCTCTCTCTCTCTCTCTCTCTCTCTCTCTCTCTCTCTCTCTCTCTCTCTAATATATATATATATATATATAATATATAAACTAAATAAGTTTAGTCTAAACTAAAAGATAAGATTCTATTGTGGTTAATACTAAAAATTAAATGATTGATAATTCATTACAGGAAAGATAGTTTCTTGTTTAGTAGCATTAGATAAAGGTCGACAGTATCAAATATCTCCATGATAAGCTTTATCATATTGGCTTATCATGATCCATGAACATTTTCTGAGAATCAAGCGTAAATGGTGAGAAACTCAGTTTCAATGTTATATATCTATTTTTGTATCCTTGCTGTATATAATAAGTAAATTTTAAACTAGAAATATTGCTTGTTAATATTCTGTACATATTTTCTGTTATTAAATATAAAGCATATAAAACATAATAAGTTACGGGACAGACACTGCATTATGTTGGATCCCTGTGTATCTATATTGGGCAGTAATTTTCTTTAACAGGTTACATTATCTAATTTATACTTTAAATACATTGAGCCCCCTCCCCTGTATTGAGACTGAATCTAAATATAGAATGTAGAATACATCAGATAAAGAGGAATGCAAATATACTTAAATCGGTGATGACATCGTAAAACAGTGAAATCATTTTGATTATATTTAATATATATAAAATGATAAATACATATATGCGTAAAAGTATTAAGTATTGTATATTTCTATTTACATTAAATCTAAAATATCTATGTAAAGTTTCCAAAAATGTTCAGATTATATTAAAACAGATAAAACTTTAATATTAATAACAATCAATAATTAGTAGCATGCTTTGTACAATTCCCAAATTATAAATATCTGATTAATATTGAATCAGCATGTAAAAGTTAAAATTAGCTTCCTTAATTGCTCACAGCAATGGAAGAAAACCATACATAAGTCTTTTCTGTCAATTCTACGTCGTATCACTACCTTTAACTCAATCTCTTAACTGATGAATCATTGCTATTATCATAACTGTGGCTACCAACACTGACCTGGAGCTAAGAACACGTAATAAATGACATGACATATTACTGACGTTCAAATGATACAATTACTTTTAAGACTTAATATTCATTTTGTTCGTGCCATCACATTGGGTTGTCTAAAATATTAGAATTGAGATAATGAATGCGATAAAAATGGGAGAAATAGATCGAAGACGAAAATGCTATATTGCTTTTGTGACGGTGAGCGAAGCATGACGAGACATCTCGATCCGAAACAAGCGGTTGAATTTCACGATGCTCATTATAGCTATTAGCTGAATGACAAGGAACTCGCTTTCGTTCAGATACTGAACGACGTAACAGAACGAAGTCGAACTCGCTGATCACGTGGTTGGCGAAAGTATCGGTGAGGATCTCGGACGGGTACCATGCGTAACTGGGCGAATTCACGAAATGCTACTACACACATACGTGTGTATCTGCACACACACACACACAGTCTCATGATGTAGCCGTAACACGGTTACACACATAGAGCGTGTGAAACGAAATTGTAATATTTTCACACTGTTGTTTTCAATCACAGAACGCGTTCGACGGCGTTACCTTCACGACGGAAACTTGAGAGAGCGAGGCTACAATCTTTGGACTTCATCCCTGCAGGGATGAGAACGCGATTTCGTGCTTGTTCGCGCGGTCGAATTGTTAAGCGAACGCGAAATAGCGTGCGGCAGGCGGTATTGATGGAAAACACAAGTCTGTATTAATAGTGTCTGCATTTCTATAATCGGTCACTGGCAATAATGTCGACTTCGCCAACATGGACTTCACACTTTGGGCTCCTTTTTCCTTACGCCTCATGTCGTCTCCGCAAACATTACCATGGAAAATAACATAGATTAAACCTGACCTCTTCGCCTTTCTGTTTCAGTGCTGAGTGAAGTAAATTATGATCATCGTTTGATGGGAGAGATCCTGCCGTGTTATTTATACGCATTATGTCCTAGAAAAGAGACCTCATCAGAATTATCTGCCATTCGTGATTTTCTCTCTCTCTCTCTCTCTCTCTCTCCCTCTCTCTCTCTCTCTTAAGCAAGAAACCAGAGTAACACCATGAAGCGTCGATAGTGTTACACATTAATTAGCTCTGTTAATTAGTTGGTCTTTGCTATCAGCGCTAACTATCCATGTCACATGTGTATATGTATGTGTGTGTGTGTGTGTGTATATGTGTAACCCTTAGCTATAATATAAATAACGGAATTAAATTTAGCACAGTACACGGCGCGTACCGAGTGACATTGCTGCAACCGGCTGTTAAATGCGACTGTGTCCAACCCGCAATCCGCGTCTTCATCTGACGCAAATAAACATGCGGATGCGAGTCAGTAACATGAGGTAAGTTTCGCGCGAAATGCATGACAGGAGTACAGAATCGACATGACACGGCAGCAGTGACGACGATGCTGCAGCAACGCTCCAAAGCTGTCAAACTACGCCTCTCTCTCTCTCTCTCTCTCGCTCGCTCTCTTTCTTTCTCTCTTCCTGAAACTGACTCACGCACGCACAGTCCTCCCACGATAGTCATCTCAAGGGAACTGTGACGACGCTTTTTTTTCATGGTGCAAAGCGCTCGCGGTTCGTCGAACTGTGCGTGTGTTAAATAACATCGCGGTCACCCGAGCGAGACTTTCTCATTCGCAACGCCGAGTGAGGGACGACAATCCTCTCCTCGCGCTTGGCTCCATCCGTCACTCGTGTCTTCAGCATCGCTCACCTCGCAGTTATAGCTCCCGCGGTAGCCTCTATGCGACATCGGGCGCACGAATGTGACGTATCCGCGGAGCAGTGCTCGTATCGCAACAGCAGTACCATCGACGAGTGGTTCGACTCGGCTGTGTTACTTCACCACCACGACCACCACCGTCGTCGTCGTCGTCGTCGTCGTCGTCGTCGTCCTCGTCCTCGTCGTCGTAGTCGTCCTCGTCCTCGTTCTCGCTGGGAATTGATGCGCCGTCCTCGAGGAGCAGTCTTCGCGAGCATCCGCTCACGACAACGGCTCGGCTGTCCGCGACTGTCGTCGTTGCGGGCGTGTCATCGTTCGTTGAAGGATCCCAAAGACATTGTAGCATGTACGTAATACACACGGGAGCGCCGCGAGTACTCGCACAGTCCGAGAGGATGTTTCCGCTCGTTGCTCGCAGTTCTCGCACGCACTCTCACAGTCCCCGCGGGCTTGCGGATGTTCACCAAAGTGTTCCTCGAACACGACAAACAAACACACCAAGCAACACGATCGACGAAGACTGACCGCAACGCGTCGCGTCGTGTCGCGTCGCGTCGCGTCGCGCTGCTGTGCGAAACCACCGGTGCGTTTGGAGGGAGGCGCAGGAATGGCTCCGGACGCCTCGTTGCCCCGTTTGATCTCACCGACAGGACTCCGTTGTCCGTCTACCGGAATCGCGGTCCTGCTTCGAAAGTATATATCGAGTCAAAACGTCGAATATGTGTGCGACTACTTTTGAATCGATTACCATACGCTTGATTTTTAACTCGTCGCGATTAAATGTTGGTTATCTTCCTTCAAGTCATGTCGTTCGTCGTCGCACACGTGTTATTTAAAGTCTCGAAATATGAGGAATCAGGTGGCTCGTGCATCTCATTAGCATTTCATGATATTCGAAATGTTCCAGATAACGTTGATGAATCTTTCAAGGCGCAAACTTTCGTTCGACCGCTGCGCGGTCGCGGAAGTGCTGTTGTCATCAACTCAGTAACACATCAGTACGGTTAATTTTTAATTACTTTATGAAAATTACCTCAGAAATTATATATAAACTATATATAACAAACTATATATATAACGTGACAAAATACATTCCCATGGGAATGTATTTCCATTCGCCATTTGCGTTTACTCTTTTTACATTGTCTTCGATATTATTTCGATCACTTATATCTTGATGGTTTCCGATTATTTTGTTCCCTCATTAATTTAAACCATTTATGCTTATTTCGAGCTTCATATTCCAGCCATGATATTCCCAAGAGGGCGTTAGCGCTCAGCGAAATTTTCTCTGGTAAATCCCATAAGACCAACGGTTTTTGTTAGTGTCTCATCGATGGCGCTCAATTGATTCCGGAAATTCTGTTAGTGTGTTTACGATCTAAAGATATTCATAGTTCACGGTCAACGTGATAAGTGCTAATAAATTGCACTTTGCGCCAGGATAAAAAGTATTGTAGAAACGGCAATAATCAAGTAGAGTCATCGATATTAATTAACAAAGCGAATAACAACATGCTTGAATAATTCATTAATGTCAATATGCTAATTTTGGACATACGGACTGATTCACATTGAATAGGCGAATACGCAAAATTATGATAACGAACACAAAAATTTCATTATTACTCCAATTACGAGATTGCTTTCGTAGAAATGCGAGCATTACGGATAGGAAGGAAAATGCAAGGGGTGTACGATCGATTTCCGAGAACGATTCGCCACACGAAATGAACAGACTTCACGAAGGGTGCAGTAAAGAGCACGCGACGTAACAATGGTATAATTTAGCCAGGTTTTCGTTTCTTCATGTTAGAGAGGCATATTGAAAAGACTTGTATTTTTGTTCAAGATAATAGATACGGGATAATGTAAATAAAACTGCTTTTTATGCGTCCATAACACACAAAAGTAGAATTCATCACAGCTATGGACTTAAGTCTCATGATAAGGAAATGTTTACATACGATACTAAAATTTGAATTGCAAAGATATTTTTTTGAAAATGCAAATAGTCGGGGTGCTTATAATATTCTTTAGAAAATAACCAAGTTACGCTATATAGAATCTAAATGTTATTTTGCTTGCTGCGGCTGATATTTCTCACATGACGAAATATATTTTTTTCATGTTTTCATTACGAATATTTAAGTATGAAATTATGTTCCGAGTACGTTGAAGGATATTGAGACGATAAATAAACGTCACTGCGTAATGTAACGTACGTTCTGTAAGGTCACTGATTATAGACTAAGAACATCAGAAAATTGCTTCACGGAAAGCGATAGAAATATACGAGTTCGTCGTATGAGGAAAAAAATGTCAACTTACTCGCAATAACGCAAAACTATGTCACAAGTAATTATACATTTCTCTGCATTTGTCTTGCTCATTAAATATAACAAAGTTATAAAAAATTATACTTTTATTGTAAGGTTTTTATTATTACATAAGAAAACGTAAAGAGCTCTATATATAAACAGTTCAATCAACTGCAAGGTTGATCATAGCCCACATTGAAAGACAGATCCTTGAATACAGTATCTATTCTCCTAATGCCCCAACACGTCCAAGTTTTATTCTTGATCTTGCTGCTCCTTCCACTCCTTCAGTTTGTTTAACAATGACAAGCCGAAAGATTCCCTGTAACGCGGACTGACATACTCCAGCAAACTGTACGGCGTCTCGAAATGTTCATTACCCATATTTGATGTGTCGTCGTGGCGATTGCCAACGATAGTGAAACCAGAAGCCGACAGTTCGATGCACAACCGTAAACCCTCCAAAGTGGTCAAGTTGAGATAGATGACTTTGTTGGTGTTGATCAGCCGTTCGGACACTTTTATATTTCGTACGTGCGTCTTCACGTCGTTGATCACCGCCTGTGCCTCGAGTTGCCATTGCTCCTCGTCTAACACTCCGTCCACGTTGTCTGTCATCTTCCTTTCCAGAATTATGTCGCCGGAGATACGAACTTACCGGAATTAAACTGGTCTCGAAGCTCGGCTTTAGATGGAGACGGGATGCACGCGACGATTGTGCGCGTAGGTTAGGAATTTAGGATGTATACTGAACGTGAGATCAATCAGTGGTCGATGGAATCAGCTGTATATCTGCGATCGACGGTTACTGATATTCGCGAATCGCAATACTGAAAACAATAGTCTCGAATGAAAGTTAACATTCCACACGATGCGCAATCACAAGCGTTCCGATACATTCTGATACGTCCTGCTGAGGAGCACATGTGTACTCGGCTGACTTGAGCGATTTGAATTATGATGGCAGGAGGGGAGGACGGTTTTACTAACGGCGATCTGAATTCACTTATCTCATATCACAAGTGCATCAATGTCTCTTCTTGTTATTTCACTTATCTAAAAAAATATTGATTATCCAGAAATTGGTTTTATCTCCAAGTCTTCTGATATCCAAATACTTATTCTCAGAGGTTACCAATGAATGAATCATTCATATAATTAATGTTATATTCTCTTAAATAAGAAATAGTGATTTTAATTGTTTAAATACTGCATATAGAGAAAAATCTACATAAAACAATTATTTGTTTATTAAAATCTTAATAAACAGATAATGTTCACTCATGAGGTTCACTCATAAGATTTTTGTATAAAAAATAAATATTGAAATATTCAATTTTAATACATACACACATACATATGTGTATGCATATATGTATATATGCACACACATATGCGTGCATATGTGTGTGTGTATATATATATATATATATTTATATTTATTAAAAATACTTTGCGATGATATACATGGAATAATCAATATTCACACATACTGATTGGACGTTAATAAAGATGAATACAACTAAATGAGCTTATCAGTCATTTTTGTGCAACATCAACAATAAGCTCGAAATTTTACAAAAATTTCTTAGCGCCTAATCGTTTGAGATCTTACAAAAGTTTAAGCGCCTAAACGGGCATTTCTCTTTTTTTCTTTTCTTTTTTTACATGATAACTTATATTGTAGAGTCATGAGCATCTTCTATACTTAAATCACTTAAATCTTCTCCCCACCCATTGTCATCGTGCTCCTCTAAGGTAACACCTGATGTTTTTACATCGAACATATTTTTTGGCGACTCCTCTGTCTCCTCAATGTGTAGAATCTGCGTTTTCTTTATCACAGGCTCCATATCCGTAAAAAAATCAAATTCCTCCTTCGGATATTTTATTGTTTTCGAGTTTTTTATGTCAAGCTCTGTAATGTCCGAAATTATCAGTTTCTTTGTATAATTTGTCTTCTTCGCGTTTGATGATTCCGATACGGGCGAAGATAAGTCTGCGTCACCGGTATTGTTCTGCTGTTCTGTCTGCACGGTATCCAGAGGTACTTCTACATAACTGTGACTGTTTCCAACTGTTTCTTGTGCCTCCCAATCTGACCAGGTGCATTCTTCCTCGACAAATGGAAATTCTTTTTCTCTCTTATCTTCACCACCATCTGGCGATGGTCTTTCTGATAAATGCACATTATTCTCATCTATATTCACGTAAACGTTCTGTATTTCCTTACTTAACGTCAAAACTTTCCTAATATCGCCAAGATTTTTACTCCGGTTATTCATCATCTTGTTTGGTCGACCGTCCGTAAACAGTTTTCCCCTGTTACCACCGATAACTGTCGCTGCACCCAAAATCGGCACAATGTCAGCCAACGCCCTTAATGTGGCACAAACGAGTTCGTCATTGGTATCTTTTATACCGACGAGTAATTCAGGAAGAATGTGGCTTTTCAGCTCATCCATGTCGAACACATGTACGAACGAATTAAAATGGGACAACAGCAACAGACGAATAGATACATCTCGAATGCAGAACATTTGCAAAAGCCTTGGTACTAAAATACTTTTAAAAGTAGAGACTGTGAATAGACTAGTTTCTAAGTCATTCTTCTCATCTGCAAACAGTGAACGTTTTGTTAGATTTCTTATGTGAAATAAGATGTATCAATAAGCTACTCTAACAAGGATAATTCAAATCTTATAAATATAATATAAATATTCTCTTACCTTTGGGTTTAAAGATGAAAGGTAAAAGTTTTACTTGAGCAGTACTGTCCAACAAGACCATTCTGGAGAGAAGCACTCTGCCGAGTTGTTCGGCAACTACAGCCTCGGGATACATCTGCAATTGCTGTCTTAACGTCCTATACAGAATCTTTTATGTTTTACATATTCTATATTCTAGACAATATTTATATATTTTCTTTTGAATTCCTCACGTGAAAAATTCTTCTCTTTCTACATCAGTTTTCAATGGCAATTCTTCCAGGAATGCGTGTATTCTTATAAACTCATGAGTGAAGAAAGAATGTTGCAATACATTCAGTACGCTACTTCTTAAACACGCATCTGGATTCTGCAGATTTTTTTTACAAAATTCACTAAATTCCAACAGATTTGGTGTCTCATCTAGAATCATTTCATGCAAAATTTGAAGTATTTTGTACTACTATAATTATGTTTACAATATATTCATGCCTATAGTTTATTCAGTTTCTGCATATACCTATAGTTTGTGAATTTTTTAGAATATCTTCCACCAGCACTCCAAATGCATATGAATCAATTGCAGTAAGATTAGCAGTCTTAGCTAAGTCAGCTATATCTTCATTTGGCGATATACCTCTTTCGTATCTGTAACTTCTTATTCTTTGGTAGTATGTCGATGTTGTATCTGTGAATTTACACAGGCATTCTAATCCACCCAATTTCCAATATCCTTCCGCGGTAACATAAATAGAGCTGCTGCATATATTATTATGTGATGCTAATGCAGTCTCGTGTAGGAATATTAAAGCTCGCAAGATACTATGCAAGCCAATACATATTTGTAGTATATTTTGCTTCTCAATCACTTGTATTAATGGCCTAGCTTCTTCTGTAGCAAGGAAGAACTTGCTGCCTTTATTCCATGAGGAGATATACTTCAAAATACAGGGATGCCGATATAACATGAAATTCTGAAACAAAGCATCGTGAATAACCTACCTTTAACATATTTCTTTCTATAATTCATATAGGCTATATAGGTCATCATTTATTATTATACATAAAGAAAAATCTATTTATTATAAGAGATATGAGACTTTTGCTTTATAGAATTATTAATTTTAAAAATATTCATTTGCTTTATTCTTTCAAGTGGAGTATATAGGGTTAGTCGTATATTTCAATTCTATTTAAACGAACAAACAAAAATTTACTTTCGCTGCTCGTTCTAACGGTGATGGTCTTCCAAATGTTGCAGTAAAATGTAAGGATGGTTCACTAATGAATATGGATAGTTTTTGAAGACTCGAGTCCTGTACACTCGCATCATAATGCATCCAATAGTCCGTAACCTCAACAGGCTTGTCTTCGATTTCGAGCCCACGTAGGGCACTTTTCTCGTTCCCCATTAGTTAATCAACATGCAGACGTTGTTTTAGGTTGACAATTGAGTTAATTGTAGGAAAGAAATGTTGAAAAACATCCTAGATATCACAAAATTGAGAAGCATAAATAGTTCCACTTGATTTATAACTCGCGATGAAAGACACAACAATTGATACTGACAGTTGTCGACTATTTTCGACACACCGATAACCATTAAAATTAACACTGCTCTCTACGTCTTATTTAAGTTAAATGAATCAAGTCGATTTAATATTAACATTTGCACACGAAACAGAATCACCTCTGACATTTGAATAGAGGTATGTTCGTACGAATATCTCTCTTTGCTATACTTTTTTGAAATATATGGTACGAGATGGTACACGTGTGACGTAATCATTAAAAACCAGTAAAAATTGCAATAGAATATTATTAACGCCTTCTAAATGCGCAAATAAAGAAGATATACAGGGAAATATAAACAATCATATAATTATAGCAATAAATGTCGACATCTTATTTGTTATTTGAAAGATTAAAGTATTATTCTGATATTTAAAGAAATATTGAATTCTAACTAAATTATACACAGTAATTTTTTTAATATATATTTTTATACTAATATATTGTTATTTATATATAGTTTATACTAATTTACTTATACATCTCTTCAGTTCTTCAGGTTTGTAGTCCCATGTTTCTCCAACTGCACAAATGCTTCTTCAAGCTCCATGTGTATGCTTCAGAAATATGCCATATTTACGTTAGAATTACTCAAATAGTTTGCAACTCAATTATATATTTTTATACGAAAAGTTTGTTGTTGTTAAGATAACATAATGTTGTAGTATAATTGTGTTAAATTTTGCAATTATATTATGTATTCTTATGTTTATAAAATCTCTGTATTGCATATACATCATATCAATATAATTTTTCAGATACAAATGTGACTTGTATTTTAAAAACCTAGTTACATTTTACTGTATTATTTTCTTTTAGTCCAAGTTGTTTCATTCCAAACATAATAATATATATTTCATGTATTTATTATCATATGATTTTTATGCATTATGCACATTTGTTGTGCAAATACTATAATATTAATCATGATCGTTATCAGATAATATTGTCACTATTAAATTAGCATGTATTAAAGCTAGATTGAATAATAATTAATAATCTGCAATTTTAAGAATTAGTTTACAACCTTTCATAAAAATATAATTTTACACCACTTTGCACTCCTTTATTATTAAAGCTTTTTATTAATCTCTCCTCACCTACACAAATTTGTTGGGTTGTATCAACTAACTGCACAAATTAATAGTAGCAAATTGCCGTTTACTATTTTATTTTCACGTTTTAGCACGTAAATGTATAAGTAGTGTTCGTCATATTTCTAACTACAGATCGGTATAATTACAGACGGCCTGCGATAGGTCTGTCGTATTACTTTTAAGCTTTCTCTTTCGTGTTAATACTTAAAATATTAAATGTCTACAAGAAACATATAACATTTTATTTTATAATTTTGTCTTTATATAATAAAATACTAACAATTCATGTCATCATTAATAACAATCTTAAATGCAAATATTAGAGTATTAATACTTCCGCTGTTTATCAAACAAAAAGAAAAGCACAAAGACACGAAAGGATCATAAATACGATATTGCATAAATATATATCACATTCTTATAAATTATAACATAAGGCCATATCATAATTATTTAAATATTAAAGTATTTTTGTCTTTACAAGCGATTGTTGTAATACAACAGACCATCAGCTGTGACATCAACAAAATCCATCACGTCGCAGTTAAGCTAGATAATAGATGTTATTAAACAGAGATTTTAATATCTTTAATAAAATTTGTCGAGTACCCTATGAGACATACCCATACAATTTAACATACTTATCCATTTACTTACTCTTTTTATCCTATTCTTCATCGTCATCATCCATTGAGTGTACACGTGCATTAATAACCATAATTATAATAGTTGTAATAAAAATAATTAAAATAATAATATAAATATGTAGTAGCAGTCGTACTAATAGTAATAGTGATAAAGTTGTTGCAGCGGTGGTAGTTGTAGTAATAATAGAAGATGATAGTAATAGTAGTAGTAACAGTATGTAGTAGTAGATATCAAGTAATAATAGTAATAGCAGCAGCCACAAAAATAATAATAATAATAATAATAATAATAATAATAATAGTGATAGTACTAACCAGAGTAATAATATAATTTAGTAGTACTAGTAAATAATGATGACATCGATAATGGTGATGATGATGATAGTAACACAGTACTAATAATAATAACTATGTTAGCAATATTAATAATAGTAACATTACAACAAATTATAATAGCAGTAGCGAAAAAAATAGTACACAAGTGTAATAATACAAGTTAAAACAATATATATAATATAATAACAAAGATTATATGACGACAATAGCGGTAAATTATAATAACAATAGTAATAGTTATAGGTAACAGTATTGATATATTGTGTACATCGTTGAAGATGCATTTATTGGATAAAAAGAAAATAATAAGACTATCAATAAAAACATCGATAAAAATCAGAAATTTTCAAAAGAAAATTTAAAAGAAAAAAAAAAAAAAAAAAACACCGGGAGAGACGAGTATTATCACAAAAATCACTGCTGTTGCAATTGTTGCTATTACTACTATCACTATCACTACAGTTATTATTATTAATACTATCATTATTACAACCGCGCTTAGTCTGCAAACACCAACTATTACCACTGCTACTTCTACTTCTACACTACTGCTGCTGTTACAATGCTGCTGATAATGATCCAACTGTTGGTGATGCTAATGATCGAAGTGGTAATAGCGATCGCGGTGATAATGCTTACGATAGAACTCGATTCTCCAGTACTCGCGTACATCTATTATTTAATATAGCCAGTCACTGAAGTAACACCAAAAGTGAGAATGTTTTTAAAGATGCAAACACCCTGAATCTTAGTTTCAAACAAAATGTCAATGGATCACATAAAACACGTATTTTATTGTGTTCTTGATAACCATACTGGTGGCAGAATTAATTATAGTATACTTATACCGTATTTAGCGATAAATTATGTATTATATTTAGCGATAAGAGTATGTTAAGCGAGTACCAGAAAATTAAGATGATAACATAAGAGAGAAGCATTTACTACTAATTCAGTAATCTTTGAGACTGCAACAGCATTTTTTCTTTTCTAAAATATTGTATGTGTTGCCCACATGCCACTCGGAGAGACTTTATCAAGAATTAAATCTATCTTTGTGACAACAAAAGAATTGCAGCCATGTTTCTAATTCATGTATCGTGACTTTGTCATGTTGATTTACATTATATTAATTTTTTCTTCTTTTTTTAGTAATTTTCTTTAAATTCTCAACGCTTCGGAGAAAAGTTATCAGGATAAAAGGGATAATCGTAACCTTATCTTTTCTCTAGTCGATATATCCTAAATTCATTTAAGTGTGTTAAATTTTTAACAAGCCTACGTATGGGTGTGTTAAATGTCTCTTCTTCTAATATATGTTTCACTATTCACACAGACATATCACGAATACGACATGAAAAATTCTCAGAATTCAAGGATAGTGGTCGTCGGTACGACTGGCAGTATATTGTGTTTTTGTTGACGGTTAACATCCTATTATCTCAACAGCGCCCAGATTTCTCTCGAAAACCGGGCGAGATGGGCATGGCCACGCTATCTTTGCTCAATAAATCGGGCAACGATAGTCTCCTGTGAATACTACTATTTATTTTCATGGGCTTTATCTTTATAACAAAGCTTTAACTGCAACGAAAGCAGAGAATATACAATTTTCATTCTTTTTTTCTTTTCATACGTTGTGATAGGTATAGATTGCGATTGTTGTCCAACATAATCTGTCTAAGCGTGAAAAGTTCCCGAACGTTAGTTTATCCGTGTAATGGCTTTTCACGCGCGCGCTTCACAAGCATTATCTTATATTATATATTTTTAATGATTGATACTCGTCGTGAATAAAGCTAGATCATGATGATTTGTGCGATACCTATAAACAACAGTTTTCTATTCTGTCGCACAAGTTTCGTCATGACCTCGCATCATCGACAAAACGATCAATATACATAGCTTTCCCTTGTCGCGATACATAGGTGCGACATAGGTATGCGTAGATTCGTATGTTCACAATCGGTAGGTGTCGTTTTCGTTCCCTTATTGTTCGGATAAACAGGGGGATATTTATACCGCCGCATGTTTCATTAGTTCCTCCGTTACAACATTATGAAATTACGATAACCATAATATCCTTTCATTTTAACTGCTTCCTCTCACTCATTTTCTCTCTCTCTCTCTCTCTCTCTCTCTCTCTCTCTCTCTCTCTCTCTCTCTCTCTTAATCTTCCTTGCGACGTGATCAAGAAAACGTGCGCCGTGCGTCTTAGGACGTGCATTATCATCTTGCTGCAAACTGATCCTGATCTGGGTACAGAGAGATATATATGCATATATATAATAAAGTCTGTGCACTCACTTTCCACAGATACGTAAACTCCACGGAACGTAAACTCCTTATCATACATCAATACAGAAGAACATTTCTTTATTAACGACTTTCGTCTCTGTAATTCATCGATTCATCATTCCATTCGACGACGGCACGTTTTTTCCTTGAGTCAAGTTTTCAAACGTAACGCGACAATTTCGTTATGTCACTTCCCCAAGCTTTCTTGTAGCGGTATCCACGCTCGTAATTAACTCTGCTGTTATTATTCTTAAATATGTTCACGTATATTCGAATATTATTTAATATATGGTGGAAATGCTTAATAAACATCTTTTCGAATTCACAGAAACGAAAAGTTTATGCCGTTATAGCTAAAGAATAGGAAGTGCGTATAAATAATGTTACCTTCCTATAAATTCTTTCCTTCGATACAGCATAAAAATCAGATTTTTTTTAATCTATTTAACTGCTAGTTGAATATGTAAGCACGTGATTTCGCAGTTAAACGAATTTTATCATGTGACATCGCGCGCTTTCTCTTTCACGAAAAACAAGCACGTTAGTCTTTGCCCTTGTCGATGAGATTATATCAAATGTTTAATCGAGGAAAGATGTTTTTCCACAAATGGAAGAACAAGTGTGTTCACCTTCACCTATATTCACTCGTTCACTCGTTTTGCTGATTCACTTCTTCCTTATTGTTATCACTATCTTGCTGGTTCACATTAGATTTGTTAGCTCCGGTTTGTGTTCCAGAAGGACCATCGTTCATTTTGTCATTGTGGTTATCAGTTTTGTCATTTGAATCCATTTTGACGTTTCCTACAAAGAAAAACAAATATTTGTCATTTTTTAATTAATCAGCATTAGTTTATAAGCTTTATAAACATTATATACATATATATATATTTTTATAGCTTCGCTTTTCTTATTATCTTCTTTTTATCTTTATTTACCTTGCGGTGAGTAATATTGTTGTTGCATCTTCATGTTGCGTTGCTGTTGTTGCTGTTGTTGTTGATGTAAATTCGGCCTGTGACGGTTGATTTGAGCCTGCTGCTGCTGCTGTGTTGGCATACAAGTAGGTTGCTGTTGCGTGGGATTATTTGGGTTTGGACCTGGCGCAAATGGTACCACAGGTCGTTGTATAGGGGGTGGATAACGTTGCTGTGACTGTTGAAGACCTGCACGAGGTGGCATACCCATTCCACGCACATTTTGTTGCAAAACCTGCAGACATATGTTCAATAGTAAATCATGAAATTATGTATTTTTTATTAGATGACAAAATTCACACTTTTCTGTTGTTATTCCATATACAGTAACTATTTTAAATGAAAAATACACACATACATCTCACACACATTTTTCACTAAAAATTCTTGTCGCAATAGTTATAGTATATTTATATATGATATTGGAGACAGTATAAATGTCGTATAATTTGAATTTTTTCTTCTATTTTAGAAAAATTCTTTACGTTATGTGTACAATCTAACTCGGAAAGTCATATGCATATATTTTAATAATAACGAGATAATTTTAATGAATAAATGGTACATACGTAGTTACTGTAGCTGCTTACCAGAGCAGACTGACTAACGCCCTGATATTGTGGATATTTGTGATGTTGCGTAGGGCTCGGTTGTGGTTGTTGTGACGAGGATTGTTGTTTACAATTCCTCGATTTAGGTGACGGTATTTGAGGAGCTATAAATGAAATATTGACTCAGTATAACGCATTACGTTACGTAAAACAATTCGTTATTAAACAATTTTTTCACCGTTCGTTTCAAGTTCTAGTTCCGAAACTAATAATACACTCACTCGAACTAAAAACTGAAGCGAGCACATCCTGTTGATTGCCCGATGGGCTCTTCAATTGCCGAGGTTGCTCCTGCGGCTGGTGCTTACTTAGAAACGTGGGTGCTGCATTCCCTGGCCCCGGTAAACCACCGGTAGGATTGCGAAATTGCTGAGCCGCCGCGGCTATTTGCAATCCGGAACTCGATAAGAATCCTGGGCCATAATTCTGCAGACCAACTGGAGTTGCACTACCCGTTGCCAAACTTTGACTGTGTTGACCGAACCCTTGCAGACCGTAATGCGTTCCGGTTTGCTGGGTGGCGCCGCCGGATTGATAGAAACCCGTTTGCGACCCCGGAAACACATCTGGAAATACCACAATTACGGAGGAAAATAAACATTAAACCACTCTGCATGCGTATAATAACTTGTATGTATATATTTATAATGAAACATCGAATTTACCCGCAGATGTAGCGCTGTAGTAACTATTGGCAGACGCTTGAACGTTTGGACCGGGCCTCTGCACTAATTGCGAATTGCCCATGTAACTGCCGCTTACACTGAGCACTTGATTCGGGTCGTACGGTATGTAAGTCAACTGAAAAACAAGGCGAGAAATGGCCTTCTATCATTTCTATCTATTCTACTTGTAGACTCTACAGGATTTGTCATAAAATATCGCTAGCGAAACCTCACCTGATTTGGTTGAGGAGCCGATGGGGTTTGGAAATGTGGCGCTTTAGTTCCAATAGCTCCAATAGGCTGAGAAGAGGGCTTCACGCTGGCTGACATTAGAGAATTTGACGACGAACTGATAAGTACCGTATTGGGATTGTTACTAAGTTGTTGGTTCTGCCCAAATGGTGGGGCAGCTGCTGCAGTCTGTCGAAATAAATGAAAAATTCTAGTTTTATCGAAACAAAGAAATATATTAATTTCGTTGTAACATAATTTGTATCGTGATATAAGCAAAATCGTTATTGCACAAAAAGATAACAAAAAGAAAATAAAAATTTACGTACGATACGATACTGTGACAAATTGCTCTGGTACATCTCCGGTGTGGGAGCATTCGGCGCATGAGGCGGAGGTGGTGGTGGCTGCTGCAAGTACACGTTTTGCTGGCTAAATGAGCTTTGTAGAGACGGAGCATAAGGCGGATACTGTGTAAACGGCGATCTGCTCTGATCCAATTGGAAAGCTCCGTATAAACCGCCTGCTTGCGCCGGCAGTTGCCCTGAACCTGTGTTAAACAACACAGCCGGTGGCGATGGTATAGCCGACATGCTGCCATACTGCGCCGCTTGTGAGCCAGGATATTGCGGGAATTCCTAGGAACAAGACAAAACAGATCGTTTCTTTCAATATTCTGCCAACGTCGCAATTCAGTTGGATAAAACAACATAAACGATAAAAATATGTAACGCACTTGATAATTAATGTGTGAAGGCTGGCCTGTGGAATTGAACGGAGGCGGACTTAAAGGACCTTGAAGACTAACGGGTGGGTGGCCGATAGGACTCTGACCGGCTCCAATAGGACTCGGTCCGGGCACAGTAGATCCTGGTTGCGTGCCACTGCTGCCTGACGACTGTTGCTGCGGCTTCACCTGCGGGGGAACCAGCTGCGCATCAGGCAAAGAGTCAGCGTCTTCCCACAAGGGACATGGTATTTCAATATTTAATTACTATATACATATATATATATACATGTCATTGTCACAGCCATTCTTAAAAAAATATTCATTTTGCGCAAATAAAAATATTCAAATCTGCTTGAAGAATTTAATGAAAAATGCAGACTGGTATATTCTCAATGTTCCTCCTCTTCATATATTTGTCTTGTAGTGAATAATAAAAAAGAAAAGAAAAAAAAAGAATGACACGTGATAATAGTAATAATGATAACGGTGAAGATAACGATAATCAAATTTATTAGGTATTAGGTAAAAGTTCTGAAACGAGAGGAAAAACTCACTTTTCTTACAAAAAAGCTAATGAAATATGATAACGGTAATAGCAATAATAAATGATAATAGCAAGTGAATAATACACTATAACTTAAGATGTTGCAACAATTTCATCGCATGCACGAGACATAACATGATAACGAATAATCGCGAAATAATTCCCTCACCTTGCACACGTTCGTGGACGTTGTAATTTCACTTTTCATATTATTCTGACTGTACTGCTGGTGCGGGCTGTAACTGTCGTCGACGTCGCCGCTCTCGAACGCCTGCGGGAAGCTGGTCGCGCTACTGACCACGCTACCATCTTCATGTTCCACCACAGTCGGCATCGGAGGTGCATTTTCCCAGACCTTTTTCACAGACGCGATCTTGAGGTTGAGCTCCGCGGTCGACGGCGATATTGTGCTTTGGCCACCAGCCATGTGCATGGAGCGTGCCATACCGAGGCTCTTGCTCTTGTCCTCTGTCAATTGCGAGAGGTCGGAGTCGAACGTGAAATCCAACTTCATGTCGGCGTTGTCTTCATTCTTGTTGAACGACAACGGCATCTGGATAGGTTCTTGATTCTTATCCTTTATCAGGTCGTTTGGTTTGTTGGAGAACGCGACGGAAAGCGTCTGTTGCTGATGCTGCTGCACCTGACCGCCGTCTTCCTCTATTTCCGCGCGTTTCTCGGCTCGTTGTTGCGTTTTTATGTGATTCGAGAACTTCGACTTGACCGCCAGATCCGCAGGTCCGCTTGTCTTGGTGGTCTTGGAATAATTCGTGTTCTCGAAAATCAAGGTCTGTACAGGCGGCGAAGACACGTCGGACACGTTCTTCTCCGCCAGAGTCTCCTTCAGATTCTTGCTAGTTTTCTCGCCGCTCGGCGAATTTCGCTGGCTACTGTGGCCGGAGTTAGCCTCGTTGCCTTCGTGGCTGTGATCATTTTGAGCTGCTAAACCGGACATCAATTGGATGTCCGTAGGAACTGCAGACGGTGAACTCGAGCGTAATTGGCTAGTGAACGGTTTGTCCCATGCGTTGACCGGCGGCGGAGGCGCCGGACTGTTGGGCGAGTCCTTAGCGTAATTACTACCGGAATTATTTAGTTTGTTCATGTCAGCCGCATCGTTCGAGCACAGCTGCTGCTGCTGTTGCTTCACCAGACGCTGGAATCGCGGAGCGAGTCTCGGATTCCTCGGGTTTCTATTGTCGTATTGCTTCTGCGGCATGTTAGCCGGCTGGGGGATATTCTGGCCGAGCAAGGGTGGTATATTTTGCACCTGCTGCAAGACCTGCTGCGAACCGTTCGTCTTCGTCTTGGAGCGATCGCGTTCGCGTTCGCGCTCTTTTTCTTTATCTCTCTTGGCAGAGGGTTTCGCTTCTTCCTTTTGACTGTGTCTGGATTCCTTGACGTTTTTCTTCGACCGCACTTCCTGGAAACCGTCGGAGTCTAATTTGTCCTCCGAGACGTTCGCGACATCCTCGGTGCAGTTGTTCGTCTCGACCTCGGGATCGATCAGCTTCTTGTCCTTCGTCTGGGATTTCTTGCTGAGGTCGCTCAGCGCTTGATTCACCAAGTTCGGATCAGCCAGCTTGATCTCGTCGATACGATTAACCATGCTATCCTTGTTACTTGACTTATTCGAAATCGTACCGTTGTTGGTCGAGCTCTGACTTCTGGATCTTCCACCGTTCTGCACTTGAGCGTTTTGCATCAGCGGCGGGATGCTGTCGGTATGATTCTTCTGAGCGCTGAATCCAGCATTCTGCAGATTCCGCTTTTCCGCACCAGGAGCTCGCGATGCCGGATTGGAAGACTTGGTACTCTTTTCACGTTGCTCTCTGTTGTTCGATGACTGTTCGCTTCGGCGTGAGTGCGCGTTCGAGCTAATGGCGTTTTGGTTCGTGCCTTGAATAGCTCGTCCGCTGAAATGTTTATTGCGACTGTTACGCGATTCCTTATGATCCTCCACGTGCTCCTCGCTATTTTCCGACGTAGTTTCCCAATCCTCATTGCCCACGTCCGACTGAGTTTGCTTCGACACGTTGCTGCTACTGCCGCGCAAACGATTGTCCCTCCCCTGAAACGCAAAGATATCTTTGAGATAGGAGATACTTGTGTAATACTCATACGTGATATATGCATAACGCATGGGATAAATTGTGAGTCTCGTTTAAAGAATTTCTCTCAAGTATAAATCAGATAATGTAAATCTATAAAAAAAGAAGAGAATATACAAATTTTCGAGAAATTTCCTTAATGTCTGTATTCCACAGACGTCGCATGCATTCTTCAAGTTCTAGAAATACACATAAAAGAAGATCTCACTTATATCGACCTCGAATATTAAGCTCGACTTTTCGCTACGTATTTAATAATTATCTAATACATACCCTTCTACTTCCGCTACGGGTTCTCTTGGAACGTGATTCTTCCTTGCGTATCTGCACTTTCTGCGACGGCGCGTTGACGACCTGATTCGCCTCTTGCTTGCTACCGGCTTGCTGAGCTTGCTGACTCGGTGATTTATTGCGCCTACCCGTGATGCCAGCCGTGAGCGCTTGTTGCTTGGCGATTATTTTGTCATCGGCCGACTCGCTTGAAGCGGATTGCATAAGATTGACTTCCTTCTCCGAGGTCGGCGTTGGCGGGTTCTGCCGTCCAGAGGTTTGCTGCTGATGCTTTTCGTCCGCGTTGCGTTCCGACGAAAATGGGCTCTTGCTGGACGGCGGACCGTAACCCTCCATACGACTGCCCGTCGTCGTGTTTCGAATGCGGAAGCCGCCTCTACCACGACGAGACGGCTCGCCCGAGGGCGCAAAGGCTTCATGACTGGGTTTCCCGTCGTAGGTTCTCTTCTCGCTGCGTGACTGTGAATAGTCACCACTTCGCTTCTCGTCGCGTCTCGACAAGTCGCGATTGCGATCTTCTTTCTCGAGCTTCTGCGACGGTTTCGGCGAGCGTGCCGAACGTTTGTCCTCTTTGCCCGACTCGGTGGAGCCAGATACCTCGTCGGCGCTGTTCTCCGAGTCGCTATGTCCGTAGGAACCGCTCTTGCTGGACAAGCCGGACTTGCCGGCGGGTCGCGGACCGCTCCTTCGACCTCTGGTTTCCGGCCCGCGCCAACCGCGAGTGTACACGCTGAAAACTCCCCACTGACGTCCACCACGGGCTTCCCGTACTCTGGAGCTAGAACTGCCGCTGCTAGTTCTGTTGCGTGTATTCTTCTCGCGCTTCTCGTCCTTGAGCTGCTCCTTGACATCCTCAACTACGGTTTCCTCCCTCTTCTCCGATACAGGTTTATCCAACGAATTTTGCTTCATAATCTCGTCGTTTTCCTTGAGGTCCTTAGCGGCTTCCGCTATCTTCTCCTCCTCTTTCTCGAAAGTCGGCGATATTGCATCTGCCCATGCTTTTGGTGAATTGTCACCTCGCTCGATCGGTCTGCTCTCCGAAGTGCGCTCAGTTTTCCTGATCCACGCGTCTGCCTCTTTTTTCGCTTCGACAGAAATCTCCTTCGGTTGCTGGTCCTTCTTCTCCTGATCGGAACTGCCTCTCTTCAGTTGAGTGAGATTACGCTTCTCACTCTTGAGTTCGTCCGCCTCGATCTTTTCTTTCGTGACTGGGCCAGGAGGTTGTCTTCTATCTCTGTCACGATCCCGTTCCCTTTCTCTCTCCCTAGTCTCCTCGTGATACAAATCTCGTTTCTTCTCTTCGTAATCCGACATCTCGCTCACCCAGGAATTGCAGTCGCGCAATTTGTGTAAATCGTCGTCGCGTAAAGATGTTTTCGATTCTCTGGAGGCACGACTGTCGCGTGAGTCCGGTCTCTGTGGACGTTCGCTGCGTTCTTCTTTCGGTACGTCGCGACGTCCGACTTCGAGCTGTCGGTCTTGCCCCAAGTTGCGTTCTTCACGCCACTCTGAACTCTCAGGTCGTTCTCTCTGTTCGCGCTCTCGTTCGTCGAAAGAGTCCTGCAGAAGACAAAAAGCCTTTTTTCAAAACGGAACACAAACGCGATTAAAATAAACTGGCCGAAATAAATGTCAGCACGATCAAATATAGCATGTCTTACATTCAAAGAACACTTATTTCGAACAATTTTATTACCTTTGAGTAATTGTCGTAATCCTTTTTCTCCTTGTTATCCCGGTCGCGCATATCTCTCACGTCCCGAGTATCACGGTTGGTAGGACGAGAGTCTTTGACATCGCGAACATCTCGGTTGTCCCGGTTGTCTCGATTATCCCGGTTGTCTCGGTTGTCCCGATTGTCTCGGTTGTCCCGATTGTCCCGGTTATCTCGATTATCCCGGCTGTCTCGGTTATCCCGATTATCTCGGTTATCCCGATTATCCCGGTTGTCTCTGTCTCTCGAGTCCAGGTTCTCCTTTGAATCGCGTTCTTTATCGTCGAAGTGTCTTTCACGTTCCCAAGAATCGCGAGGATGTCTGTCATCGTATTCATAATCGCGGAAATTACGGCTATACTCGTCGTAGTAGCCGCTTGGTTTACGACTCTCATACGGCCGGTGTGAAGAATGTCGATAACGATCTTCTCTCGTTGGTGGCGCACCACCGCGATGATCTCGAGACGGAGGTCGTTCATCATCCATCGGCGCTGACGCATCCGAGTCGGTTCTGCTGCGACGTTGTGGTGGCATGGATGGCTTCATACCATTATCTGTTAATACAGTTTTCATTGAATATGTAGAAATTTTCATTATTAATACGGAGAATATCAATTAAATGCATTTAATAATAATAGTTATAATCGTGATACACAAATAAAATAAACGGAACATTGTTGTATAAAATTTCCAATCAAATTAAAACATTAACATTATGATTGGCTAAAATATAAATTGGTTTCACAATGATTATTAGAGTAAAAGAATGAAGAATCTTCATGCAATTTAAAAATGCCGAATTGTAAATAAAAACTTACTCAAGGAATTGTAATTATGAAGCCATCTGCCAGGATCGTACTGCTGAGAGAACGGAACAGACTGAGAAGCGGATCTCTCAGCGCTGGGTGAAATCCGGCTGAAATTCGCATTGCTCCTCTCAGCTTGCTGTTTTTGAAATCTAGGCGGCAAGTTGTTCTGAAAGTGTCGGGAGAACGAGTGCTCGCGATCTCTCGAATCTCTCTGATCACGATCGCGATCACGTTCTCTTTCACGCTCACTGCGCACGGAATCCTGTTGTCGCAGGAAGCTCTGTCGATCATTTTGACGGAAATCCGCCAATCCTTGATCTCTGCCGTCGCGCAAATTGTCGCGTGATTCGCGAGAATCGCGTCCAACAGACTTCTCATCTTTGCCTTCGGACGAGGTGCGAGACCGCTCTCGATCACGCTCTCGATTTTCGCGCTCTCTATTCTCCTTTTCTCTCTCCCATTCGGGTATAGGGAGAGGTACAGGAGGAGCGGTAATCAAGCTTTTGGGTTCGCCAGACTGTGCACGTTCCTCATCTTTGTGCTTTGCCTGTTTCTCCTTTAACTTTTGTTCTAAGTCCTGTAATTTTTTAGCTGCTGCCTGTTTAGTCGATTCCTGGAAACGCTTCTCTTCTTCTTCCTTGCGTTGTCGTGCACGTTCAACAACAGATGCGACTTCGACCTTGAGTCTACGTCTTTCGTTCCACGTCTCATCATCTTCGACACCTGTTAATAATGTTACAATGGATTAGACATAAACATTATACGGTTCTAAATAGAACACATTACTCTGTTATTTCGTAAAAGTGTATACACTAACCTCGCAAAGAGTGCACAGAATGCAATTGCGAGGGGGCAACGTAGCCACTGCCACCACTGGCGCCATTTGATCCACGATAATCGCGATTCATAGAAGGTTGATTCCAAGGGCGATGCGACGGAGGATCTCGAAGTTCCTTTGAGTCACGACTGTCTCTGGGCTTCTCCTTCTCCTCGACGGCACTGTCGTCGCCGCTTTTTTTCTCCTTATCTTTCTTTTCGTCAGTTTTTGCTGATTCTGGTTCGGTTTCATCGTCGCTAAAGGCCAATTTTTGGTTATAATCAATATCATCGTGCGCGGCCCATCCTGCGTCACGTGAAATATCATCCATACGAGTAAGATCTTCTTCCTTGATGATAGGTCTAGTTATAATCTCTTCCTCAGCCACGCGTTCGCGTTGAGGAGGCGGGAGTCGATCCAGAGGATGACTGAATCTAGGTCTGGGACTATTGGCTCCAGAATTTGATGGAAACTGCGGAGGAAATGCACCGGGAAAATTTCCTCTATACATCTGTAAAAGAAAATATCAAGATCATCCGCTGCATTTACCACCAAAGGAAATAGATCCACATGGACTCTTATGAAGAAACGTATACTCACAAATGGTGGGATAAGTCCCCGAAAGTGGTGCATATTTGGCCCAATTTGATGGGAGCCGGAAGGAGGTACGGAGCCTTGATTATTCGCGGCATTATGCTGGCCTGCCTGGGCCACGCCCATGTTGGGCGATTGGGCCAAGTTCTGCCGCCCTCCACCGGGTCCCTCCTGGGTATGCCCTCCTGAACCAGGTACATTCAAAGGGAGGACCTGGCCCGCCGGAGTATTCCCACCTCCGGAACCAGCTGGTGTTACTGGTGCTGCACCGCTTGCCGTACGACTTCCGCCTTGAATCCAGCTTCCCTCGGCTGTAAAATTGGTCACAGGTTATTAAATACACCCTCTTAACACACTCGAACTCGACGTTTTCACGATTCATTAAATTGTAGAAAACGTACTTTGTGGACGCAAGCTTGGTCCTGGGCCATACTGCGCATTTAACTCCCGATTCAACTGTTGTTGGCCTCCTGGTGTGCCACCTACATAATATATTTATTGTGTTACACACACACACGCACAGGCACACATACAGATACAGGTCTCTACAAATTCATAATACCTCATCTACTTCAAGATCTATATTGAAAATGACATCGACTGACAGGAAAAGAATAAAAATACATTGAAACAGGTAGTGAAATAAGATACACGCATGCTCGCACGCGTTTCTTTCACAGGCTGTGCGTTAGAGACTCTCCTATGTACATACTAACATGCTTCTTACAAAAGCAATATTCTGAATGAAAAAAAATAAATAAATAAATAAATAAAACACAGAGAATAAAGTACTCAGACAATTGTAAAATAAACGTAAAGATAAATTGCACGCGCATTGCACGTGTGTATAAAGATATTTTAAACATTGATATAAGCGTCTTACGATAAAAAGAAGCACAAGTTATTTGTAATAACTTGTCGCAAGTTTGTTATGTAGAATATACAATATATAATACAAACGGAACAATGCCGTGCATAAAATTTGCATATTGCGTGAAAACTAATATTTGTTAAATAATAATAAACTATGTATGAATATAAAATTAGAATATAAAACGTTACATGGAAAATTTGGAAGACTACAGTATCATTAATTATAGTTAAAACATCAAATACTTTTACGTTCCAAGTCTATCCACATATCGTACAATTTTAATGTTTCTAATGCTTAATTTATATATATTTCGCGAAAAATGACCTAATCGCATAGCAAGTTTCATGAGAAAGAAATATTAATGATAGAAAAAGGAAATTAAATAAGACTGCTTCTATATGAGCGCCATTATATAATTGAACTAGTTTTTCGGTGCGGAAACATTTAACGGTTTTCGCAATCATTCAGTCTTTTCCACAGACAAAATACCACATCTTTTTTACAATAGCCTCACAAGTTCTCGCGGACGGAAGTTAAACGATATGTGAATCAAGGCTAATCTAGGAGAAAGTTCGATCGCGTGGAGCCATATGTATTGACGCAGGAATCATAGCTAATCTAGAGATTAACTAAATATTTGATATCTGTCTATATTTCTAATTCTTATCAGAAGTACAATGTATTTCTCGTAATTGGACTATTTGTTCTTCTATCACTTGTTATCGTCGTTATGTACGAATGAATCACTTTTGTAAAACATCTCACATATAAATAATCTATTATCTTTTTTTCAGTTCATTTTACCAGGCCCATTGTTGGTTTATATATGAAAATACACAAATTGCACATTCTTCTATATCTGTATTGCACAGTGTTTCATCATTAAGATATTTGTAACCTGATATAATCATACAAACATTGATCTTGGGTGGGCTGAAAGCATGGTGATTGAAATATAATCACCATACCAGAAGAAAAGAAAATATAAACGTTGATCTATACAGATTTCAATCTTTCCTAGTGTGTTCACTTAATTGGAACGCAATCTTTAAAGCCACCACAGGAATAAGCACAGAGAGCACTACTAGCAAAAAGATAAAAATTAAAAGAAAAGGACTTTAATCTAGCAGCAACAAGCAAGCAGCACCCCACCTGAGTGGTTGTGGGCATATGGCTGTTGCTGTAGCAACGAATGATGGACTGCGACTGAGAGTGCATTGGATGTTGTTGAGGACTGTTGAGTCTGGCTCTGAGTGGAGACGGAGGCAGAGGGCTGTCCACTGAGACTGGGAAACTCGTGTTGGAACTGCGGGGACTGGTGGGCGAGGAAACTCAGTCCAAGGGCACCTCTTCCCCCTTTCGCGCCCCCCACGAGCCCCGCGTAACCAACCACTGCTGCCACAATGGGCGTACCTATCAATTAATTGCGCCACCCGAACGACCACTGCTGCGCTCACACTTTTTTACTTCATGCCCAAGGTCCAGAAGTGGATGTTAAAAGGATGTACATTATAAATACCAAATAATTACTATCGCGCCTTACACTACGGTGCTTTATCGTGCTCTTGAAACTCGTGTCCTTTATCAATCCAACTCTGGACATTTTAGTCTAATGCCGCAGAACTCAAGCGCGTTTCCTGATGTAAGTAAATTTTATATGCGACATCGTTATATTACATAAATCCTGAGTATACAGGTTATATCGTTATGTAGCTTTGTGCTACCACTACTTTGTACATTTTTCTTCATGTAAATATACATATTTGGATATATATTAGTTTATATTAATATTGTGTGTAGCTAATGTAATATTATGTACATCGTGTATTTTCACACAATATGATACTAATTATATCAACTCTTAATTTATTCAAAGTTATAATGCTGCACATCCTGTGCCTGCAAGGTAAGGAATGTTTATGGAAACATACACGCGCAAAACCAATTATTGTTTTGTTCTGCAGTTCATGAACAATTGGATACTGTTGGAGTATAAATTGGATACTACTTTTAGATATCAGAGAATTAAGTTAAAGACAAATTGGATAAGTCAAAAAATTGAATTATCAAAACATCATGTGAAAAGAGAGAAACGAAGAGAAATGAATTTAAAAGTTTTAACACTCTACCTCAATTAGTGTTACGCGTTGCATGTTAGTATTGTTAATTTATGTATTCTTCCACGTACCGTCTCCTGCTCTGCTCATAATTGCGCTCCATGATGATTTGTTTGACTGGTCCAGAAACGAAGATTGTGAAGCATTTTGCTGACCCGGTAATAGCGAGTGTAGGGATGTTGAGACAGTAGTCCCTGCTGCGCATTGTGCTGTTGAAGATACAGTCTGAGACAGAAAAATATTAGATTTAAAAAATGTATTCTCTAGAACATATAAAACTACAGTACACAATATCAAAATGATAAAATCACAAGATTATTCACAAGATATATTGCATGAACTTACAGTAGTGTTATCGAGTGGAGTTGCTGCTACTGTGGTAGTAGTAGTGGTCGATGATACTGAATCTTTAGTAGTAGCCCAACCACTTCCACCACTTGGCACAAGACTAACAGCTGGATCACTGCTACTATGTTCACTCTTTAGACTGGGCAAGTTAGCAGGAGGACGCCGTGCCGAAGGCACCTTTCCAAGACTTTGCATTCCATGTTTGCGTGGTAATGTATTTTTTTGCTGATGTGGTTCCAAAGATTCGCCCTATGTAAAAAAAAAATGATTGGGAATGTTTGACTGAAGTATACCACAAATAAAAATTTTCCTATCTTATTCATTTTTTATTTTTTGTCAAAAACAAATAGTGACAAACATTTTAACGATCTGAAATACAATATTTAATATCTCATAAAATATTAAAGAAAAAAAAAAAGGTATAATGCATTCAGTCACAAAACATTAATCTCATAAAATTTTAATAAAATTTTATATAATTGAGTACATAGAAAGCTAATAAATATATAGAAATTCTAATAAAATTAAAAAATATTTTCATTAAAAAAATTGTTTCTATTATCCTGTATAATTAACTAGAATTTTAAGATAAAAAATATTATTGATAGGAACACTTCTGGATAAACTAATAAGAGAAAGTAATCAAATTGGCCAACTCACCCTACTCACCCGATACAAGCTATTGATATCTAGTGATTGAAACTTGGATTTTCCTTTCTCCCCCTTCGACACAATCCCTGACAGAGTAGACATGCTGTCTGCACGCAACCATTTAGTACTAATCAGACCCAAAGAACGAACCCTTTGTCTGCAAAGACAGAAATTCTTAAGTTTAACTTCTCTAAAAGTAAATGTTTTTATCTGTCTTTATCCTAAAAACACAAATAAATCAAAACGAAAACATTGTAATTGCTATAATCAAGTTACAATTTGAAAAAATTATAATGAAAATTATATTGATGCATAGTAATAGATATACTTGATGATATCTCAGAAGTTGTTGAAAGGACAAACTCTTGTAGTATTTATACTGCAAACTACATATATCATATTATTAAGAATTAAACAGGTACAAGAGCCAATATTGTTGTACTATATAACCAATAGTATTTTTAGGAACAGGGCATCTTCAACATCAATAATCATATGGAAGCTAATGGAGTAAATACAAGTACTTATATACTAATCTCTCTAACAAACAAAATATTCTGCATCATTTGTCCAAAAGAATACATAATCAAATGAGAAATTGAACTATAATATAATTGTAACAATAGAAAATAGTCTATCTGAAGTACTTTCATGTGCTTTATGTAGCTAATTGGTCACAATAATAACAATGCAGGAAAGTGATGGTAACAATTCCGTTCTAATATGTTGCGATTAAATGAAAATTTAATATCGAATTGTTAAAATGCGTCATATATCAATAACGCGTATTAGCAGGAAAGACAACAGTCCAAGAAGCTTTGTCTGTCATGCTGTCAAAGTAACCACGACGCACAGGACAATAATCGAGGTAAAAGTAACGGAAATAACTCGAGTCATTACCTGGTTCAGCCTAAACGAGCACTAATTTCGCGTATACGAAGCCGCGGAGTCACGTACGTCATGCTTATAAACCCAACCCCGCGACTATGCGATGTCAAAAATCGCGAGAATTCAAAACAACAACTCCGCCGTACATCTAAATACGCATCAGTTATTGGATTCCGCCAGTCGAACCAGTCCGCAAAGCGGACGAGGGTAATCCGCGAGAAGACTATTATAATCACCGCGATAACGGTATCCCATCTAAGAAAGCGTTAGCGCGAGAGGCTATCGGGGGGAGGGAAAAAAGTGTCGGATCCAGCGAAGCATCCACGTAGGTAAAAGGACTCGCGCTGTAACCCAGATCAACGAAATAAAGACTTACCTTGGTCCGTCCAAATGGGTTACCAGTTCACAATAGGATTAACTTCCAATAAAACTATATAACGCACGGATTGTCGCGGATTACACTTCCGAGAATCGCACCGCGCCTACAGGACACAGAAACTTCTTTTCCACAATTCGTCCAAGATGGCGAATGCGCGACTTTCGGGCCCTTCCTCCGCGCGATCAATACAATTACGTCACGCTCACCAAGGAGACTCGTTCTCACAGACGCGCCACTCGTCGTCGGCTTTGTGCTCGCCTGTAACGCAACGCACTATTCTTGCTCTGTTTTTCGCCCCTGCGGCACTTGCGTTTACGATTCGATTGTGTCCGCGATCTAATCAACGAAATGAGTACTGCCTTTTTTGATAAATAACACTGCACGAAACATTCGGAATCCGTCGTTTTTTCCCCGACTACTCATCAGGCATGGCGGTAAAAATCGTACGGAACACGCGTATGTCGTACTGAATGATTCGACTCTGCTTTGGAAATTCCTTTTACTTGTACCGATGGAGTCATACTCACAACGGTTGTCGTAATCCACGCCAAACATGAATGCAAAAATTCTCATTATCGGGATGAGATTGCACGCCTTATCGATATCCTACAGACATTTTTTCGGATACAATTGAGCCAATTTTTCCGGTTTTTTTTTTCTGCGAATTTTTAAATCTTATCAAAAGATTCAACAATCAAAGACCGATGCTGTGTACACACTCATTCGATTCTAGTGGTACCACACGCAATTCGTGCGCACTCTAGAGGGAGGTCTTTTCAAAAGAACACAGGGCAAAAACATGGAATCGTTTCATTGGCTACATGTTATCTCGAAATATCTCTAGAAGTAGCCAATGGCGTTTAGCAGAAAAACCTGCTTGTTAAGCGCCTAGTAATTATTATTTATAATTCGAGTATTCTTTTAGATTTTTGAGATTCAGGAAGAAGAACATAGGGTGTTTACGATAGTGAGTTCAAATCTAGTAAGATCAGAATCCAAGAGAGCAGAACATATTCCCACTTATACTAATATATTCTATGGCTGCTCTTGCTCCGCTCTGTCCTGTCTAAAGTCAGCGGCACACGGTGCTTGTTTTTGTGCTGGATTGCTTGCTGGATGAAAATACTGCGTTCTGATTGGTATATTTTCGAAGATGGATGGAAATGCACCAATCAGAACGCAGTATTTTTATCCAGCAAGCAATCCAGCACGAAAACAAGCACCGTGTGCCGCTGGCTTTAGAATCACAGAGAAGAAAAAAGATAATTAATCAAAATTAAACTTTCTTATAACTTTTGATTGAATTTTAAATTTTTGTAAGTAAATATTGTTCATATATTGTTTATAGTATTTCAATATATCTAATAAGCCAAGAAGGTGAACATAATTTAATGATAATCATTAAGCTTTTTCTGCTGGACGCGGTCAATTCTCAGTTTTTACTAGAAAATTTCTGTGTAAAAGTGCACTTATTGCTTATATTAGTGCAAACCTTTATTACGAGCCATTAGCCGCGTTTGGCAGAAATAGCTGTTTATTAAGCGCTTGGTCATTATTTATGATTGAAGTTATTTATGAAAGCTACGTTTCGGGGTATTCAGCCCGAAATTCTGCCAGCACTGAAATTCTATAGTGTATGTGACACAAACTGTGTATTTTCAATACTGGCAGTGAATTTCGGAACGGAGCCTGTGTATTCTTTTAGATCTTTGACAAATTCAGAAGAACGAACCAATCAGGGACGATAATCATAAGTGTCTAGGGTGCGTTCCGTTCACGCATATGCGCGCATTCATCTATAGTTTATGTCACGTAACTATAAAAAATGTGTGCATTGTGTGAAACGGAACGCACCTCTAGTAAGCAGCCGCTTCTGCTGAACGTGACTTTACTTTTAACGAAAAATCGAGGCTGTAGCACGAATCAACGATGAATAATACGGATTTTTTAAAAAATATATCATACAGCTTGACAATACGTCAGCCTAATTTAATTTTTAAGAATTGATTTAAAGACGATTCAGTGATTGAAGTAGTTACGTTGAATTGATTTCCCGTACGCAACATCTAGCGTAAAAATACAAGAAATGGTACATTAAACATACTGATAATATTATAATCTATTTATTTAATTTGAATAACATTAACGTTGTATTTCAGAGTGTTACATTGCACACAGATGTCGGCGACATTAAAATAGAGTTATTTTGCGAAATGTGCCCGAAAACTTGCGAGGTATAATTTATATTTCACATAGTTGCTATAATCTAACTTTAAAATCACTGTCAACAATATATAACCTACATAATATGATGTGAGACGAATTTATTTATTTTACCAAAATCTTGTCGAATATTTTCTGTATAATTATTTTCTAAATAGGTATTTCTTTTTTTATTTGCCATGTATATAAAAATATTGGTATTCTTATTTCAGAACTTTCTTGCACTCTGTGCTAGTGGATATTACAACAATTGCATGTTTCATCGAAACATAAAAGGCTTTATTGTTCAAACTGGAGATCCTACTCAAACAGGAAAAGGAGGAACTTCTATATGGAATCGTAAATTTGAAGATGAATTTAAGGAAGAATTGAAGCATAACGCCAGAGGTCTTGTTTCTATGGCTAACAATGGTCCTAATACAAATGGCAGTCAATTTTTTCTAACTTATGCACCACAATCACATTTGGATTTAAAATATACCTTATTTGGAAAGTAAGTCTTATCAAATTTAACATACATATAGCAAATAAAACTGTAATTTCTATATTATATTTTATTTATTATAGAGTGATTGATGGCTTGGAAACTTTAGAACAATTAGAAAAATTGCCGGTAAACCCTAAGAATTACAAACCACTTGCAGAAATTCGGATAAATAATGTAACTATACATGCAAACCCATTAGCAGGATAAACTTAAATAATATTTTTTAACATTTATTATGATAATGTAAGTAATTACAATAGTCCTTTCACTATATGAAATATACGATAAACAAAATTGCTAAATTATTATACATTTAATTATTTTCCTAATAGATGACTTCAAATTACAAAGAGTATAATGTTTATAAGTACTTTACATCACATATATACCTTGTAATCTCTTGTTATCCTGATCAAAGGGACTATGAAGATACATCTTTGCAGGATATTTCTTCCTCATTACTTCAATCTGGTAAGTACCTGTTTCTAAGAATTCCTTTGTAATATTTTGCCCATTTGGAGCTCTGATATATCTATAGAAGGAAAATAAATATGATTATTCGTATTCCTGTTACTTGTTATCTGATGTACTTACGCCTGTCCAATACTGCTTTTCAAAGTATATCCACGTTCGGTTCTTCTTAAGTAACCAACTAACTGATTATTCCTATAAACACTTTCCATACCCCACAATGGTATGTCGCTATATCAAGATCAAACAAGTATGTTCATTTAAAACATCATTATATGGATGAACTAATAGTGTCTCAAAATTTAAATGCATTGATGATATACTTACTCATGTACATGTAAATGCACCAGTCTTTTCTTGATACCATTTTTACGGTACTGTTCAACGGATATTTTTCCTAAATATTCTCCACTACTACGACAAGTAAATCCTAAACCTGCTTCAATCGGATTGTCAGTTGGTCTCAAATCTGTACTCCAAAGATGATATCCTAACAAATAAATTAATAATTTTATGAAATGGTAAATCAAAATAATAAAAATTGGGGAAATTATTACAGTTTATTATTATATTTAACGAACGCATCTTAATACCTTTCTCACAACTCAGACTGTAAAGCGCTCTATAGCCGGCCAATTTCATGTCATATTTCTTCCCACCTTCTATTAAGGCTCTGTAAACTTTCTCGCAGGAGCTTCGTGGGATGTGCAGTTCGAAGCCAAGTTCACCGACAAAGCTGAGTCTAAATAAGTGTACCAATTCGCCGTCTATACGCACCAGTTTCGATGTTGAAAATGGAAACGATTCGTTGGAAAGATCATCCTCGACCAACATTTGAAGAACTTGGCGGCTATGGCAACGAATGAAATGTATTTAATGGTATTTAATTTAACACTACTTATTATAATATGTAGCATTAACTCTTTTTCTCGCAACAATTTGCGTGTGTCGGCATTCGAGCTTAATTTCAATACCTGTTAGGGCCCTGGACTGATAAAATTCCGATCTGCTCCGTGACATCGTGTAGAGATACATTAAAGGCCTTTTCTCTTATTATTTTGTCGATATGCGTTCGAGTATGGTACGATGATATGCCTCCGCTCACTGAAATCAATGACAGAAGAATCAATAACACAAGATAATTAATATTTAACGATTAAAAGAGTCTTGACAATACCAATGTAGAATCCCTTTCCTTTGAATATGGGATCAACAATTCCACCCATGCCAGATTGTAGACCGGTGATTGTGCAATCTCCTTCTACACCTCCGCCACGATTCAACATACAAGTGTACACAGTCCTGTTGATTTCTCGATCTACTCGAGATGTAAATATATAATTCGCCGCCTCGCTCGCGTCAGGACCGCACAAATAGTACTTTCCGAAGTAAGATATGTTGAACAGGGCGACGTTATTCCTGCACGAAAGTGCTTCCTCTCGAATCTGTCATAGTACATAAAAAGTTACCGATTTAAGACACTTTTATTATTCAAAGATATATATATTTCCTAAATATTCCCTTCTCATATTCTTCCGCTTCCGAGGTTGGAAAAAGGGACTTACAATATCATCGTGTGGCGGGAAGTTGAATGTACGTTCTGTCTTCAATACATCGGCGTACACGTGATTCGTGTTTTTTGGCGTATCGTAGTAACCATCGTAATCGTATGGCAAAACTTCGGCTGTTTTGTTGTCTGGCAAGAACCATCCTGGGCGTTCCCATCCTTGTCGTTCTTCCATGATGGCACCTTCTTTAATGAATAGCTATCGATTGTGCACAAAAGATATATAATAAAATACTGACAACAGGTAAAGAATATAAAAACAATGTAAAAGGACGCTCACCTTGTGGAAAGGATCTGTTTTCAAATTTCTACCGCTTAAATGTTCATCATGCGGGAAAAGAATCTCGTAATTTCTCGCATAAGCCTCATGACTGCGCTCGTTTATCCAGGTGGAATTTTCCCTTTGCTCCGGTATATATCTGTACAGCAAGAGTATATCGGTATAAGAATATAAACTATCCAATGATAATTGATGAAACAGAAAATGTAACAATTATAATTTTACCGTCTAATGTCGTAGCTGAACATATACTTGTCCGGTCGTCCGTTAATCATCCACAAAGCTGCTTGCTCTCCGCAACCACCACCGAACATCATTCCGGCGCTGTTGTATCCGCAGGAGTAATAGAAGCCTGTGCAGCGTGGGTCTTCACCTTTCGGACATTTCGATTATATCTTAGTGGTAATAATGCGTCAAGAAGAAGTTGTGCGTACGCGTCGGTCGTAAATTAAGATTGCTGAAATTTTATACCCATAATAGGTCTGTGGTCGGGAGTGAAGCTTTCCGGGCCGCAGACTGTCGTTCTTATTCCAGTAGTCGCGAGAGCGGGTATGAGTTTGTTCATCGCTTCTACGTGTGTATTGAACACGTCCCAATTCAGCTCATATAGACTGAAGGAGAAGTCTTCCGGTGCCTTTTTAATATATATCGATTTAACTTTGCAAACACTTTCTTTCTCTACGACAGTAATTGCGCTGTTGAATGCGTGACTTACAGATTTCAATATGATAGGATTCGGCTCGTATCCCCCGATACATATATTCCCGCCCTGTACGCGGAAGTAGAGACTCAGATCAGGATCCCGGAGGTTCGGCAACCCCCGTACGTTCATCGGCTCGGTGACGATATATGCGTGTTTCATCGGTACTAACGGGATATTCAGTCCCACCATTCGCGCTATATTTCCCGACCATGCTCCCGCGGCGTTCAATATGACCTTGCTCTTTATAGTGCCATAAGGTGTCTCCACTCCGCGAACGCTCTTATGACCGTCGATCTCCTCCGTGAGGATTTTCGTGACTGGACAATTTTCGATGATCTTAAAGAATTGCATTCAATTAGATCAGCTTTTCGCAAATGATTGCGATTAACGGTAAAATTGTATTTTGACTTTAGCCAGTTGAAGCAAGTAATTCTCGTACTTGAAGAGAACTTCTCCGAAGTTGTTTGCTATCAGTCATACTTTATCGACATACTTATCGACATGACATTCAATTATAAATATTCCCCAAGTTAAAATGATCGTATTCGCTTTGTGGAATAAGGAATGAATATATGGAAGTACCTTGCAACCATTTCTTTCTGCAGACTTGGATAATGCGTTCACCATCATGGCAGGGTCTATAGTACCATCCGTTGGACAATGCACTGCAGCCGCAAATGCCTTGTCATCCACGAGAGGAAACTTCTTCTTCGCCTCGGCCGGCTCAACCATATACGCGTTGATGCCGAAACTTCTACAGCCAGTGACTAATCTCTCATACTCGGCCACTCGTTCCTGTCGAACCGTAGAGGATATTTGTAAAATGTGCCCGTAATATGAAGACTCGCCAGCGTGAAAGATGCACAGAAACAAGCATGCTCACCGGAGAATGAGCGATGTACAGCCCACCGTTGTTTATCCACCCTGGATTTACACCGGTTTCTTCTTGCAACGATGCGTAAAGGAACCGTGAGACTCTCAGCAACTCCATCTCCACGTCGCACACTCCGCGTAAACTCCACACAAGACCTGCTGTATGCCATGTTGTGCCGGATATCAGCTTAGATTTGTCTAAGAGTACCGCATTTACACCACGTTTGCCCAATTGATAAAGCGCGTTGCAGCCAGCACTGCCACCACCTATCATAAAAATGCTGTATTGCATCAATCTATTTTTATAAACATTTGTTAAAATTAATACATGTTTAACTGATTCTCTCTTTCTTGTTTTAATTTTGTTTGTGGAAGAACTACAAACAGTCAAATCTCAAACTTTAAATGATATTCGCAAAGAAACAGCGTGTTAAATTAGTGAATTTTTTGTTTCATTTGAGGGGACGAATATATAAACTTAATTACCTATTACTACAATATCTGCACTACCGGGCACTTCGATATGCTTCGTCTCGTTCGCTTTACTCGTTTTCGTGGTGAACGTTTTGCTTTTCTTGAAGCTCCACTTGGACAACTGAAAGGAAGATCGATATATCAATCTGCAGTTTTTCTGTCCATATGTTTTTTTTTTATAAAAATTCAAGAATTGTCTATTATTTCTAAATACACACCTTGTTTGTAACTACACGAAACATTTTGTTTTTTTCGAGATTTTAATCCGCCTACAATTGCGATATTAGCGCAAGATCAAACTATAAACGTCCAGCACACAGGAAATCGCGCGGTATCGCGCCGCTTTCTTGCTAGTTACAATTTGTCATTACAACTACACTATTTACGGCGCATACATTATCAAGAAACTTGCATCGGCACATTTCTCAACGGTTGCTTCTGCTTCGCCCGCGATATCAGCCGGAGTTTGCTGGAACACGCACTGCAAGTTCAATCGAAGAAACAGTGACTTTCACGCGGTCCGTAGAGTAGAAAGATCACGAACGACGTCAACAGCGAATATTACTCAATAATATTTGTGAACATATTACCCAACATACATCACGTAGGAGAAAAAAAAGAAACAATCTGAAGAGTGATTTAAAGTTACAGTTGCTCAAGCATGTTAGATGTTCGCTTATCAGTGTTATTTTTTACCCGTTATCGCTTAATGAGTATGTTGCACTCTTGTTATGCTTTGTTATATACTAAAAATATCAAATTTTTCGTCACACACGACGATAGTACAGCCGAAAGAATAGTTTCTTCTTGGAATCAGTATTTGTCAGTATTTACCAGGATAAAATAAATTCTACCGTTGTTACATCTAACTGTTTTTACATCAATATGATATAGATTTATATACGATACTAATTTTCTATCGAAAGAGACATCAGCCCGGGATCGGCCAAAAGTCAAGACAAAAAGTAGAGGTCGATACAAATATACGATACAAATGAAATTCAAGATAAAATATTTTACATAAAATTAAATGAATTCAAAATTCGATTGCGAAACGCAACACGCTGATCGAGCGTGTGGTAATTCATTATCGTGAAATGCATGAAAGAAACAAGCGAGAGATAATATTGCAATATTTCTTATTTGCAGCGCGGTTCGAACCATTGGAGAAAATTAATAACAGCACTACAAATTTTCCCGATATTATTTCAGTTTCTGTTTTGAGACGAGAACGTTAAATTATTTTTCTAAATGACAGTTATAAAGCGTACAAATATAAAACTGATGAAAAATCTCCAAATTCCTCGTTTGGATCACTGAAAGACTTGAACAATCAACATCAAACTGTTTAACTTATTGGTTTATTCACTTCTCGTTATTACCGTCTACTATACAGTATATACTGATCATGTGCTACAAAAGCAGTACATACGTTTAAGTATATGCACAATGTGATAAATATTGTGTAAGAAAAATAGGATTTTCTTTGTGGAGAACCCGTGAACACATCCGTAAAGAAGTCAACTAAATGCCACTTCAAACACAAGTAATCGCTTCGATTAGCGAGTGAGAGTTCTACTTCAAAATAGAGCTCGGAAATGTTTCACTTCGGTAATGAGTACATGTTACTACTCGCACGGTCGTCTGTTACTTGTTGGAAATTGACTTATGGCGAGTATCCGCGTCATACGGATCCTCGAGCTCCGGTAAAACACAGAGAAATTTAAATTCAAGAAAAAAGAAACCGTCGAAGAATTAAAATGCATTTACTTGCATTATATTTGCATTATATTTGCAACGCAAGTATCCATGCGTGATTACGTGCCGTATGACGCGGTTGTATGTTGCCGTGCGCGGTTTATATGATACGAATATACTAATATAGGTGTGTCAGATCACATAAGTTTCTTTTCCGAACTCCAGTTTAAAGTGACGTGTGCTCTTCGCTCGCTAAGCTATCTGTATCGTCCGTGTCTGAATTAGTCGCCGCTTGCACTCGAGCGTACTCGTCTGTGTCGATACTTTTACAAAAATGAATCGCGTACTTTAGCTTTTGCCGTAGAATGGCTTTGCATGAATATCTTGGCATTTTCAGAAGGAAAAAGCAGGTGTAGCTTTCGGGAAGAAACTGGTCCGGTGGGTTGTACTTTTCCATTACCTAAAGAGAAACGAAAAAGAGACCGATAAGAGCGTCAGCGTAGCGCATTTTACTTGTTCTGTTAAGGAAATAATGCGAGTGGGCGGTTTCTTACTTGTAAAACGAAGTCCCTGCCTCTAAAATCTGCGATTGTGCGCGGTAAACGTGTTCTGCCCCAAACAAAACGAAGGAAAAGCGATCGCTCTTGATTGGAAAATTCCTCCATAACGTCCCAGAACCATTGAATAAGCGGTGCACTTGGTTCAATACCTGTCAAAATCATTCCTTTAATATTACACGTAAACTACACTTAGATTATGCTAAACGTGAGCGAATATAGTATAAGTATCTTGCACGATCGATACACTATGTATCTGATGTTGCAAAAGTTGTCGGTGTATAAATACCTAAAAATGAGCATTTACCTTTGTATGTTGCAACAGATTTCAATAAATTAATTTGTATGTCTGGACTACCGCAAACCATCGTTTCGAGTTCGGGACCGCTAAACAATGCCAGGAGAGGCACAGGAACAACTTTCGATAAGCCTTCTCGTACGGCTGCTACTTGAGCGTCGAATTCGTGTAATCTATAATCTAGCGCCAATCTCACGTATTCGTGTCTGTTTTCTGGTGTTATTTTGAGATATCTGAAAAATTCAATAGTCGATTAGAATATGCACTTTACGTAACATACAAATTACAGTGCTAAACTGTTAGTTGCAATACCTATTAGATAATACAACGTCGTGTCCGGACGCGGACGGCGTGGAGAATGGCATCTCTAACGTCTGAAAGACTTTCTCGTCCGGATCCATATCTCGGATACAAAGCAAGCCGGGAACGTAGTCCCGGTCGATCTCTGTCAGGTCCGAGGGTGTCAGAGGCATGCCAGCGAGCTGCTTCCAAACCGGTTCAGCTAGATTCAGGCTCAACGGGCTGCCTGTTCTTATAGCGATACCCATCAGGATGCCCAAGAATTGAAACATAGTCATGTGCAGCTGCGACTCGGAGAAGGAATTTAACAAGAAACAGTCGCGATTTGTGCCGTTGTCGTCGCGACCATTTGGTGTGGGCATAAGCAATGGCAAGGAACCATTCTGCAACTCGTCGCACATCTCCGCTATGCTTTCGCTGTAACCACCACCACAATCATCGACGCTTTCCCCTAAAATAGTTACGGATTGCTTATAGAACTTGTTTGCTTATAGTTTAGAAGGTATTCGCCAATCACATGTGTTGAAGCGGAATACGCACCAACAAATTTCACTTTCCATACTCTATGAGGTAGAAACAATACGTCTTGCGTTAAGAGAGACATTTTGGACACCATCTGACCGAAAACAGACTTGATACCGTCCGGTCCAGCGTATCCGCCTTTACCCCTTGCCCTCTTCACCTGTATCCTGTTCAGTTCGATCACAGGCCCGTGTTGACGATCTCTCACCATCGTAGCTTGTACGACTTTACGGAACGTCGCTTCCTTTATAGTGTACACAAGCATAGGGCCCAATTTGTCCAGTCCAGTGGGCCCGGTAGTCGGAAACATCGCCAAAGCAGGACACAGAAGCTCGGCAAAATGATGTAACAACACCAATCTATTGCGCAGCACCGAGAATGGTATCTCTTTCACTAGATCGTACTCCATAGGTGCAGACGCCGGCATTCTGCTTTGTGTAGCTTTCGCCGTGCTCCAAGCCAATGTATGCGCACTACCGCATGCGACTCTCGTGATCTTCTTGCCCTGCAACGCGTGTACCAGCCGTGGTCTCTGCAGAGCGCTTGTAGTACCGTCGCCGAGTTGTCCCTCGTCATTGTCGCCCCAAGTGAAGACTTCTCCTTTGTCAGAACAAGCGACGCAATGCAACGAACCCGTCGCTATCGAAATGATCTTCTTCCCTTGCAATGCCGCTACCTTTCGTGGCCTTCGCACATGGTCATCCGTACCGTGACCCAAACGATGGTAGTCTCCCTTGCCCCTACACATATATAACAAAGTAAAGAATGTGAACAAGATTAACGTATTAGTGAAGATAATAGAATAATTCAGTAGGAACTATGTATGGTGTGAGATTTGTAAGATTGTAAATGAATGCTATGAGTTGTCATTACCAGGTATAAACCGCTCCAGATCTTGTTAAGGCGACGGAGAACTGGCTGCCGCACTCGACTTTGATTACACCAAGCCCGGCTAATGAATCTATTTTCAAAGGAACTTTGCATCCGTCACTACCGCCTCTTCCTAACTTCCCATAGTCACCGTCACCCCAACTCCACACGTTATCATCGTCGGTCACGCAGAGTGTTTGCGCGTCGCCGCTTCCACAAGCCACATCGATCACCTTGTAGTCTTGCAAAGCTTCTACCACCTTCGGCCGTAACTGATCGTCGCTGTCACCATGGCCGAGACGTCCGTATCGTCCTGCAATCGATTATTATTGTACGACTTCAATCACGTTTCATGTGAAGTAAAATATGCACCAAGTCGCATTAACATGCGATAACTCTAAATCGTTGAAAAAATAAAAGCGTTCAGCGCTTCTTCGACTTTAATTTTACCTTTCCCCCAGGTATACAACCAACCAGCACTCGTGATAGCAGCGCTATGGTGACCGCCACAAGCTATGTCCACAATCTCAATGCCGAGCAAATCCTCGACCAACTTTGGTCGATCGTACGATAGTCTATTACCATGTCCCAACTTGCCGTCATCGCCTTCTCCCCACGAATACACGTGACCCTCTGAGCTCAAGGCGAGACAATGCTTCCCACCCGAATTCACGGCCACCTTTTTGATGAACACATGTTGTATAGATTCTAACAACGTTGGTACCATGACGGAATCTGTTCCTCCTATTCCTAGACGTCCCGCAGCACCGTAACCTGTCACAAAATCATGTTGGAATTTGTTGAAAACTGTAGCACGAAAGTAACGTTCACGCCGATATTACTCCTCCAGTTTACCTGTGGAATAAACTTTTCCATCGGCAGTCACTGCGAAGAGAGTTTGTTCACCTCCAGCTAATTGAATCGGTCTAAGCGCTGACAGACTCTCGCACGGTGCTGGTAGCTTGATTTTCGCGCCCTCTAAACCTCCCAGTTGTCCTCTATGATTGTGACCCCAGCCATAAATCGCGCCAGATCCGTCCCAAGACAAAGTCCAATCCTCTGGTCTGCGATTCAGCCACTGCAATAATTGCTCGTCGTGTTCTTGCTTGAATATAATATGGTTCTCGTGGTCCTTAGTACACTCCGTATCTCCGTCCGTTGTCATCTCATTGAGTTGCTTCGTCACCTCGTAGCAGAACGCTCTCGGTAGCACGGTGCGATCTATCAATGACTTGGCAACACGTGCAGCAAGGCAGTACCTGCGAAACCAGGACCACTTGTGCACTTCGGTGCAACATTGCATGGTGTCCAACTCGAGATCGCACGCGAGCGCCACGAGAACCTTGAAGAAATCGCTGTGCATCAGTTGCTTGCCGCCTCTGACCAAAGGATCCTCATAAGAGTACTGTCTGAGAAGTGCTTGCGGCAATGAGCCCAGCAAAGACGACAACGCCACTTCAGGCTTTATTCCAGGTCCGCTTGTGTAAACCACTTGCAACTTCTTCAACGCCCACATCCTCTGCTGCGCGGACAAAGTGCTCAGTTGACTACACTGAGCCAGAGCGGTCGCCAAGCGGGAAGCGACGTTCCTATCGGAATTGATCAGACTGTTGTCCATGAGAAGATGCTCCGCTACCGCTATGGTTGGCTGCGATAACACCGCTCGATCAGAGCCGAGCTCATACGGAGCGAGGGTTGTGAGAACAGGGTGTACTGTGAATCGCCAACCCCAGCCGTTGACGGATCCGTCCGAGGAGAACCGCCACCTCAGCTCGTCCCCTTGAATTCTAATGTCCGACGACCATTCGGTCCACTCTCTGCCGGATCGCACGGCCACCACTCGGCCGCTCCCATCCATTATTGTCAGTGGATCGTGCCGTTTCTCCGTAGAACACTGTCTGTCGAATTCCACGCGTAATGCTTCAGCACCGGGGATCTTTACGTTACCAGTCATCGTGGTGTCGTCTATGTAAGGATGCGGTGTTTCCTGCACCACGGACTGCGGAGTGTTGTTCACGCAATTGCTGTTCGCCGCGGTGTCCTCCAGCTCGGTCACGCATTGCTCTAACAGCATGCTGCCGATGGTACAGTTGACCTTGCCCAAAGCTATCAGCACAGATGAGATCGTTTCCTTGGCGAACGAGCAGACTCTGTTGGCAACCGCCAACTTCAACAGGTCCACCAGTACTCTCGCGTCGTCCTCCGTTAATGCTGACGTGAATTCGTCCAAGCCGGAGTCAGTAGCAGCGCCTTCGCCCACCACCTGCGCATTGGATGTTAAAGTGGCTGCTATTACGCTCATTGCGCCTGTTGACATCTTCGAGGCACGCGATGACACGCTAGAACTGGACATGGACGGAAACATCGCCAACGGGAAGTCTTCGGACTCAGGAGTCATTCTAGGGCTGGTGGGCACGTTGACTGCCTCAGCGACGTTCGCAGGAGCTTCACCTCCACCTTGCGCGATGTCACCGACATTCTGATAAACCGCATGCTCGGTACTCGAGGTCATGGCACTCTCTGACGGTGGTGCCACCATATCCGTGGTCGCCGGTGGTATCGGCGTGTGCTTCGCCGAGGCGCGATCGCTCAACATCGAGTGACTCTGCAAGGCCGTCACTATCGCCGTGCGTGCCTGCATGATGAGAAGAGCGTTTATCACGTGCTGCAACGCTTGCTGTTTGGCGACATTGCTCTCCAATGAGAGTATTATACTAGCGAGCGACGGTCTAGTGGCGATAGCGTTGCTAGTCGTGGCGACGACGCCGTTCTGTTCAGCCGCGTTACCCAAGCCCAAACACATTTGACCCAACGGATCCCTCGCTGTTTGGAATGTGACTGGTTCCTGATTACCGTTGGTAGGCTGATCTACTAGTATCCAAGCAATACTGTGACTCGAGCCGCAAGATACTCTGTTCATTCTCGTATCGTCCAGTTCATGTACCAACGACGGTTTCCTGTTGACGATCGTGGTGCCGTTACCTTGTTGCCCATGATCGTTGTCACCCCATGCGTACACTTGGCCAGTGTCTGTAACTGCGAGACAATGCAGCGCTCCGACTGCTACATGAACGATCTTCTTCCCTCGTAGACCTTCGACCAGTGTGGGTTTCCTTACGTGATGATCGTTACCATGACCTAAACGGAAGTAATCTCCTTTCCCCCACGTCCACACCTCACCGTACTTCGTCAGAGCGAGAGAAAATTGCGCACCGCATTCCACCTGGACGACTCCCAGACCATTTAGGCGATCCACCAATAAGGGTGTGTAACAACCATCGCTTCCGCCTCGTCCAAGCTTGCCGAAATCTCCATCCCCCCAGGTGTATACACAACCGTCAGCTGTCAAGGACATCGTTTGCGCGTCTCTGCTACCACAAGCTACCTGAACTACCCTTTGTCCGCTCAACGCCTGCACCAGCTTCGGTTTCATCTGCGTGGCGGTGTCTCCGTGCCCCAATCTACCGTATTCGCCTAGACCCCAGGTGTAGAGTTCACCGTTGCTCGCGATAGCCGCCGAATGACCGGAACCGCACGCGATGTCGCGGATTCTCTTCGACTTAAGCGACTCGATCAGTCGCGGTTTGTCCAGCGTCGTGCAATTTCCGTGTCCCAGTTTCCCGTCTTCACCTTCACCCCACGAAAACACCTTACCGTCCTGAGTAAGCGCCAACGCGTGCTTTCCGCCTGAATGCACCGCCACTTTCTTGATCACGTATTGACTCAAGAAAGGTATAAGTTTTGGTTCGCACATGTTGTAATCGTCTCCTAAACCCAACCTGCCGTTTGTTCCTTCTCCGCAAGCGTACAACTTGCCTTCTTGACTAACGATGAAGAGAGTTTTGCTGCCTCCGGCTATATGAATAGGCTTCAACTTCGACAACACTTCACTGCGGACCGGTATCTTGATTTTAGATCCTTTCAAGCCCCCCAATTGATCTTTGTCGTTCAAACCCCACACATAGACAGCCGACTGTTGCGGCGGCGCATCAGTACTGCGTTGCGCCGTCACTTGCTCTTGCAAAACCTCCCAATCCGACGCAAGGAAAGAAACCGAGGTCGTCAGTTGATTCTCGAATATTCTCTTGCGCCCGACGACGCGCAAACCATGTATCTTACAATCTATACCGCCATTTCTACATTGCTTGATTGCGATCTCTATGCACGGATAATATTCCTTCATATCTTGCAGCAGCGTCACGCTCGTGTCCGAATGACGCACGCTTATTGTGGTTAATTCCGTCAAATTGATAAAAGAATCGCCCGCATTGACAGCCACCACGGATGGCATGTAACTGCTGTCCTGCGGATTCACGATGATCTTCAGGAAATGTATCAGGATACCGGGTAACATTTCCAGACGAATCCAATGTTTACCCTGCGAGCCGCAACTCTGCCAATACTTGCCGGAACCGTCTACCAGTCGCGTCGCCCAGTTCTCTCGCGAGGACACACTCAGAGTCCTGATGCACTTGGACCAGTCTTCGATCAGAGACGGCTCCGTTAGATCTTGCCTGTGGTACCTTCCGGGCTTGCCGGCGTAAACAGCGGCGGAGCCGGGCTCCGCTATTCTATTGAAACCGTGTCGATGCGAACGCTTTGTGTAAAAACAATTCTCGCATAAGTTATAATTATCGCAGTACTTGCACTTAAACCTGGGCCCAGAGATAGGTGATAAACAGCACGAATTGCAAATAACGGAATGATGGCAGGACGGCACCTTCTCCATCTCCGTGACACAGCCGGTCCACGCTACCTGCTGCGGAAAATCTACGTACACCTCTTTGCCGTTATTGATGATTTCCGTGATGATACCGACGCTGTGATGGTTTACAGAACCCCATTTGTATTTCGGCACGGTCACCGACGCCTTCACGCGAACCTTGTCGCCCACCTTCAACGCGGGCGGCCCCGGTAAGGACGGCGGGTGACCCAACAACTCTATATGAATAAATCGCACCCAGTACATGCTGCCTCTGCGTTGCCACGCAACCTGTGCGTTTAAATCATGCAATCCTTCCGGGTCAATCTTCACTACCTGACCAACGTCCCCGTATTCCACTTCTTCATAGCTCTTGCAGCATCGCACCAGCATACCTGGCACCACATTGTCGCGCACGTAAATCGCGTACTCGTCCACTGATAAGAAGTCTGAGCGCTTCATGTACGTTGGTGGTGGCGCACCGCCCATCGTAGATGCGGCTTCTTGTGCGGACGGTGAGTCATCCATGTCCTCGCTGATCGAGTCGTCGATGTCCGTTAGTCCTTCCGGACTCGACAAGGTTTCCGTGTCGCTAAGAACGGCGTCCGGATTCTCCAACAGCCAGCCTACCACGCTCTCGGCTGTCACGCTACCTTGCTCGCCGACGCTGAGGCTCTTGATTGCTAGCTCCACGCTCTTCTTGTGGAAACCCATCTCGACTAACTGAGCTACCAGGGGACTTACAGGCGCCGCCACGGAGCTTCTTCTCGTGGCCGCGCCGGTCTTGCAGTGTCTCTTCTGACTCGACGTCAGCGAGACCAACGAGCACTCGGATATAGGCGTGGTGGGATCCGAGGTCATCGTAGTGCGTTGAATGGGTGTGTGTCTCAACTCAGACGCTAAGTACTGGGAGACCGCTAAAGCGGCTTCTTCGATTTCTCTACGTTTAAATATCGGTTTCAGTGGTTGTGGTTTCGTCGCGCGCAGCAACATCTCTTGCAGAAGCATCGAGCTATGCCGGTCGTCATCATTGACGTCATTATTGAGCGAACACTTAAGAATCCTCCGTAATTTCGATTGATAGGCGAGCATAGCTTTGCCAGCGTTCAAGGCCGCGAGCTGTTGCTGTTGAGTACGTAATATCGAGGCGTTGACGACGCCAGCGATCACGGGCATTCCGCCAGGCCGTTTGTCCATGCCAGAAGTAGTGCCTAAGAGTAGACTGGCCCAGGTGGATATCAGTTGCTCCGTCAAGGACATTCGGTCCAGTTGGAATTTCTCGGTTGTCCGCTTCACTGAGTAAAATGGGACTATTTTCCGTGCTCTGCCACCGTCCCTCAGCTGTATAACGAGTTTCGAGTGTTTCGTGAATTTGCAGACTATAGCCAACTCGTTCTCGTAATTCACCAGACCTCCGATTCTTATTCTATTGTCTAAGCCGCCGATGACTACGAGAGTCGCCATCACCGTCCTCTGGATATTCAGGCTGTTCTCACCGTCGTTCTCGTTCATCTGTATATGAATCAACGGACCGTCGCTCAGTAGCTCCGCCGTCAAGGATAACTTGGAGGCGAGGAATCGATTGATGATCGCGTTCCAGCCAGGAAGACTGTGTAAAAGTCTGATGAGCCATATCAATTCTTCCGCCACGGTGGAACTGTATGATGCGGTTAGGGACATACGACATTTGTTCGAATGCAACTCGGCGCCAGGAGCGATATCACAGGCGAGCGCTACCTGACCCAATATCTCAAAGGTCCTCTCCAACAACTGTCTCATGTCGTTCAGGTCTCTTTCCACCGCCCAGGAGGGTAAGACAGCCGCGAGTAGTCTCATCACCATGATCTGCTTCTCGAGACAGGGTTTTGTCTCGTCCGCAACAATGTTCAACAAGAAATCCAACCATGCCTGCGAACTTAAAGACTTACATAACTGCTTGGACCTCGCGATTGCTCTCAACAGGCCGAAAGTGGCCCAAGTTTCATGATGTTGTCTCGCTAATTGTACAAACGTGTTCAACTCCCCGGTTTTGTTCGCGGTGGATATTATACCGTGTAACGTGGATGCCAGAATTTTGATGGATATCGCAGATACTTTGTCTGCCTCTATACCGCAGGAAAGCAAGATTATTCGTAGCAAGGTCCTCGACGCCGACTTGAGACAACAGGTCGGATACAATTCTTGCCCACGGGAATTAACATTCTCCAGGTTATCCGTGTCAATTGGAGAGTCGCTGTCGATCTCATCGCTGTCGTCGTCAGGAGGAGTCGGCGGCTCGGCTAATTTCAGGTCGTATTTGCCTTCCTTGCCCATACGATATGAATTAGTCGCCCCGTTGTCCCACTGCACCCTTATCCAGCCGTCTTCGCCAAGCTCACCGATCACTCTACCTTCGCCAGGCGGTGGACCATCTTGATCTCCCCACTTCCAATCGATCCCTCGCACAACTCGGGTGCCGATCTTCATCAATGCCGCCAACTCCATACCGTTGAGTTGAACACTCTGCGGCTTGCTTCTCTGTATGGTGTCCTCGTAAATCGCCGTGATCTCGGTTTTTATTCTCGACGCTTCACCACCGCCGCCTTGCTGTCCCTGGTCTTCAGCAGCTTCGCAGAAATTCGCAGGCCCGATTTGCCGTAATAAAGTCAAGATACTCGATAACAGACCTGAGTTGATGAGCAATCCGATCTTGTTGGCGCATTGATAGTTGGTCAGCATACCGAGGATGGTCAGCAAGAACCGTGCTCTCGGTAACTTCCGCAGCCACGTGTAAGTACCTTGATTCAAACTGCTCTTTCCGCTGATCTTCTGCTTGTTCGGCTGCTCTGCCTGCACTATGTACGCTCGTAAAGCCTGCACCGCCCACGAGATCACCTCGGCTTCCGCCAGGATGACCTTGGACTTTTGATAAGGAGTCGTCAATTGTATATCGTACAGACAGTGCATGATCCCGTCGCTAAGCGACTTGTTCTCGTATGTCAAACCTAGCCAGCCGTTCAGTAAGGAATACTTCACCGACGTGATCAGATAATCTTTCTTCAACAACTCGCGCATCATCGAGATACCCTGTTCCCGCACTCTGGCGCGCTGCATCTGACAGTACATCGCGCGACGCAGCGTCTCGACGTCGCCACCGAGGCCGTTATTCATGACGAAATTGATGATGTTCGTCGTCAGGCTGTTGTAATCGCCAGTGGCCCATTGTATCGGCCCGCAGCGGATCTTCTCGGTCATCTGCATAATTTTATTCTTAATATCCGAGATATCCTCCAATTTCGCAGACGAGGAAGAGGCAGCAGTCAGGCTTTCCTTGGAAGAGGCCGTCGTGTCCTCGTCCGTTTTGTTCTTCGCTTTGGCATTCTGTATCGACGCGTTCAAAATGTCCTCCGGCTTGCCGCCACCTCCCGGCGAGGCTTTGTTCTTTCGAATATCTGCAATCACTGTGCGAACAGCTCTCTTAAATCTGGAATCGACGTGTAGGAGCTCAAGATCCTCGAATCCTTTCACCTCGTAGCTCATTGCGGATCTCACTTCGTACAAAAGAAATTTGCACCTCTCTTGCGCGGGGGCGCAAACTTCCTTGTAACTTCTGTTCTGTTGCTGTCTAGTCCGCACCAGGTTCCACTTGGCTTGGTAAACCGCTCGCATTATGTCGGCTAACGGGGCAGTTAATTTCACGCTGTTGGCGGCTCTCAGCTCCTCTTCGGCTAACGCGAGCGCTTGTTGGCCTAATCCGAGGTGTTTTATAATCACAGCTAATAAAGCGCGACCGATCTCCTCGACGGGATGATCGACATAGAAGTCGGCATGCGAGAACACATTGTCGGCCTTTTGATGCCGGTCGATTATCGTCAAGAATGCACGCACATGATCGTCGGCCTTGTGCGTCTCCGCTAATGCCTGTATAAATGCAACCGTCCGATCGTCGTTCTCCTTCTGCTGCTCGTTCTTCGTGTGTATCGGCAACGGCGGTTCCGTGGGCGAATTGGCGGCGGTCGACGTGTTGCTTCTTGCCTCGTCCTTCTCCTCCTCGTACGGATTCGGCGGTTGCAGAACTTGTAAGCCACCACGCAAGAAACTCGCGCTGAGCCACACGCCGGCTTCCTCCTCTGCTGATTGCAGCGTTAGACTTTGACGCATTCTGTAAGCGTGTAATCCCAGCAAAAATCCCAAAGCCCTCTCTGTGTCCAGAAGAGACGAGCAAACGTCAGTCATTTCGATTGTGATGCGTGCATTCTCGTCGGGTTCAGTTTGGGAGTAATGACCGACGAAGCAAGAGTCCATCATACCTCGAGGTGGCGACAACTGGCCGTAAGGCGCGCTGGATTGCGTTGTGCTCTCGTCCCGTCCGATGTATCTCTGCAATACCTCGTAAGGAGACCAAGTGCCCTCGTGCCTGATGTCTTGTATGTCATAAACGTTGTTGTTCACCACGACCCAGAGACCACCGTCGCGATTGTGATTCTCCAGATCTGCCCAGCGTATCAGCGGCGGCTCCTCATGAGTGGATATCTTATTGCCGTGTTGGGGCGCGATAATGCCCGGCCACGACAGGTCGTCCGCCTCGTTCTTCTCCATCGTCGGTGCTAATCGGACGAAGTAATCCAACGCGTCCAATATCGGTGCGATCACCTCCATCCAGTTCATATCGATCAGCAACATGGGACAGTCTACTTGCAGCAGTATCAGACATATTATTAGCTCGGACAGCAGCACGTTGATAATGTCGCCCTTCAGCACGCTGGCGACCGAGACGAAGTCCTTGACGGAACGGCCGCCTATCTCGGCCGCTAATGGCAGTGTCTCGGTCGCGTGATCGCAGATTTGCGCGATGTACTTCTGCAACAGCGACTCCGCGCCTATCATTTCCTGATCGTGCAGATCTTCGGTGCGCGACTTGCGCGCGATGCACTCATACACCTGCGCGATCAACAGACGTTGAAAACGCAGCAGGAGATTTAGGCTGGGCGAGTTGTCAAATCGGCGCAAATGCTCGTTCCGGTCGGCGTGTAGCTGTGACGAACCTTGCTGCAGTCTGGACTGCGTGATGCACGTACCATTTCGTATCAGTTGCTGTATAAGTTGCAGCAACGAGATAGTCGTGATATTCTTGCCGGAATTGAAGCCGTCCTTCATTGCCTGCCTCGTCTCGCTCTTCACCTTCACGACGTTCGACGTGTCGACGTCGATTAGAAAGTCCTTCTCATCCGGCATGTCCGCGATTTCGGCCTTGATCGCGGCCTTCAGCGCCAACTCCAAACCACCGTCCGCCATGAGACTAGACACCAATAAATCGGCCATAAACCGTTGGCCATTGTTGTTCGCTGAACTGGATTGCTCCGCGTTGTTGAGAGTGTTCGGTAGAAAGCTGGACAACGTTTTCGCGCGCTCATTCGCCGTCGGCAGTAGTATGCTCCAGCCGGTTTGCAGGACCGCTTGCGCCGCTTCCTGTATCGTCGCTAAGATCCCGGTCGCGCTTGCCAGATTCACGCAACGTTGCTTCAAAGAATTCAGCAACGTGCTAGTGGCGGCAAGCCCGACCGACTTGGCGTCGATATTGTGCGTCAGCATGGTGTGCAGTTGCAGACGCAGCAAATTCAGCGTAGCCACCGCTAGGCACTCACGGTCCTGCGTGGGCGGCCGGATGCCAGGAAGACCTTCGCAGGACTTAGCCAGAAGCGTGTCGAGCAGCTGAAACGTCTCCTCGCATATGTCCACGACGAAAGCCACTCTATTGGCACCGCCTGACCATGCTGACATGCACCAGGCGAAACTTTGGGTCGGTCCTGATGCTAGACCGATGACGTTCTTCGAGGATAACGTAGGACACAGAGAAGGCTCGGAAACAACAGGACCCAACGTAGGATCGATCTGACCGTAATCGTTTCTGCCCCATCCGTAGACGAATTGATCCTCTGTTAATGCTAGTATATGCGTACCTCCGACAGAGAGATCCTTGATCTTTTTGTCTCTTAATGATTCGATCAGTTTGGGATACCTAACGTGCTCTTCGTTACCGTGGCCCAAACGATAAGCGTCTCCTTTGCCCCACGTGTACACTTCTCCACGAGCCGTCAACGCTGCGGAAAACTGACCGCCGCAGAACACTCTCACCACATTGATGTCCAACAGCTTGTCGACGATCTTCGGCGTTTTAGAACCATCGGATCCACCACGGCCTAGTTTCCCGTAATCGCCGTCGCCCCAAGAGAAGACGATGCCGGAAGCGGTGACACACAGGGTTTGAGAATCACCGCTACCGCACGCCACGTGCACAACCATGTGACCCTTGAGCGTCGTCACCAAGGTCGGTACGGTGACGTCGTCGTTGCTACCGTGGCCCAATCTGCCGTAATTTCCTCTTCCCCATGTGTACAATTCACCGCTGGCACTCAACGCCGCCGAGTATGTGCTGCCGCAAGCTATGAAAATGATATTTTTCTCCAGAAGCGTCTCGATCAGCTTCGGTTCGTCATGTGAGATGTTGTCGCCGTGTCCGAGTCTACCGCCGTCTCCATTTCCCCAGGAGTACACGCAACCGTCTTGCGTCAATGCTAAATAATGCTTGCCGTCCGAGTGAGACGCGATCATCGTTACCGGCTTATCAGAGAAACTGTGCATCCTCTGCGGATACTGAGTCTCTGATCCGTAGTACATGATGTAAACATTCCCGCTCAAGGATAATATCAATAACGCTCGTTCGGTACAGCACAAGTGCTTTATCCCCAGCTCGGCGATCGCGTCACAGTAAAACGGAGAGGAACCGTTACCGAACTTCACACCACCCCAAGCTAATACCTCCTGGTATGTCTGTCCGCCGCCTCCGTTCCTCGGAAATCCGCATTCAGTGCTAACGGGTGGTAAAAGAGGAGCAGCCAATCTACTGAGGTTGCACATTATGATAACGGCAGCTTTTCTCAAGTCGACGGACACGGCGTCGTCATCTGGCAGTCGTAGATACTTCAATAAAACTTCGCAGGGTCCCGGTGTAACGTTCCCATCAAGATGTCGGCGAGACTTCGTCGCTGGAATCATGTTCAATCGTCGTAACAGCGGAACTAGCGGCGCCGTACTCCCAGGTGGTGTCACTCTGTTATCTTGATTCTTATGTTTATTACTGAGGTGCAGCAACAAAACCACAGAGTCCAATAAACTAGAAAGGGTGGCTCTCTGCGCGACCAGCTCCAGTAAAAGGCAGAGTGCCGTATGCTGATCCGACAATGGCACAGGACGCCACGATCGTCCGGTGGTTACCTCCCTAAGGACAAATATATGACCTGCGTCTATCGTATGTGTTTGAACACAAATTGGGAATGAATGATCGTTAATTGTAAAAACAACATATACCCAGTGACAACTTGTCTCAAAAATTTAGCCGATCTTTCTACGACTTCTAACCAGATTTGAGAAACGTTACTCTCGTCGAAAAGAGTCGCCTCGGGTAATGATTGCAACGCCTCCAATGACTCGGTTAGTAATTCGCTACAGAATTCGACGTCCTCTCCGGATCGCCAAGCTCTTCTCAAGTACGCAAATGAAAAATTGAGTGCGGCACGTGAACCGACACGCGCTAATCCTAGGGTCGCTTTTTCATTAGGTCTCGGCCTGCAATTCACAAAAATACGAATCTTTATATTAATGTTTGTGCTAACGGCACAAGTCTAATATTTCAAATAAAACAGGAAAAGAACGACGTACTTTAAACAGGCTCAACATAGAATCACATCAGTATATAAATATATATCGATATTTTGTATGTGACATGTAACATGCACGACAAAATAAATCATTTAGGTAAGTTGACCTGCGCTATATACAACAGGATAACGTAAAATAAATAAATTTTTTTGATCTGTGAAATAAATTTTAATGATCTGATTTCTATTGTGAAAGTAATTCAGTGATACAGCTGACTAAAGTGATGCAGTTTCAGCAAATTGATCTGTAGTATCTCTATATTCATTTGCTGCTACAAACACACATATTTAATTCGTTTTGGTAGGCTTATACTCAACGTTTTCTGTAATTTTCCGATAGGCTTTGGTAAATTCGAGGTATCCTTAATCTCTTGTGGTTTATGACGTGACAAGGCGGTAAAGTATCTTCGAGCAACTATTAATCGTTGTCTCAAACGCGTTGCAGATAATGTACTATTTGCAACTTCGCAACATAGCTTCCGCTGCTCTTTTATTGACAAGTCGATACAACCTCTTAAGTCAACTAATGCTAAAAAGAAGTCTGAATATAAACATTTCTGTTGATTCAAGCTTAAAATATATATTTTAATTAAAATTTATTAAAATCTATATTTTAAAATATAAAATGTAAAATATAGTCATACATGTGATAAACATCATTAAGGTAAGATAGACTATATTTATAGACAGAAATTTATAATTTGGTAAAAGCTAGAGAGAGAGTGATATGTAAGGATATTTCTTGCATGAAAATTCATTTGATGACTGCACAATGCAAATTCTTTAAAATTTGCTGACTCCAATGCAAATTTTTTTAAAAACAAGCCACAAATTAACATATATTTACATGGTGGTGGCCCCCAAAGCCACGAATCTATTATCCGCCGGGCAGGTATAGTTTTCTCAACCATTGCTGTTGTTCTTGCCGCTTCTTCTTCATCAAGTTTTTGGCAAGGAATACAATTACAACCATGTTGTGGACCACAGATTCCATCACAGCATAGACAAGATAATACTCTCATACCGCAATAATACCGTCCATTATCACCTGAGAGAATATCCATAAAAGATACTGATACTTGTTACTTATTATTTATGCCTCATTGTCAAGTAAATAAGAAAGGCAAATAAGAATATGATTAAAACTACAAATAATACATGAGGCAAATGAGAGAAACAAATGATGAATTATAATATAAATTTCATTAAAAACTAATAAACTGAATAAATATTTGTCCAACATTCAGTTATGATCCATATGTACCCTTTTTTGCTACAATTCCTGCAGAATTGATCAGGCCATCACTGAAGGAACCAACAATTTCTCCATCCCGCACCATCTCATTCCACAACTCTGCCAATCCATCACGGTAAAGGAATCGTTGTAAGTCAGTCTTTAACCACTTTGTGTCCAATCTTACATCAGGTCTAACTGTTATATTTAATTGGCTACTCATTTTATCCATTATATATATATTCTTCATACAGTTCCCCAGTATACAGCCATCAATTCACCAACACAGGCATAAATAATCAGGTAGATTATATTGAGATTAAGTTAAGAGTAATGGTTATCTTAGGTATGATCATTTCTTCTTCCTTTGCTTCCATCACAAGACGTCTATTAATTTCTCATTGGATCGATAAGTAGAAAACATTGTTTCGAGATTAAATATTAATTACTCATAGAATTGAGCTTTCGGCCGGATATAATTTTCGTGTAATAAAAGAAAATAATTCTTTTTGTGAGTTTTCGAGACGGTTGGATGAATTTCACAGTACAGAATTTGCTCGGGAGGTTAACAACTAGTACGATGCGTGTGAATTCTCGTCTCACAGTTTTAATTCGCTCCGTCTCTCCCGTCCTCTAACCGCCCCTCATCATCTGTAAACATCCATCGTCGCTAATTTACCGTGATCCAAATTAAAGAGTTATTCGAATGTATGTTGTGACATTCGAATGTCGTTATATTTTGACATATACGCAACGCACACACACACACACACTCACACACATACACGTACGCATACACTTACACATTCGCCAAGTTCCTTGCAGATCTAATGTGATCGGCTGTTCGATTACCCACCGATTACCACTACACTAGTATCGCCAGTATTCGCGCGATAGCGCAGTAATCGAATACGCACGTGCGAAACATCGTTTGCAATCGTCGCGTCACGCGTGGTGTACGTGTGTGCGATGTATATGAATAGTGTGTATGCTCGCGCAACGACAATCCGCTTGTCAAAATTGGTACTGGCACGGACATTTTGCTGTGTTGCCGTAAGTTTAACGTGTTATAACGTTGAATCTACCTCTCGAACGATTCCATCGAGCGTCCGTTCCATCTCTCGTATTGTTTATACGTATACATCCTTGTGCATTTTGTAGATTCGTGACCGGTGCACACCGTATACACAACACGCACGTATTGATTATGGCGCTATAAACGCGACATACCGTTTACGTTGCAATCGTCGTATACTGTCAGGCAACGCAACCAATCGTACGCGCCGATGTATTAGCGCTACCCGTCGGTGACGTCAGATGACGTATGTCTGGCGATTTAAATGTCCCAATGCTGCCATTGGCTGATATTTAATCAGCTCTTTAAAACCACACCATCTTGTAGTCTTTCTTCTCTCTTCCACTAAAGGTTAAATATGTCTATTTCGTTTAAAGTCAGTGCAGCTTGATACAGGGTATGATCCACTAGACGTTGCAAATACTTTGAAGCGCTCTGTAGACCAATCACGGCCTTTCTTCAAGCGCTTCGAAGCATTTGCAGCGTCTAATGGATCATATCCGTAGAGCCACATGATCTGTTCCTTTTAGTGTTGTATTAGGTTGCACTTTTTATCAATAGAGTGAAATAAATATATAAATTTGAGAAGATAAGATAAAGAGAAAAGGAACAAAGTTTCAGTGCAGTACTAGCATAGTTAAAAGGAACAGATCTATAAATGCAGATATATCGTCGTAAGATGATTGGTTCTCAGTTGGACAAGTTTAATTTATGATTTGTAGATAGTTTTACATCACTGAAAAATTAATTCTTTATAAAGTATAAATTAACAAGAGTCCATATTAATTATCAACGAAGACTACGTTACGAATATTTCAAGAGAAATATGTTCAATAGCATAAAACATTCACTAAAATATAATCCGAGTAAATTTGGTGAGTACATATTTATTGCGCGTTATATTTATAAAGTTTTAATTTAAAAAGACCTATCAATATTATGGTTACAAGTCCATTATGATAAACCCAATATTTATTTCATATATTCGTGAGAAGAAAGTAACGTTTATATCAGCATCGACATGTTATCATTTTAGGTTATCAATTGTTGGCACAGTTTTCAGCGGAAACAACAGTTAAAAGTGATCCAACACCTCGAGAATGTTCACGCAAGTCTTTTTCACACGCAATATGTGGACAACCGACGCCGCTGACGCATCCTCACTTGATAAAACACGGAGAAGTTGTGCCAGGTATATCGCTCCAGGAACTTAGGAGACGACGCTCTAAATTGGTAGAAAACATCACTCAAGAGAAACATGCTAAAGATAGGCAACAAATCGTTGTTATACCTGCATCATCTAAAGTTTATATGTCTGATAAAATACCATACGTCTTTCGACAAAATACAGATTTTTTATACTTTTCTGGATGTCAAGAACCAGATAGTGTTTTAGTACTCACATGCAAAGAGGATAAATTTTCATCTGTCTTGTTTGTGAGACCAAAAGATCAACATTCTGAATTATGGGATGGTCCAAGAACTGGTGTTGAGATGGCAACTGAAATGTTTGGCACAGATCATGCTTTGCCTGTTACACAATTTGAACAGTTCCTTGCTTTACTGCTACAAAAGGATGAAAAATCTATTGTTTGGTATGATCATGCTGATATTGTTCAACCAATTCTACATAAGAAATTGTGTCAATTAATTAAATTGACAGACAATCAAATATTTGCTTCTCCCAAGACCTTGTTTCATCAAGTTCGTTTGATCAAGAGTGCTTGTGAAATTGATTTGATGCGGAAAAGCTGTGAAATAGCCTCTGAGGCTATTCGAAAAACAATTCAGTCTTCAAAATCAGGGATGAGCGAACATCAGTTATTTGCTACTGTAGATTACGAATGTCGTATGAATGGAGCTGAATATCTGGCATATCCTCCTGTTGTAGCAGCTGGCAAAAATACAAATATAATACATTATATCAGTAACAATCAAATTATTCAAAATGGCGATTTGGTTCTAATGGACGCAGGTACAAACGGAAATATATAGAATTATGACTGCTGTACTTTGGATTTCCTGATAAATATTACTTATCTATCTGTATCTATCTGTATTTTCAGGTTGCGAATACCATGGTTACTCATCCGACATAACGAGAACATGGCCAATTAGTGGTAAATTTACGCCAGAACAGAAAGTTCTTTATGAAGTGGTACTCGACGTACAAAAGGACTTGATAGATAGTCTAAAAGCACTGCCGTCACTGGACAAAACGTTCCGCTACATGTGCGTTCTCCTAGGAAAGAAATTGCAGGATGTCGGCTTGATACCAACAAACATCAGTGAGGATAAAGTCCTGGCTGCTGCATACACGTATTGTCCACATCACGTCAGTCATTATCTAGGAATGGATGTGCACGACACCGGAAACATATCTAGAAGCATACAAATACAACCTGGAATGATAATAACGATGGAACCTGGTACGATTTAAAGCGTGATACCTGCATGCACATTCGCAGAATCGTTCGTAAAATAATTTACATATATTCCATCATGCCACATTAGGTGTATATGTGAGTCCGAACAATCCTTACGCACCGCCACACTTTCATGGATTGGGTATTCGTATAGAGGACGACATATTAGTAACAGAAAACGGAGCAGAAGTCTTGACGAAAAATTGCCCGAAGGAAGTGACGGAGATTCAAGCCTTAGCGAGCCAAAATCAAGGATGTTGAAACATTATTATAGCATAATATACTTTTTATTCAAATGTATACGAAACAGAGAATATATTGTGTAAGTATAAATGTGCTAACAATTATAATGAATATTGTGCAACAATACATATCTGTTATACATATGTTGATAGAATTATGTTGCACATTGATACAATATGATCTCTAGTATAATCTGGATCTTTTACAGTTGTTGCAGACAATATTCTATTGTATTACAGACATTGTTACATTTTATGACAGAGGTTTATATTTCATATTTTTTCAAATTCATTTCCAGATTGTTCAAACGTTCGTCTACCTCACGTTAGGAATAATGCTAGAGTTCTCTGTATGCTAATATATGTATGTATATATATTTATGTGTATATAGATATTTTTTAATATTTTTATATTCATTTTCTTTTTTTATTATAGACTCAATGCACAAAATCTTATCTTGAATTCATACGGACAGTCTCATTACTCGAAAATTTGTCCAAGTGGAAACAGATGAACATTACATACTTGGAACCAGTAGAGTATCACTAGAATTAATAACAATAGCGTGTATATGAAAAGAGCTAAGGTGATCATTGATATACAAAATTTGCTTTTATCAAGATCTATGGCACAATTATATTGATATTTTTTACCAGATAGAGTTGTGTATAAATTTGTACATACATAAATGATTGATACATGGCCGATATGTTTGCGTCGAGCATTATAAAATAGAAAAAAAAATTACTGTGGACAATATAAAGCAAAAATTACATCTCAATGACAAATAAATCAATATGCCAATACGAAAAAATATTTATATTAATATTAATAGGCGATAAAGCGGCTTTTGAAAGCAATTATGTATGGTAACAACGTTATTAACGTTGTACGTACACAACCACGTATATCTATGATAGATTGAATTAGTAAGTTTAAGCGCACGATGTTCGCATGTTAATGTCGGCTTTCTTCAGAGTAATGTAGTTTGCAAGTTGCTTCGTCCGCAAACGAGACCATACAATATGATTGTCCAAAGCGTGGATTTGCGCTGCAGAGATTGCAGCAGTTTCCGGATACAAAGCTGTTGTACAACCAAGTCCTGTAAGTATAATAATAATGGGTTTAGGTCTCACAAAATTAGATTATTATAAAAATAATACTCTACGATATTTACCTGAGGGAAGATCAAGTGAAGACCACATGTATTGTGCGACACTGTCCGACTTGAAAGGTGGACAGTTTATGACAGGCAAGGTAGTATTGCCAGAGAGTACTGGACCTAAGCCGTTACTGCGACCGGCCACTGCTATGAGCACCACCTACGTAAAGAGAAAAGTAAGAAAAACTTGCGATAAACCGAAATAAATAAGTCATTTATGGCTATCAGCTTTTTTTATCGTAACGAGTTTCGTGACTGAGACATGTGTACAATCGAATAACAGACCACTTCGAAGGGTCAATACAGGTTTCGATATAGTTATCCGCTTGGTATACTCGTTATCGCGAATTAGTAAACATGGTCAATGTTACAAGAGCCGTTAAGTGTTATACCTTTTCTTTGCAATTCTCATATTCGGCGATGATATTTAAGGTTTCCTTAGTGCTCTTGTGAGCGCTACAAACTCGGAGTTGCGTTCTCAGACCCAATTCTGCAGCGTATTTCGCAATCTTTCGGCAGTGTTCCTCGTCGGACTTTGAGCCCATGAGTATGACAATCAACGGACTGGGTTGTGTGAGACAGTAGTCCAATTCGTTCGCTACCCACTTGAAGTTAATCTTTACTTTCTCCAAATCTTCTGGTTTCACCTCGCGCAAGTCCCTGTATACCTAATGATACGACAAACAAATTAGACGATTATAACCAATGCAACTTTGACGAAACTGTTGATGAAACTCCTACCTGTTTGTCTTTCATTAATCTTTTGTCTCCAGCAGGCCAAAGCCTCCAAGAGTCACTATCGATGATATCAGCAACTAAAATCTCTCCGTTAGTGTCTACACCGAATTCAATCTTCATGTCTATCAGAGAACAATTACGGGTAGCCCAAGCTTTTTCAAGAACCTCAAAAACAAGGAGAGCAATGCTCTTCATGATATTCAGCTGATCCTTTGTTATCTTTACACCACCCATTTGGAAATTAGCAGAAATTATTTGCTGATCAGACCACTGTGGATCGTGATTAGCATCATCCTTAAAAAATGTTTCTTGTAGGGGCGGATTGAATGTGTATCCTTCTGGGACTCCTATAAAACGATTAAAAATTAACTATGATTCTGACTAACAATTCTGATTTGTTACTCCAGAGAACTAAATGTACATTCAAACATACCTGGATGTCTCTTGAGGAAACTACCAGTCGCCACTCTTCTAGTGACCCATTCAATAGGTATCATGTCACATTTTTTTGCTACAAAAGATTTCTCAGTACCAGCACTAACAAATGCTGTCTTAAGACCAACTTCAGACAGCAGCTTGAAAACCTTTACTGTAGTGGCTGTGCTGATTTCAGCTTTCCCTTCTAAGTCATGAGCTTTTGCACCATCACCTGCTGTAATACGGTCCTTGCTTATTAGCAAACATAATGAAGGATCAGTCAAGAGTTCATAGACCTTCTTGGTCTTGCCCTCATTGATAAGTTTCCCAAGCTTAAATTCACCAGACATATTTGCTGTAAAAAAAGAAAAATATGTTAATATATTAATATAACAAAAATCCGAATTTTGTTAGTAATATCCTATTACTTTTTGATTTTGGAATAATCATAAATATATAAATGATATCAATTTGATATCAATTTTATACATAAAATCCATTATTATGTAGTACAGACCAATCCTATAAAGAAAACGATAAGAAGCAAACACTTTCGCTGAAGCAACAAGTGGCTGCCGACATTTTAACAGCGTGTTAGTCATTACGACATCAACTGATGATATTTAAAGTAAACGTATTCTGCTATTTTATACAGAAATGTCGTAGATATATATCGATAGGTAAATCAACTAAGTTAAATTAAAAACGATTTCGATAAAATTATAACTGTAACTTAGAAATTACTTTTTATAACGAGAAATCTGTTTTGATCCTTCAACCTGGTCTAACCTAACTTTGAATAATTCGTAGAATCTTTTCGCTCAATCTATATGTAATTCTATGTGAATACACAGAGGTATGTGATTTATTTATATAACCGAAGTTATCGCTCCGAGCGATAGAACATAATAACTGCTTCTTACACGTTATTAAAACTCACCATTCAAGTCGCCGCTTTAACGTCTTCTATTTGAATAAGTTTCGGCCCGGTCTTCGGGTATATGTGTTTCTTCAGTGCGATCCCCACTACATGGAATGCACCAATCGACCAATTAGCTCGAATGATCCATGATTATCACACATTTTTTTTATTCGAAATCACATGGATAAGCATCGGTCGGTAAGGGCAATTGCAGTAAAGATGTTTCGTAAAATCGTGACGAAAATATCCACGCTCCACAGATATGGTGTCGAATATGTTTAACGAGTCAGTGTGCACATAGAAAAAATTCCAGCGCGATAAGCGTCCTAGACCATCGACGATCAGCGAGCACATTGGCTACATGATAACACTACGATGATTCGTAAAATTCTTTACGGACATAAATTCGTGACATTTCTCGTGGCGAATGAAAACGTATCCAGTTAATTTTTCCTTGCGATCACGGGATTTGTTAATTGGCTATGTCATACTTGTTTATACTTGAAGTGAGTACATTTCCAGGCGATCAAAGAGATACGATGAACAAGGGAAGAGAAAGTTGCAAGAGAACGCAGTGAATATTCGAGTGAATAATCATCAAATATCTGTTTCAGGACTCGTTTCTCTCACGGTACTACATTCTTTTGTTACGACCTTCGAACTTCATTGGTACCTGTTGTCTGGCAGACTCGAACCTACCTGTCGTATCTTACAAGAGCACAAAAGGTACATTTGGAAGATATATGCACTCAAGCAAAATTACCTTACTACAGATTTTATTTAAATTACTAGATTTTATTTAAATTACTACAGATTTCGAGTCTGATTAAGCCATAATACGCGGTAATTTATGATAACAGTTTAGTTTTATCGCATATCTTCTATGGAATTTTAGGACATCATTTATAAACAATGTCCCCAATGATACGATTCACGATGTTAGAAAAATAGATACGGAAAAGTACTCCCCGGTGATGGAATAAAGACATCTTTCGTCTATTTTCATCGAAGATAAAATGTCTATCGTTGTTATCACGACTTGTGTTTCATCGACCTGAAATACGGAGCAAGATCACCAAAAAGATCCATCATTCACGGAACTTGCTGTGGCTTTAAAAAATGGATGCACACGTGAGAAACAATGGATAATACACGTAAGCTCTGTATAATATATGTGTAATACGAAACCCCATCGAATGATTCATTCCGAGATCTCGACGTCAATGTTCCTTCACGTTATCACATTATTACGATGTGGGAATATAATTTTGAGACGCGAAATCATGACGCAAAATATTGTTTGGTGATCCGTGCAGTTGCATAATTTTCATAGTCAGTGTGTACGCGTATATATCATTTAGGATGACAACGGCGATCGCGTGATGACGGAGCGTGAAGGATCTCTTTTCTTCGGAAAGATACGCATTCTTTCGCGGGACGTCGAGTGTACCGCTCTTCCACCTTCTCATTCCCTTTTTTACAGGAGGAAGCAAGAGATAATAGGTCGACCAGCAGCCCCTCCGAGCAACAACGGTTGTTCCTCATTGGCTCGCATCGCCGTTCGCGCCATTCGAGCTTTGGAACGCGCAGCGAAGCACATTTTCTTACGGACAGACGTTTATTCAGCTTTAGCACGTACTAAACAGACGCTGGACGCCTCATACGGGACGTACACACACGTAAGTACGTGCACTGTCAATGACTATGTCCCTGTGTTGATTTCTCTTCTTTTTTTTCCTCGTCTGCCGCTTTACTAATTTCTTCAGCAATTTATACGCACGTTCTCACAGCCATGCGCGTCAATCGTTCTTTCCCGAGTATATTTGGTGTAATCTCTTCGTAAATTTTTTCATTTCTTTTTTCTTGTAAAATAAAGCGACCGAACCCCGTACGATAAGTTGTAAGAGCGAAAACAGATTCTCAAGCATCACTGAAAAATTCGACTGTGGTTGAATGTACATGGATGTTAATTGAGCATGAATAGACTAGATTTGAACCATCATACCTATCATACTGTTGAAGGCCGCCCGGTGATTTACGTAGCCTTATAGAGCGCAGAAAAACTAACCGTTTATCAATGTGTGATATTTTATTGTACTCTCACTATTTGCTAATGTACTACATTTGATCGGAAAAAGATCTTGTCCTTCCTTTCTTTTACCGACAAACAGTCTCTCGATTCCACATGGATTTATTAATTAGCTTAATTAATTTATTAATTAGGATCTATTAATTAATTTATTAATTTATTAATTAATTATGGATTAGCTTTTTCGGTTGCAGAAAAAAAATGATTATGTTTATGATTAATTTGTTCATATGTGATACAATTCAACAAAGAAAGATAATTTTACATTTGTGTCCGTGTTGCAGTTACCCCACAAAAACAGGAACGTTGTATCTATGTGAAATCCATGTGGTTTTGTAGATTCTACGTGAATGCAACATGCGTTCCACGTACGTGGACTCGACGTACGTTTTTGTGGGGTAATAATTTCTGCAAATAAAAAGATTTTATCTATCTCAGTAAAATATTATTTTGTGATCTCTTGTATGACGTATAAAGATTAATTTGTTGTAAACGCAAGTACAACCACTCTGTATGTTCTGATATTCATGATGTCAACACAGCATAAGATGATGAAATCAGTTGCGAAATCCAGATTGAGCAAGCATGACGAGAAAACATAGTTGTAACATTCAACAACAAGCGAAAGATGTATCAATTCTATCAGCTTGCTGGGGGGTCAATAGTTTATAGGGGCATTACAGATAATATGCAGATAATAATTGCGAAAGAAGATCTATTAGAATTATTTCAACAGAATGTATAATGTCTAATTTATTCAAACCGTACAAAAGATTTCTACAAATTTTGATACACATTCACAAAATTTTTATAAATTTTGAATATAATACACACAATTTTACATTGTTAATAATATCTATGAGATTCCATGAGAATCTATTTTATTCCATGATAAATCATGGTAAATGTCACAATATTGCTTATCACAGACTTTTCGACTATCTAATTTCAGAAATACCGATAATAAGGCAACTGAATTGAGATAATAGCGTGTATTTACGATTATTGTGCCATCTTTTTTTGACCTCACAATATGGTGACATTTATGTTGAGTCATTTATCACAAAATTTACTGCAAAAAATAAACGAGAAAGGTAACACTGTTTAATTTCTTCATTGCAGCTTGCACTATGGAAGTGAAGTCACACGACAAAGATACCAAGCAATGTGCTGAAGCAATGTCTCGCTTATCAGTGAAGACGAAATGCACGAGATCACATAGCAAAGGTGAGAGCAGAGGTCAAAGACTCACTGGTCTCACTCACGAATGTGGCGTTTTCGGATGTATCGCTGCGGGGGATTGGCCATCGCAAATCGATGTGGGCCAAATTATTTGTTTAGGTAAATCAATTTATGTAAATGCGTTCACTTCATCTAATATGAATTAGTTGAAACGTTATCAGAAGAGAAAAAGAGATCATATACAGAGTACAGAATGAAGTAATTTGAAAATTAAATTCAAATTACAGGGCTTGTGGCCTTGCAACATCGAGGGCAGGAAAGTGGCGGCATCGTAACAAGCGAAGGAGTCTGTTCGAAGTCATTCCACGTTCACAAGGGTATGGGAATGATCAATAATATCTTCAATGATGAAAATATGAAAAAGCTCAAAGGGAATCTCGGAATTGGTCATACCAGATACAGTACGAGCGCAGCCAGCGAAGAAGTCAATTGCCAGCCATTTGTGGTTCATACTGCGCATGGTGCATTGGCAGTGGCTCACAATGGAGAGTTAGTAAACACAGAATCACTCAGAAAAATGGTAATATGGAGTAAGAAAATTTATATTTCTTCTTTTTGTCGGTTATCTCCTTAATTTATTCGATACCAGCATTGCTGATACTTCGAGTACTTTTTCTGTCTGTTATATTTAATTCCAATCTCATGTGTATATTCAGGTATTGGGCCGAGGGGTCGGTTTGTCGACGCACTCGGATTCCGAATTAATAACACAAGCGCTCTGCTTGAATCCACCGGAAGGTGAAGTCAATGGACCGGATTGGCCCGCGCGTATCAAGCATCTCATGCAATTAGCACCGTTATCATATTCCCTAGTTATAATGCAAAGGGACAAGATTTATGGCGTACGAGATCCTTATGGGAATCGACCTCTGTGCTTGGGGAAAATTGTACCTATTGGCAATTTGGGTGCGCATCAAATTACCAGACTTGGTGTTTCGATTCATGAAACTTTGCATCATACGTATATACTTTGCACTATAGTACTTTACATTTATTAATCAGTACTCTGTTATTAAATTCTCTATTTCCACATGAGTGCGAGATATAAGATAAACTGATTCAATTATAGCGAGCAACGAATCCGACGACGACGATGAAGCTGAAGGCTGGGTTATTTCGTCGGAATCTTGCGGATTCTTGAGCATCGGTGCGAGATACGTTCGCGAGGTGTTTCCGGGTGAGATAGTGGAATTGACGCGAGAGGGCATCAAGACTATCGACATAGTAGAAAGGCCGAATAAAAGACCACAGGCGTTTTGTATATTCGAATATGTTTACTTCGCAAGAAGCGATAGTATCTTCGAAGGTAAAAACATGACTAATACAAACGCAAATAAGACTTTGACAAATAGAGACACGCAGCGTGTTTTTATTGCACACTAGGGCAAATGGTATATTCCGTACGTATGCAATGCGGACGAGTATTGGCAATGGAATCACCGGTAGAAGCAGACATAGTAAGCTCTGTTCCCGAATCAGGAACAGCGGCGGCTCATGGCTATGCCAGACAGGTAAATATAATAATGAAATTTGGAACTCGGACATTTATATGTGAGCGAAGATGGACGAACGAACAATTTGGATGTGAAAGTTAACGAAGCTAACGAAAGTTAATGATCTGACGAAGTTTCCTTTGCATTGTAGTCAAAGATCAACTTTGCAGAAGTGCTCTGCAAAAACAGATATGTCGGACGAACGTTCATCCAGCCAAGCACGCGACTGCGTCAACTTGGTGTGGCCAAAAAGTTCGGAGCTTTGTCGGAGAATGTAAAAGGAAAAAGGATTATCCTGGTAGACGATTCTATTGTCAGGGGAAACACGATCGGTCCAATCATCAAATTATTGCGCGATGCAGGTGCCAAAGAGGTGAGTTTCTCACTTCAATGGATACTCTTGCTCTCGGATATTTTTGTCTTTGTCCTTCGCTTTATTCTTAATCTTGATTTAAATATGGTTATATTCATTGTTATGACAATCGTATTTACAGGTTCACGTTAGGATAGCATCTCCACCGCTCAAATATCCATGTTACATGGGTATCAACATTCCGACGAGAGAAGAACTAATTGCGAACAAGCTTGATAACGTAAAATTGGCCAAACATGTGGGCGCGAATAGTCTAACGTACCTTTCCGTGGAGGGGCTCGTTGAAGCAGTCAGATATCGCATGGACAATCGCGAAAGTAATTATATTGGTCATTGTACCGCTTGTTTGACAGGAGAGTATCCCGACGAGTTTCCTGGTGATCTTGACTGGTGAAAGTGCAAGACGTTCGACTTTATTTCTAGGAATAAACAAAATATAGCTTGGACATAGATAATTAGACCAGAATCATGTTAATGTTTTTTCATATGAAATCTCACAAAGTGGTTACAATGTACGTGCATGTAAAAAAATAAGCATAGATATACTTAAATAAGTTAACATATTGTTTTGTATAAACGGACTGTACTTGGTTCAATGCAGTATTTTATAACTACATATTATTTTGTACGCGCATACACGGGAAAATATGAACTTTTAATCATGTGATTGTATATGATGCAAGTAAAAAAAAACAATAGATTGTTCCTCAAACATAAATATTTACTAATAACAACTAAAGATACAAATATTCAGTGAAAACTGGAAATATTTGATTTATTTGAAGTCTTTTCTATCAGCTTTGTCACTTCAGCTTGTTTAATATATAATTAATTTCTAAATTAATATATATATACATAGACATATATTAATATATATATACATAGACATAGTTAGAGGCTCAGCAGTTTTGCAGACAAAACAAATATTCATAGTACAAATATATGAAATATCTTAAGTTGTATCTAGATTAATGATAGAATAAAAATGAAATATATACAAAAGAATGTATAGCTTCAACGATGGTTACTAATAAAATATTTTATACTTTTAATATGGAAAGAGAAAAAATATAAATGACATCGAAACTTAATAATATATGGAATTATATAAAACATTTATAATGTTAATCACAAAAATAAGAGTATAAAAGTAAGTAAAAAATTAAGATGGTTGTTTGTGACTCCGCTCACAAATGAGCGAAGATACGCGGATGCTGGAACACCCTTATCAGAAGGATCGGAGTCAAGGACGATACTAGACTCAGGTCTCGTACGGCCTATTCGGGTCGTAAATCCGTGCCGAGAAACCCGAGAAACACTCGTGACAGATTCGTTTACGAGCGTTAGAATGAAACGACCTTCGTCGTTTCGGATGGCCTGCCCTTCCGGACTAAACGGCCTGCAATCTGCTACGTTCCTGAGAAGCGTGGAGATGCACAAGAGAACGCGCTGAGCTCGTGTCACGCGAGAGGCGACTTAGGCCCAGTTCCATAACTTGCTTTAAACGGAGTTTAAACGGAGTTTAAAGCAAGTTGTGGAACTGGGCTAAGGCCCAGAACCTAAGGGCCGTGTTCCTTTTTTACTGTCAGTGCTGGCAGCATTGCAAATTTGTTCCGTTATAAGAATGCAGTGCGCTGAGGCAGCACCTAGTTCCATCAATGACGTCATAAATGGCATTCATCTTTGCACTGCCGTTACTGTGGCTGAAGAGGTGAAGCAGTTGTAGTACGAATACTACAAACTACAAACATGGCAGCGACCGGTTCAGTAGAAAGGTTAGAACTTCTAGATGCTGAAACAAATAAAACATACGTAATGTATATTGATGTACAAGATACGGATAAAGCCCACAATGGTAAGTAAAAGTTATTTAATCAAACTTAACTTGAAATATATCACAAAATTATTTCTGTTTGTTATAAATAGAATTGCTTTTTATTATTTGATCACAGAGAATTTCTTATACAATGTAAATATATTTTATAGATATGCACTATGCTTATAAATTATTACAACATGCAAAAAAAAATGCATAAGAGTCAAGTATGTAATATTGAGAAAAATCCATTTGATGTTACTGATAGTCTGCAAAGTATTAAATAGATCAATTTTATTAGTTTATTTCTTGCTTTGAATAATTTTTAACGTTAAATGGATTATTATTTTTTATGTTAAATAATAATACCAATACTTACAGGGGCGTCTAGTGATCAGTTTGTACCACTTACCACTTGCCCTTCACCACTTGCAAGTAATCACCATTCACCAAAAGCTAGTATATCGCATGTAATTAGTAATGTGGCAATAGATGAACAAGATGGAGATAATATAAATGGTTCAGATTATAATGAGCTAAATAAATCGTCAAATAAAGAAGGTACGTTATTACATATAATTTTTATAAATCTAACCTTTTATCTTTATCTATAAAACTATTTGTATGTGCTAACATTTTAATGTCTGTAATATTAAATATGATATATTTTTATATGTTGCAGATATTTATATCTGGAGTAAAAAAGAAACATTATTATTAATAAGTTTATATAAAGACAATGTGTGCGTTTAGGCAAGACACCGCTACTGAAGCGCTACAGCTTTTTCGCTACAACTGTAGCGGTAAAGTTAGTTAGAATGGAATATAACGCTACAAATGTAGCGCTATACTCAACGTATACTTAACGTTATTGATGATTTTAGTTGGACAGTGCTACTGTATATAATCTCAAACGAAACATCTCATTTGGACACAATTGGTGTCACTCGCCTAAAAAATGGCAAATATTGAAGATTGGCTCATGAATGAAATATTGTTGGATGAAGATTTCTCAGAAGATGATGATGAAATGCTTAGACTTATTTTCCTTGACTTTCAAGGTAAGAAAAAATAGATAATTTTGTAACAATAATTGTGAAAATCTGTAAAGAATTCAAAATTTGATGATGTATTTATTTTATAGAACAAGAAAACGATCCCGATATTCTGAATATCTTTGAAAATGATATATTTCGTGACATATATTTTCGTGAAAGGCAAAATGAAATAGTAAATTTAAATTATTTTGAAGAAGTAATACCACGTTGTAACGGAAACCAATTCCATGTGCATTTTAAAATGCATCGAGGAACATTTATAGTAAATAATAAATTGATTAATATTTATTATATATATGAACCATACCCCACGAAAACAAACGTTGTGTCCACGTGAAATCCACATGGTTTTGTGGACTAATGCAATGTACGTTCCAGATGAATTCAACGTACGTTTTTCTGGGATAATATCCTGCTGGTAGTCATTTTGAGTAAGTGTAATAGCTGGGTAGACCCAATATTTGCATTTTTTATAATTGATTCTCTTATTTCAGGAATTGGAAAATGTAGTAAGACCTTTGATGAGACAAAGAGAAAATGATGTATTACTTTCGAAGAAACTGTTTAACATTGTGGATATAGCCACACCAGAAAGTTTTCGATCTGTTGCTGATAGATTTGGCCTTTCCAAAGGTGTAACTTGGAAAATTTTTAAAGAAATGATTTGGATATTAAAAAGATGGCTGCCACATTTTATAAGATGGTCAAATGATGCGGAATGTAAAGAAAGTGAAAGAGTATGTTATTTTGTATTTTCCACTTTACATCCTAAAAATATAAAATAAAAGTTACGTTACATTAACGTTATTATTTCTCACTCAACAATGTAACTGTTACATAACACACATGTTATGTAACAATTACATTGTTGAGTGAGAAATAATAACGTTAATGTAACGTAACTTTTACTTGGTATTTACTGGGATAGTATTTTGAATACGTCTTAAAAATTTAAATTGTTTCAGGCTTTCATTATTTTAATCGTCATTTTATCTATAATAATATTATTTCGCACCTATTAACTGATAAATACTTCAATATTTCTAAAATTCAATTGTCTATTTCAGATTTTTGAAATTCGATCAAGAGGATTTCCAGGCGTTGTAGGAGTTATTGATGGCTGTCATATCGCAATTAAACAACCGCTTAGGAATGCAAATGATTACTATAATCGCAAAGAATTTCATTCCATTATTTAGCAAGGTAGAATTTAAATACTTTTTAAATACTTTTTTGTAGGCAATTTTAGCAATGATTATATTTTATTATAGGTGTTTGTGACCATACGGGGAAGTTTATAGACTGTCTCATTGGTCGGCCTGGATGTGCACATGATGCAGCAGTTTTTCGCAGCAGTAATATTTATACTGCACTGACAGACGAAGCAAATCCACTTTTACCTCCTCGACGACACATTCTTGGTGATTCCGCATATCCATTGCTTCAAAATGTGACTCCATTTCGAGACAATGGAAATTTAACCCCAGAAAAGTCTACATATAATACTAGACTTTCCTCAATACGATCGATAATAGAGCGTACATTTGGATTGCTGGAAGGAAAGTGGCGAAGGCTGAAATATCTTAATGTACAAAATATTGAAATGGCAAATTATATTGTTGCAGCTGCATGCATTCTTTACAATTTTCTTATATTACATAATGAAATGAACATGACAAAATTTAAATATTAACATTGAGCATGAAGATTATAACAATGATGAAGATGATAATAATGATGAATTTCAAAATGACAACGGGCGAATGAAAAGACAAGAAATTGTAAACAGGTTTCAAGTAATGCAGTAATGCAAAGAGGTTTTTTGTAATGCACTAAAAAATTTAAAATCCAATCACCAGCATAGACTAATGCGTTATAAATTATGTCTTGATCTCGAAATATTGTTTAAAAAGGACTTGAGATAATAAATTTTTTGTATAAATGTAACATGTAATGATATAATAAACATTTTTGTATGAATACCAATGTATTAATGTACCAATTTGAAATTAGATAGTAAGTTTTATCCATGGAATATTTAATACATTTATAAAAAAGAAAAGAATATTCTTAGTTACGTAAAAAATAAGAAATTACTCAAGTCTTAATCTAGTAAAAAAAATTAAAGTCAATTAAAAAATAAAAGTTTTTTTTGTTTCATATATTTTTATATTTACAAAGTATTGTTCTTAGATTGTAATAATATTTGTAATAATTCATTTCTTCTTTCTAATATGCTATTTCTCTCCTCAGCTAATTCGTTTTTTTTTTCATATGCAGCTGTTATTCTTTCTAATTGCTTTAAAATCATATTTTTAGACTCCTGCTTTTTCTGTATATTTTCTAAAATGTTAACTTTTTTCAATTATAGTTCTATAAGTTTATTTCTTTGGCCAACTTACAACTACTTCTTATAACTAGCTTCAAACTGTTTCTTAATAATTTTCAAAAAAACAGGAATTTCAGTCGAATTTGCGATTCACTAAACTGTAATGAGTATTAAATGAGTAAATAGGAGAAATAAACATCGAACAGCAGAATAGTTAAAATAAATAAATAACTGAAATAAATCAATCAACGAAATTAAGACAAGCCAATAGGAGCCAACGCCTGGAAGTTAGTCGCGCAATTATTTTTACGAGTTGGCTGGATCATCCTCCGATCTTGTCTTAGTTGACTCGATCACTCCGACCTTATCTTAGTTGGCCAAATCATCCTTCGATCTTGCCTTAGTTGACTAGGTATCTTATTTTTAAAAAACTCACTTTTGACTTGACGTCAAAATGATTTTTTGTTTTATCTGGTACAATGATCAATGGATTATTACAATATTTAAAATAAAACATAGTGGGTACTAAATAAACCGAGAAATAGTCGGACACATTTTATTCTTTATTATTAAGATATTTTATAATTATATTTTGCACTACTCCATACATCGCTTTCACAATTTCTTATTGTTTAGACAATAATCGTAAAATTCAGAACAATTAAATTCTTTATAATTATATTTAACCATTAATAAACTTTTCACCGAGTCAACAGTAAACCTATTTCTTTTATCAGTCCATTGAGCGTTCATCATACTGAAAACTCTTTCTACGTTTACATTGTGGCTCGATAGTTGCGCAGAACCTCTACGCATAATCGATATTCGCGCACGCGGCACTCAAATGCTGTGAGTGACAAAAACGTCACCGAAGTCTGCTTTCTGGTCATTTATATCGACAAAGTATAATTAACGTTACAAAAAAAGAGTATATACAAGAGTACGATATGTAAAAAGCAGAGAGTACTCTTTTTACCACCTTAAAAAGAGTATATATATTCTTAAAAGAGTACATATACTCTTAAAAGAGTACATATGGTCACCCTATTCCCGAACAATGGTACAATTTGTAATATTTCCATTTCAAAATTGCTTTATTAAATTTAGCATCATATAAAAGATTCTAAAATAAGTATATAGAGTGATAAGAATATATTGATTTAAAAAATTGGTTACTATTTCAAATAAATAAAATTTTACCCTGTTTATATATTTTCTGCTTCTTTTTTACTTTTAGATGTCCCAGGGAATATTTTCTCACTAGATTCTGAATCTGGTACTGTGTCCTGAGATATTTCTTTTTCTGTAATTTTTTGTTTCTCCAAACATGTACTTAACTCTTTTAGTTTCTCATCACGTAGTATGCTCCAAAATTCAAGAGCTGCAATATACAAAATTAACCTCAACCTCAATATGTTTATAATACTTAAATACAGACAAACAGACTTTATACCATCTTGTTGATACTTCAGTGGTACTCCAGCTTGTGATAATGCGTTAATATTTGGAATACAGTTGCTGATATCAGGATTGTCAAAGAGCTCTACTTTAGGTTTTGCAAAGACCCGTTGCATCTTCAGTAATTTTCTAGTTTTAGCAAAGTATTTTAGAGTTGGAACTTTATCAAATATAATATCATCCACGTGTGGATCGTCATCTTTCTCAAAAAACATATATGTGCCCACAGCATCTTCATAAACACCTTCATAATACTAAGAATATGAAATAATTAGAGGTAAGTAAATAAATTATAATTTATGCTCCTTTTATCATTTGTGTACCAAATATATATGTAAGCATCATTCTTCTTTAAATACAACATACCCGTCCATTGACCTGCATTATTGGATGTTCTGTATCTAGTCCTATCATATCTAATTGAAGATCTTCATTAGAAAACATATTACTGCCTACAAGATCCTCAAATTCCACATAAACCAGAATCTCTTCTTCGTCTTCAGACAAATCATCATCAGATTGCATCCTTATTGTCAAATATTACTTGTAACTTCTGTGACAGACTATTTTAGCATTGGACTATGTTGGCTTTACCTGTCTGATACCACTTAGTATTGTGAGACATTTCATATAAATCAATATTAATTACATAAATTAATAAATGATATACTTATTACATCATATAAAATCTACAAATTTTTTCAATTACAATAAGTAAGTCAAATTCAACAGACTATAAGTTTGGGCAAAATAAAAAAAATAATAATAAAATGATTCAAGGAGCATTTTATAGCTTGAATTTTTATTTTACATTTACGTTTCTGGATTCAAGGTTTAAATAATTTTTTTCGATGTTACTTGGATCTAAATCACAGCATATGAAATGCTAACATTTTTGTCAAAATTTCTTAAGTTGATATTACAGTGTAATTTTCACAGAGTTATTCAATGTTAGATGAAAAATAGCATTTTAAATTTAATCACTGATAGAAAGTGAACGAGTTATTATATGACACTTGTTAAGTGATGAATAAAAAACTAAAAGTTTCTTCTTTAAGAAAACATTTATCATATTTTTGATAATTGTTAATTTTTATTGTATACATTCAACTGAAAGACAAGATTGAAAATTAGACGCCATTTCTTATTTAAATCAATATCATGATGATTAATAAAAATAATATTATCAATCTAATATTTCTGGAAAACAAAGATTTTAAGCTTAAACTACTTTCTGAATCATTCTGCTAGCATTATTCTTACCAAAGTTATAACTTATTACTGCACACGTTTCGATATAACCCTCCTCGCTCAGTTCAATTCAGTTCTATATATATAGGCCTGTTCGTTTTGTCTGCATTTCTGGACTGGTGCATTAAGTTAAAGTGAGACACATGTAGGTTTTCTCACTTTAACTTGTTGCACCAGTTGCAACAGTGCAGACAAATGGGATCTGTTCTTTATAGCTGCACTACTGAACTAGTGCAATAAGTTAAAATGAGACAACTATATTTTTTCTCATTCTAATTTATTGCACTAGTTCAGTAGTGCAGCTATAAAGAACAGACTCATGGTCTGTTCTTTTCAGCTGCACTGCAAAACTAGTGCAATAAGTTAGAATGAGATAACTATATTTTTTCTCACTTTAACTTATTGCACCAGTTCAGTAGTAGTGCAGCTAAAAAGAACAGACCACTTATGACTCAAGCCAGCGGCACACGGTTGTTTTCGTGCTGGATTGCTTGCTGGATAAAAATACTACGTTCTGATTGGTGCATTTCCATCCATCTTCGGAAATGTACCAATCAGATCACAGTATTTTCATCCAGCAAGCAATCCAGCACAAAAACAAACACCGTGTGCCGCTGGCTTTAGACTGCATTCAGCTTTGTCCATATGCTATTTTCCAGTAGTATGAAGATAAGAGAAAAACGTTCGTTCGTTTGGTATATGGCTTGCGACCTGCAATAGTTGCTAGCTGTATTATTATGAGCGTAGCTAAAGCAATCGGTATTATCATTGCTCTTCAATTACCTTCGGACCTCTTCGAGCCCCTTTAGTTGATACGAAAATTTATCCAGGGCTATCAGTCTTTATATTACCTCGTCGGTGCTAACGTATATGCCAATTAAAGGAGGAACTTTGTGTTTTCAAATAATATAAATTTCATATTCTTTTTACACGATATAACTCAGCGAACGAATCAAAAATTTTAGATTGTATTAGATGAGTCCACTAGCAAAGTTCACTACCAAAAATGTTGAAAATAATCGATAATTTCAAAATTTTATCGATTCTGAGAATATTGATACATCTTTTAATCGATGTTTTGCATGTCAATTACTTCCTTCAACATTGCCTATCCCTGATGTAACGTCAACGTGGCTACCAACGGTGACGTGTTCGTCACATACCACGTGGATACACACGCATGACACGTTGCTCCGTATTCTCCGCGCTGTACCACCAGTGTGCGTTCGAATCGTCTCGTAAATACGGTCGTTCTTCGTATCGTAGCTGTGCCTAACGAGTTGCCTGTCGACAGTCGAACGTCTGTACCTGTAGCGAGTGCATTTTACCAGAACCAACATCATTGAGAGATACTTGGCACGTTTTCCAATAACTAGTGGGACCTGCGGATTTCATCGAACGGAATCTTTCCGTAGATTGTTTACGACCAAAGCAAGGAGAACAATTTTAAACCATGGTGAGTATGCATCCATTTGACAATTGTCTGATAATTACAGATATATGCCGAGAATATATGTCATACTTGGAAATTGATGTTTATTAATTTTTTTACTGTTTTTGTTTTTCGTGAAAAAAAGCCTGCCGCACCTAGTGCCGCCTCTGTGGGCTCCGTTGGACGTTCGCCCAGTAAAGCGATAGCGCCGAGAACAGGTGGCAGCGGTGCCGTTAGACAAAGGAAGACTGTGTCGGCGAACAGTGCAACAAGAAATAGGAGTACGGGTACGAGCTCTGGAAGCATGTGGAAATTCTATACGGACGATTCACCCGGCATCAAAGTGTAAGTGGAATTTCAAACCTGATACATTGACACGTATCCCATATGTTTCTCAAGCTACTAAGAGGTACAAAATTTTGTACTATTTAATCTTGATACGAATGTCAAAACGAGATACTTTACCTAATTAAAAATTGCATACATTTAATTGCATTTTGTTAAATATTGCAATTGCAGAGGTCCTGTGCCAGTACTTGTCATGTCCCTCTTATTCATCGCATCTGTGTTCATGCTTCACATCTGGGGCAAATACACTCGAAACTAAAATTAAATATCATATATTAAGAGCGGACAGCAAAGCCAGGAGGACCAGGAGGCACTAGATGATGCGACTGTGAGATGAATTGATGCATCAATATTAACATAATTGAACATATGCATCTTGATATGTGCGATATAATTTAATACGTGTATTGTAAAATGCGCGTGTATGTTACTGAGCATATGTGAATGTATATCATTGCGGGAACTATCATAAGATCATTACAGAGCGTTACATATATCATTGCATGATAGAAATATACTGAAGTTGCGGAATATAATAGACTTATAATGGGAAATACTTCTTTTTTAATAATTCCATGTTTATGTGTATTGTGTGAAAAAGTATGAAAGTACTTAATTTTATTAGAGGCCTGCAAAAGTTTGTCTGATCATTGATAACTTTATTGGTTCCAGAAATGAGTTATTTTACAGATAATTATTCGAGCAAGCACAAAAAGTGGAGTGAATAACAACAGTAAATAGTTGAAGTAGACAATAGAACACAGAGCATATTATTGTTGCTATTAATAAAAAAAATTTGCTAAAAGTCTGATAAACTTCTACAAGCCTCTAATAATTTGTAATATTACTGTTATGAGTGTATGGTTGTTAAAGTAAATATGACTTATTTTTATCCTGTAAACATAAACGTGACAAATTTATTCTCTCCCTTGCTCTCTTCTTTACATTAGTTTCTTTCCTTTCATATTAAACGTAAGCAAATAATAGTAGCCTTTTTAATTAAGTAATTTTGATAATTGATAATATGTATATGTAATTCCTGGAGTTATACATAAAGTTGCAATTAAGCGAATTGGGCGAAATTCTAATCATCTTGAAAATCTCAGGTTTATTTTTCCCTTGAATCGAAAAAATTAAATGCCTTAAACGTTTTGTAAAAAAAGTATAATCTTTTCAAGTTTTCGTATTATTTAATTGGTAAATTCATCCGTTTTAATCGGATTGAGCGTCGCGTTGAGCATCTTGATGTAATTACGATGTGTGAAATATTCTCTTTACAAGGGAGGGAGTACAATAATCCGTTAATAAGTAATTAAGATTAATGTAATCAGATACATCTATCTATATAATACCGTAGTAATCTTTTATGTAATAATCTTGTATAATCTGTTATGGTTTATTAAGTAATTAATGCATCAAACAATCCCGTCGTTAAACCGTTTATTGTCCGCTTTATATACGAGGCTGCAATTTTGCAAATCGGAAAAGCATAAATCGCATGCAGATCGACGCTTCTACCTTCACGAGAAGCTTTTCGTACCGTATCTCTTCAAACGAGCATCTCCAGCGAGGCGCCGGCGCATGTAATATTGATTACCAGCGCGATGGACTGAATTTCAATGCGACACTCCCGAACGAAACGGCACGGGACAACGAGCATTCTGAGACGGTCATGACAAAAGAGTATGATAAGGGATGCGATAAACACATATCAAACGAGTGGCATCAAGATTCATAACCGAAAATCGCGAACATGCCTATCGCCTATCGAATATCGTATGAGGGTGAGAGAAGACAAAGGGGCAGAATGAGAGGAGGGAAAGAGAGTATATCGAGGATAGAAAGAAAAGGAAGGAGATGAGAAGGAAGGGTTGAAAAAGTGAATAAGTCGTGAGATATTTCGATTCTTTCCTTCGAGTCCAGATGTGGTATGATTTCGATTTAAGATATTTCAAGAGAAATAACGTTTTGTATGACTTAATACAATGTAATATATATATATATATATATATATACACAATTTCCTCCGTATTAATTATCAATGAGATGAAAACACTCGGCGAAGCGAGAAGCGCGTGCGCGCCAGGATTTTCGGTCCATTCGATATACGTTCAGAGTATCAGAGGTATCCCCAAAGGATAATGTCAAAGTCGACCTTCCTGCCCGACGAGGTTCTACCGAGGAACATGAGGAGAAGAAGAAGAAGAAGAGCAGGAGGAGGAGGAGGAGGAGGAGGAGGAAGAGGAGGAGGAGAACAACTCGGTGAGCGTGTGCGCGCATCGTAGGAGGAGGGATCGCGACAAAGAGGGGAAGTGCGCGGGGCGCGATTCCGCAGCACAGCTACGGCCAGAGGGAGAACGAAAGGGCGGAGGAGGTGAAGCAGCAGCGGTGCATCACGCGTTAGCTACGCCGTCGACGGGCAGCAGAGCGCGGGGGTGCAAGCATCCGCGGAGGAGCCGCGACGAACTCGACTCGCACACGTGATCCCGTGCGCGGAGTGCGCACTCGTTGCGGACTCGCGATCTTCCTCTTGTGCATGCATACGGCTTCGTGCGCGTGTTCCTCATCCGTCTCTCCCTCTCTCTCTTTCTCTCTCCCTCTCTCTCTCTCTCTCTCTCTCTCTCTCTCTCTCTGTCTCTCTCTCTCTACTCCTGCTTTCGCGTCGCGTCGCGCCGCGGAGCGAGGCGAAACGTCGCCGTCAGGGCGGGACGACGACGCGCGTCCAAGGACTTCATTCACGAGCGCGACATGCGGTTCTCCCCAAGAGAGGTAAAGACTTCCCTGTGCCACTCTTCTTCTCTTCTCTTCTTCCTTCGCTATTCGCGCGAGCCCGGTCACAATCGCGCTCTCGCGATACGGTGGAAGCGCGTATACGCACACGCGAGAACCCTTCGGACCGTGAGACTTCGATTCTTCCGAGACTCGTTTCTTCCTTCGCGGTGTCATGAACGGAGCGATGCGTGGTGTGTGTGTGTGTGTGTGTGTGTGTGATCAGTAAAAATTCGATGGATCTGTATGTATTCAGATGGCACGAGATCGCGGAGGTTCAGTCCTTCCAAGTTGTATATCGGAAGCGAGCGGATGTGACGAGCTGATACGGACGACGGGAATTAATTGTCGCGTTACGCAATGTCGATAATAACGTCGGATTGCGAAGGGCCGCGGTGTTTAAGGACGTTTTTTACTCGAGGCGCGTGATTATTGTCGTCAAGTGCTCATTCGATTGCTTCCTAAGCACATGAACGTTAAGCTTTTCGATGATAAAAGTAAAATTACGCGCGCTCACACACACACACACACACACACACACACACACACACACACATACACACACACTTACACTCTGTAGAGACGTACATCCTGCTTCGTTTCGTAAGAAATAGCAGCTGTCGAGATAATTTGAATTTGTAAGTTGCTCTCGCTGGACCGTTCTCAAATTATGCAAAATCTCGCTGCCAAGAGTGTGCAAGACTGTACTCTCTATATCGGCGATCTCGATACTTATCCGCCTTGCCGATATTACGTAACTTTGCAATCGATCGGGATCTCCATTACGGCGAGATCGATCGCCAAGTATCGATATAGGCGGGATCAAACGCGAGAAGCGCGGGAGGGCGCATCCGCGATGCACCTGCGTGTCCTCCGCAATGCGGAAGTTTAAAGATGTAATCAGCGATGGTGTATACCGACCGCGTTAATACCAGCGAACACGTGCGTTATTATTATTCTTGGAGCGGTCGACTGAGATTAATTCGACGATGGACGGAATCGTATTGATCACACGTTTACGTTACACGCCTCCAGCCGCCTCTCGCTGTATTCTCGCGCGCGTGATTTACGCGGAAAACGCGGCGGAAACGGCGGCGGTATTTACTCGGGTTACTTCTCCGCTGTTTCACGACGCCGAGGGTTTCCTCGGAGTGAGACTTCGCTGGCCGGAATCGTGGGAAAACATTACGCCCAGAGAAAAGTAATTTCAGAACAAGCGGGATCATCGAGATTTTTAGAGGATTTTGTTCTCTTATATATATAGCATCAAGAGGATTCCTCTAAGATTAAGAGGAAAATGTTATAAACATATTATTCTTAAAGTTAGATGGATTATATGTTATGTGCATAATGAAAATCTAATTAATTTTAATATAAATCTCCTCTTATACACAGATTATTTAATCTTTTTTTAAGAGGATTATTATTTATTCTTACTGGTTATACTAGTTAATTTGAAAAAATTATTGTAATATGTAGCAAAAAGTAATATATATATATATATATATAAATTAACATATATAATAATTAATATATATTAATAAATAATATATATATAAATTAATAAATAATATTAATATTAAATAATATTAATATTAATATTAAATAATATTAATATATAAATTAATAAATAATATTAATATATATATATATATAAATTCTTGAAATAAGAAGAAAATAGTTAGAATGATATCGAATAAATTTTAGATGAATGGTTCACTTTAATCGCTTTATCGAAAGAGGAATCCTTTTTCTGTAAAAGGTTTCGCTTAGAATATGAAACCTGTGGGAAAAATCACTTTAGAAATAGAATACGTTTTTTTGGGTTGTACAAAAAGCGGAAAATTACACAAGAGCGAATTCAAGGCTCTTTTTAAATTGACTGAAAAAGAAATAATTCTCCGACCTGAACGGAACGGAGTCTTCGTTCGCTGTGACTTCGAGTAATCTGGAATGGATGAAGAATTCATTCCGGGTTACTGGAACCTGGGGCGAGTTAAGAATTCACTCCAAGTTCGAGTCAGACATTCAGTCGGCTCTCAGCTCCGTCAAGTGAAATCGCTTCACTCGAGGGAGAATTGAAGGAAGAGTAAGATTCCACCTAATTGCAACAATATGAATGCGTTTCAGAGCTCGAGGTAATTCGTCGTCCCGAGACGATTGACATCGTTCGCGGCGCGTGATCATGGCGGTTGATATTCTGGACGAAGATCACCTGGCCGTGAGCGCAATCGTCACGGTCGGTATGCAACTGATCTTCTTCACGATCGCCGCCACCTTCCAGTTGGACAAATTGACGGATTTCGCCGGTGGCACCAACTTCATCATCCTCGCCCTCCTCACTTTTTTTCTCGGTCAAGTGGGCAAGGTACTCTAATATTATAACTAGCTCCCCTCTCGCTTCACACGTGTGGCGCACGTGTGCACGTGCACATAATGTCGTCTATAGATAAAATCTCGGGAGGATCGGACACGACACACTCGGGATTTCATTTGTACAGGTCGCGAAGAAGCGCCGAATATAAAATAAATACAATCCGAAACGTGTACCGGGGGTGTTTCAGACCACCCGATTTTTTCGTTAACGCGACATTTCAGAGAAAAATATTTCAGACAAAAGTTGTAGGGCTTCAAAGGATCTATTTACTGACGCTATGAATTTGACCTTGGGATAACCCTGAAAAGTTCAGTCAAGATCAACATAAAAATCTTAAATATAGATACCCCAATTTTTTATTACATCATCTTTTTCTAGCAATTAATTTGAACAACTTTTGTCTGAAGCAGTTTTTTATTTACCTAATATTTTTTGAGATATTTAAGAAAAACTCGATAACTTTTTCAATATTTAACTCACGATATCTCGCTAACTATTTGTCAGAAGAAAAAGTGGTACTAGACTTTTTTGCTCTATTTAGTCTCAAGAATATATTGTTCTGATAGCGCCCTGAATTTGGTTAATTTGATGATTTTGAAATTTCCAAAAATCAACAAGTTAACAAAAGTCAGGGCGCTATTGTAAAAATATATTCTCGAGACTAAATAGAGTAAAAAAGTCTAGTACCACTTTTTCTTCCGACAACTAGTTAGCGAGATATCGTAAGTTAAACATTGAAAAAGTTATCAAGTTTTCCTTCAATATCTAGAAAAATATTAGGCAAATGAAAAAATATTTTAGACAAAAGTTGTTCAAATTAATTGGTGGAAAAAGACGTTGTAATGAAAAATCGCGGTTTCCATTTCAGATTTTTATGTTGATCTTGACTGGACTTTTCAAGGTTATCCCAAGGTCAAATTCATAGCGTTAGTAAATAGATCCTTTGAAGCCCTACAACTTTTGTCTGAAATATTTTTCTCTAAAATGTCGCGTTAACGAAAAAATCGAGTGACCCGGGTGGTCTGAAACACCCAGTATATCCTCCGACTCACTTCAATGACTCTTCATCGGCCTTTCGCACATGAGCCATTTTTTATATGAATTAATTACACTTCATATGTAACTGGTGGTGTAAAGTTGATCATCACCAAGCTCAAGGTGTTGAGAACTTGTGGACGTATCAGTACCGATGCTTCTCTCACGTATTCCTTCTCTCACGCAGACGTACGACAGCCGACAAGTCATGGTGACGCTGTTCGTGTGTGTGTGGGGCGTGCGGCTATCCGGGTATCTCTTGTATAGGATCGTCAAGATAGGTCGCGACAAGAGATTCGACGATCGTCGCAGCAACGTCATCCGCTTCGCCGTGTTTTGGACATTCCAGGTGAGACGACGATCCGCAAAACGATGATGGTAATCCGCGACGACCCGGCAATTGATTCGCCAACTTTTTCTTACGAGATCGACACTGAGGAGAACATCTCGATCGTTTCGCAGGCTGTGTGGGTGTACGTCGTCAGTCTGCCTGTGATAATTATTAATTCCCCGCGTCACAAGATACCGCCCGCGCCGAAAACCATGACGACGCTGGACAGCGCCGGCACCGGACTCTTCGTCATCGGTTTCTTAGCCGAGACTTACGCCGACCTGCAAAAGTTCGCTTTCAAGCAGGACCCGGTGAACAACGGGAAGTGGTGCAACGACGGTAGGGAATCGCTGGTGATAAATAAACGAATGAATTACATCATACATATCGCACTCACGTCTCTCTCAACATCTTCAGGGCTCTGGAGGCTGTCGCGGCACCCGAACTACTTCGGTGAGATCGTGGTCTGGTGGGGAATCTTCGTGATATCCTTGAACGTGATCGAAGGCGCGGAATGGGTGGCTATCGCTTCGCCGATCTTCACCACGTTCATCATTTTATTCCTGTCGGGCATGCCGTTGTTGGAAAAAGCGTCGGATGAGAGATACCGGGAGTGAGTATATCGCTGAGGAATCTCCTTAGTCTCGCGCAGGAATGAGGAAGCTTACGAGCGCCCGTGTGATGCGTTCACGTTGACGAATGGGAAATTATGATATCGATGTTACGCTGCTATCAGTTACTGCCTGCCGTGTGTCGATTTTACGAGTGTTCTCTTTGCAGCAACGCCGAGTATCGCTATTACAAGCAATCCACGTCGCCGCTGATACCGATACCGCCGTCCATCTACGTGGAAGTGCCACGATTCCTCAAGTTCATCCTGTGCTGCGAATTCCCGCTGTACGACTCCCTGGACGTGAAGCCGCGCTCGGCCGTCACCGAGTCGACGTCCATCAGCTTGGCCGCGTCCACGTAGCTATAACCACACGCCGGACGACCGAATTCAGAGTCCGGCGTGCAGCTGACGACCACCGCCACAACCACGGCCAGTACAGCCTTCTAAGCGCACTCCACCAGCGCGTCTCGGCGCAGCCACGATAGTTCCCCTCTGTCTTGTCTGTCCTTCCCGAATACGGCTATGATCCTGACATGCTGATATTTGTGATCTTCTGGATACACGTTTGGTTTCCTCTTGGTGTCGGCATTATTCTCACAGGGTTGCTCGGTATGAACGTGTTCGAATGGGCGCTACTAGGTCGGTATTGGTGGATGGATACCATTTGAGACAGATCCTTTTCTTCGGGATAGAAGGGATCACTAAGGCGAGGTATTATTTTTGTAAGCAAAAGTTCTCACACCGCGACGGCCATTGAGAGAACGGGCGGTGCTTCTTCACGGTGACTTCTTATGCAGGATCGAATGATGAGAAAGAAGTAGAAGGAGGAGGAAGAGGAGGAGGAGAAAAAATTATTTTTGTAGCGATGTACGAATATATTAATGTAAAAGTTAGCTTGCTGATGACCAATTCGAACGTCTTTCCTGCACGACAAGTCACTGACGGTAATTTGCGCGTGTATCTGAATTATTCTCTTAAAAAGTGCAGAGGCTAGCAGCACGCGATATGAGATATACGATACTTCGTGCTCGAAGTGATAGCTAGATTCTGAGGGCACTCGCAAAGGTGTGTCATTCTATATTTGGCGCTCATTGAGGCGCCGGTTGAGGAATAGAACGAACGATGCGAGGATATGATACTCTAAAAGTGATCTCTGCTGACACGAGTTCTGTCATTCGTTTCTCATGTTTATTGTTGACTAACAAGTACACACATGTCTCAAGTAACGCATAAAACAAAATCTAAAATTGAGATTCGAACTCGTAATTGCGATAAGCCGGAGATGAAGCAAACAAATAGTTAATTCTCAACTTGAAATTTCGTCAATAGCGACGAGTTATAAAGTCGGCATGGATTATAATGGACAATTATAATAATTGACACTTGACACTGTGGATTCATTGAGGATAAAACAATTGGCTGAAAAGGCTAAACAATACAATACAATACTCTGATTCTTGCAATTCACAGCGAGATACGGTACAAGAAGAAGCAATACACATCGTGAAAAGAATAAGAGAATGAACGTAACTGAATTTCATCGCGTACCTCGTTACGATTGCTGTTTATTCCGTTAGTGCGTCACATAGGACGCTCACGAGGTAACGTATTAGATGCGATACACGAATACACGGTGATACATCTATTGTGTGCTACGTTACCGTCGTTTCTTTACCCATCATACATTCGGCTCAATGGATCGAATCATCAACATGCTTCCTACGATTAAGTATGCCCTTAGGAAAAATTAGAACTAAAAGTAAGTAAAAGAGGAAGAATTAGAATTAAAAAGAAGTAAAAAAGGGACTTCGATTTAGGTTTGAAATAGTGAAGTAAATTCGGATCGCGATTGTAGTGAACATAGACGTAAAGCAAAAAAAAAGAAAAAAAAATGAAAATACGGTTTATCTTATCGAAACGAAGCAACGTGTTTAACAATGTGTCAAGAGATCGAAACGAACCTCTATCTATACGTAGAAAGATTCGAAAGAACAGATTTGTCCCATTCTTGTTGAAAATCGAGGCTTTCAGTCGTATTATTGAGACTTTAGCAATATTAAACATATCTCTGTGCCGAGAATAGGATGTCCTTATAAAATACGAGATATTCGATGAAGAAAAGAAAAAAAAAGAAAATACAAATTACAAACGAAATCGACGATAAGAAACATACATAATATACTTGGGATAACAACTCAGTTTGACGTGACGAGCGAGGCAGCGATCCCCTTCGAGGATCGACGATTCAAATGTTACTTCTTCATTCTTCATTGTTATGTAAGTCTTCAAAGTTTAGATAATAAAGAATGATTGACTCCTTTAATGATTGTGCATTTTCATTTCGAATACGTCGGACGATACACGATATTATTTCAACGCAAATCACACTGACAATATCTCACGAGCGCGACGCGACAGAGATCGAACGGTGGATCGCAATGAACGCTTCAACGAATTCCATAAAGTTCGCTTTATATTTATAAACACATTTTATTTGTTCGTATGTATATCATTAATAAATGTGATATAATAATGACAATGAAATGTATAGCGCCGAGGATAAATTCATCATATTATAATAATATTATTAATATTCCTCTTACAATAATCTTACTGTAATGGGTGTCTACCTACTGTGCTTGCAACGTTATGGTTTTGTCCGAATGTTTCTCCCTCACCATTCATCTAGTTTAATATTATTTTATTCGTACGTAATAATCCATAATAATGTAACCACAGGTGTGTGTGTGTGTGTGTGTATATATGTGTGTGAAAACATATTTGCGACGTCCTAAGTATAAACAGCATCGTCCGCTAATCCTTTCTTTTTTTTTTCATTTGCCGTTTTTCTTTTACATGATACATAATCGTTATCAATAATATAGTAAGAGCTACTTAAATGTAATATATTTTGTGTCTTCGTGGAATATGTTTCAACTGCCGTGCGCAGCGTCGTAGAAAAACTTCAATTCCCGTTATACATCAAATGTCGATTTTCGATGCATGAAAGACACTTTGTATTACACACAAGGTAATTTTCTTTTTCCTTAAACGTCCGAAAAATTCGTATCAATAAAATACTTGGGCAGCACAGCGTTTCGAGTACCAAAGGAAAAAAGAGATCAAAAAATTACCTGTGCTTCTTCGCTAGAAAAAAAAAGAAACGTCGAGGGAATACAGAGCAAAGGAATTGCGGATGGAGAAAAGTAGGGGAAAGGGCGGGAGGGAAGGTGGGGAAGGGAGGGATTGGGAGAGAGGACGAAATATTACGACTCCACTATACACGAATGGCATCATCATCCTCGCGTACCTAAATTCGACTGCATTCGTCTACGTAATACACATATATCTATAATATACAAATAATAGTAATAATATATGCCGTCCATCGCTTATCGCGGTTCTATTATTCACTTGTCATCTAAAATATCGTCGAAAGACGATCGCGAAAGCGGTTCCCGTCGTTTCATATAAAATACACACAGGAATGAGTGGTCGCGTTAAAAGTAAAATTGATTGCGCGATCGATGGTGTGTGCCGGTTAATGCGGAACGGAATCGCGCACGGCCGAACGGAAGAGCGGACTGAGCTACTTTTCCCGCACGGTCATGTCGGTTCCATTTGCATTCCGCCACGTTTAGACTGTCCGGGAACATCCGTTGTTAGCTGGTCAATTGGCGTGACTCGAGTCCCGATTACTAAAAGAACACGAGAGAATTGGATTCAGTCAATCGATGACCTGACACTTATTTTTCACGCTCGGACATCGGACATGCCGTTTCTTCTGTTTTTTTTTCTTTCACTATCACTATTACAGTTAATATTAGCATTTTACTTTATTGTTGTAAATTCCTCTTAATATTACCGTTATTTAATATTAACGTATTATTTTATTAATATTATCGATAATGAAAGTATCGGGTCGCGTCGATGGACCGGCTACACACACGTGACGCATGATACCTTCTTCTTCGACGATTTCGATAAGACAGCCTCTCAATGATATATATCGTGTAAAATCTTATTATGCTACAAAATCTTTCAAAAACTCCGTTCAACGCGATGAGTGAAAGTAAAACACGCGATACACGTATGAACGTGAGAGACAAATCAACGCAAACTAAATCAAAAAGAGAAAAAGTCGCGTTACGTTGCGGCGGGGTTTGCACGCAAGGTAACTTTTGCACAGCAAGGATCATCGAGAGAAGCGAAGCGGTAGGACGCTCTTCGCCCGGAAGGTGGGGATCGGTATGCCGTCGCGCGCGCAACCCTACCCTCGCTTCTTCTTCCTTTTCACTTCTTCCTTCTCCTCCTCCTCATCCATCTCATCCGTAACTACTTGTATCTTATAGCATAAATTGCATTTGGCCACCGTCGATAAAGACCCCAGCTGCGTCAGACTATTGCAGTTCGTATATTGCAATCCTACGTTTCTAATGACTGTGTGAAATAGCCCTGTTTTCGTTTGTCCTTAGAGCAGAGAAGGGCGTGGGATAGAGAATAGTCGCTCCAGTCGTGTGTGTTTCGAGTGTCAATATGAAATAACGCGCGTGGCGCATTTGAACGTATATAAACGAAGTATTAACATTATACATGAGTCTATTAATATCTATACGTATAAGTAGAGAGCTTTAGTCCTGAACTTCATCTCTCTCTCTCTCTTTCTTTCTTTCTTTCTTTCTCTCTCTCTCTTTCTCTCCGTTTTCCCTCTCGCGCACACACACACACACACACACACACACACACACACACACACACACACACACACACACACGCACGCACGCACGCACGCACGCACGCACGCACGCACGCACGCACGCACCATGTATACGCACACATACATTCCTTTTCTCCAACTTGCCCTCTCTCTCCCTCTAAATCTCTCATTCTCTCTCTCTCTCTCTCTCTTTCTCTCTCTCTCTCTCTCTGTCCCTCTCTCATTCGTACACCCGCTATCTATCACTTCCGGCAACTCCCGTCCCTCTTCACACCATACTATACGTGCTCTCTACATCACATTCTCGCGTCTCCATAGTCGTCACATTCACACACAACCACGCGCTCACGCATTCACGCACACTCATCATGCAGATCATCAACCGCTTCTCTCCCTATCTTTATTTATTCGCCTTCGTACACCTTCGCGACTTCGCTTTTAAATCGCCTTGAAACGACTTATTACTTCCCTTCACAACGAGACCGCTTATTTGCCATCCTTCTCTTTTTCTTTGTTTTCATCAACCTCCTTGTCTTTCTCAACCTCTTTCTCCTCCTTGTCCGCCTTCTCCTTGTCGCCCTCCTTCTCCTCCTTAGACTCCTTAGACTCCTTCGCCTCCTCCTTGCCTTCCTTCTCTTCTTGCTTCTCGGGCTTGGGCAGATGCGTGTTCATGTCCAAGCTGGAGCAAATTTCATCCCAGTCCGGGAAGCATCGTTCCTTAACGCGCGAGCAATGGCCAACCAAGTTGGGACAGTTCTCCTGCATGTAGTCTCGCAGGCTGTAGGGCGTGTCTTTGTCGATATACAGAATTTGAGCGAGATGCGCGAACGCTACGACATCCATCTGCACAAATGCGAGAAATCAACGCTGTAAGACGGGGACTACTCGAACGAATCGCCCATATAATCTATTCTGGTCGTTCTTTCATCTTGAGAGCAAAAACGTAACTGCCAACGAAGAGGAAGAAAGGTCGAAGAGGAACTTGTGAAATAAGCGGCACATTGCACAATCATGTCTAGCTATTCGCATTCCGCAGATTCTGCGCGCCTCCATCGTCGCGATGAACGACGTTTGCTCTACTTTCGTTTTGTAATTCTGAAATCCGATCTTTTGAAATTTCAATGTTCATTCGGCTGAGAGATTGCAAAATCATTAATGATCGAAATAAGTGACAATTGTCGTGTCTGTTCATTTACTCGTTGCCAGATCTCGTTAATTTGACTTCGTCCGCCGATATAACGAGCAAGAATTTGGCTTTTTCGCGATGAGAGCTCATCGAGAGAGAGATGCATTAATACCGTTTCGTCCGTAGGCGGCACTATATACACTAACTGGCTCACCGATGTTATCGGTATCGAGTTACAAGAGACTACTGCTATTATTTACACAAGAGACAAAACATACCGCTAGAAACGCGCGCTGCTAAATGCGAAATCTCACCCTCGCGACGGGCGAGAGCGACGCATTAATAGATTTGAAACGCGGCATACTTACAGTAGTCGGCTCGTCGCCGAAGAAGAAGGGCTTGTCAGCGAGCGTGTCCGAGAGCACCTTGAGATCGGTACAGCCGAACTGGGACACTTCCTCCGGACTGTGCACGCCCATTCCCTGAGCCTTCACTTTCCTTGCACCCTGTAACCAATCCAACTACATTTCACTACAAACGGTCACGATGCTTTGTTCTCTACTCGCGTTTCGTTGCCTCGTTGCACACTACCTTAGCTACCACATTCATAGACATCTATGGTCGCAAGCGCAGCAGTTTGCACTCTAAGCGAATACTATGAATGATTCTAGGGATAGCGTGATTGTAACAATGTGATAACGAACTGTGATAACGATTGGGTGTAGCCAAACTTGGTCGAAGTAAAAAGTATCCCGAGTACGTGTCGGGATATCGATCGGCTCTGACGAGATCCACATCATCGGCGCATCCCGAGAAACGAACGTTTATTAAATCTCAACATGATTTTAATCAACTCGCACTTCGCGCACACGTAGTCATCTTTATATTCCATATTATCAACACGTAAACGAAACTGTCACACCTCGACCAGAATTCAGTAAAAATGACATGAATATTGATTATTCGACACCGAGAGAAATGGAAATATGTACAATGATGAGAGATCACACAGTCGCAGTACTTACTTGAAACTGGCGTAAAATGTGCATGTATGTACGTGTAAATTCGTTCATGATTCGGAAGAGATCGAAATATGGAAAGATCGAGGGGGAGAAAAACGTCATGTAACACAACGCTATAAATAATTATATATATATATATATATGTGTGTAGTTATGGAAATAATATGGAATATAACGATGAAGATGTGTGAACGGAAAAGAGAGGAAAACCTGCAGAGGCATGAGCGTAATTTATGTTATGTACGGTGAAAAACAATCGGAGATCAGAATGATAAAACGTGAGTTGATTGTTCGGTGAACGAGCCCAAGTTGCACGCTAGGTCACATCGAAATCACATCGAAATCGTAGCGAACGCCAAGCGAGACTTACCTTGCGTCCGAACGTGAGCTTAAAGAAGAAATTGAGGATAGCATTGGGAATACGTGATCCCAGGGCGAGCTGGAGATTGACCTTGTAGCCCTTGAGGACCTGATCCAGATTCTTCGTGCGCCAGCACGCGACCACCCAGACCAGGTGATTCTCGATCATCGATATCATGGCATGAGAAACGCTCCGCTGCTCGGACGTAAGACCGGCGTCCAAGTCTTTGCCGAACTTCTGACTCAGCTCCCGCAGGATGATCGTGCTGTCCGCGATCTCTTCGCCGTTCAATTCAACGAACGGTAGCTGGCCCTTCTTGGAGCGGAACTTCATCTTGTGATCGACATTCTGCAACAGTCGAGTAAATTGTTTGTCATTTATCGCACATGATTGCGCATGATACGCAGAAAGAGGAATTTACTTTCTATATTATATTTTCTTTCTTCCATATATTTTATCGTTAATTATTCTGCAAAAAAATTGACTCTGAGAAGGACGTTTTCGTCCGTTTGCTCAGTTCCGAAACTCAACTTCCATCGACATGTTACGATATTTACCAAATGAAACTGAGCAAACCAAGATATCTTGCATATGAAGCTACCGTAATTTTTCGTAAAGATGTATGTCGCAACGTGCGATAAATAATACCGCATTGAAACAGGTAGACACAGTTAGTATGTATACTCTCGCATAGCGGAGTACATGCTCTATTTATAGTCATACGCACACTGTATTAAATACATAAGTAGGATATTGTGGCTTTCACAGGTGAATCGGCTTATTATACGTAATCTGCGAACGCGTCATCACGCGTTGATGCACCAGGTATCTTGGATCTTGCGGTCCCCTACTCAATGGTAAATTCTTCGACGGATTCATGACGGCTCTAAAAAAGAAAAAAAAAAAAAAAAAAAAAAAAGAAAAAAAAACGTTTCTTGCCGAAGGTCCAAATCTTTTCCTATTGATGATATCGAAAATTCTCCCTACTTTTTTCCTCGCTGCTTACAAGGACAACAAAATTCTGTGCTTATCGAGATTACTCATGTTTTCTAACTCTGCGACGGTATTAACGGTACAATTGCGTATCATTACACCGAAAGGGCGAGCGCGCGACGTCGAATTTGATATTATTAAAAAAAATGTAGCACGGATGTCATTAAACTTGCGACCGAAGATTTCTTCGTGATACTTTGGTAGCGGCGTGTCTTCTTGTTTGCACAATTTACTACGTGTGGAGCAGTACTCGACACGCGCGAGATAGCCGAAAAATAATCGGTATCGTCGGCGAGTCGGACGCAAAGGAGAAGGAGCATTCTGATGCCCTGCAAAGGGCAAAAATGAGGGCCCGCCGACGAGCCGATGGAATTAACGGACGAGGTGGACGAATCGTATGGAAGTTCGCGCCAGTGAGTAGGTGGAACAGATACGGTGGAAGAGTTTAAGACGCGCACGCGACGCGCGAGAAACACGGAAGGAGAGGCGCGACAAAACGAGTCGGAAGAGCGAACTTGAAACTGGCACAAAAGGAGAGCACAGACGCGGTGTGCAGCCAATTACGGAGCAGAGATGTAAGTACGAAAAAAAGGAAACAAATAGAAAGAGGGAGAGAAATATTGATCACACAGTGCATAAAATTTAGGCAAGCTGCAAAACGACAGAGAGAGAGAGAGAGAGAGAGAGAGAGAGAGAGAGAGAGAGAGAGAGAAGGGGGGAGGAGCGAGGGAGGAGGAGAGAGACATATCACGTGTTAAAAGCATTGCTCGGAGGATTGTCGACACGGGGAAAACAATGATGCAACGCGGCGGTAGGGGAAGGAGAGATCCCATTGCTCCAGTTTTAACCCTTCGGTGTGACGGCGAGATCGATGAGAGGGGCTGTGGTATAGATGTGTAATACACGCGTGTCAAGCTGGCTACACCGTAACAGGATCTGGCGAGTCGACCGAAGGCGATAACTAACGCGCCTATCTCTCTCTCTCTCTCTCTCTCTGCCCGAATGAGTCATCTTTCTTCCCGGAGGCTCTCTATCTGTGTGTGCTCTTCTAATAATGCCTATTATACGTTATCTCTGCCGAATCTTTGGAATTTATTCGGACGCGGCCACCTTCGTTGTCGTGGACGTTCAGGGGGGTCTTCTAATGTGATCAGCAGTGTCCTTTTATCGAGGGATCGCTGAAAAACGCGTTATTTAAATCACGAGTTCTCCATTGCGATTGATGAGGCCTGATAACGAAGGTGCGATAGCAGCGATAGTGCCGGGGCGGGGCGGGGTCGCCGCGCGCTGAAAACGCGCCGCTCTGCGTCGACCTCGGCGCGGCGCGACGCTACGCGCGGCGGAGAAGCCAAAAGAAACGGACGAAGGGTGGCTGGCTGGCTGGCTAGCTGGATCGGTGTGTGCTGCAAGCGAGGGAGAAGCGTCGAGTACGCGCGGAGGACGATGAACTCGCCGCGCGCGCGGCAGCCAGCAGGCAGCTTCCGTCGCCTGGCAACGTTCCCCACTTGGCTACCTACCCCACCGCCGCATGGCCGGGCGCAGCGTCGCTCCGTTCGACACACCACGTTGGCTCCGGCGTATGTGCGTTGCGTCGCACGCTGGTGGTCGTGCCAGTCCTCGCCCCCCTCCCTCCTCTCTCTCTCTCTCTCTCTCTCTCTCTCTCTCTCTCTCTCTCTCTCTCTCTCTCTCTCTCTCTCGTCTCCGTCATTGTCGTGGTAGTCACCCTCGTTGATCGTAGTCGTGGCCGCCGTTCGCGCTGATATTGATCGCGCGGGATGGTGCTGCGAACGGCCGCCACCGTCGCCGTCGACGACGACAATGACGTCGCCGTCGCTCGTATGTCGCAAGGACGCGTATTATTGCCGAAAAAAGCCAGTCTCGATTCGCAAGGGACTGGTCGAAGTCGATACGCGGGGACACACGGAATAATGGATTCGCTGTTTGCACGGATGCTGGGTGCTTCTCCAGGGTCGGGGACTCGCGAGTGAGCGGGAGGGCGGGAGGGAGGGCGAACGCGCGCGCGCGCGCGCCGGTATCGATTGGTCTGGAGCGTCACAGTCGCGGGAATACGGGACGCGACGCGACCCTTTAAACGCCTGAAATATTCGGGATACACGGTCATCATATCCCGATATCTATACGCTCATTAGACTCCGCGAAAATTGCGAGCTGGAGTATACAAAGGATCCCTCCTCCCCTCTCGCCTGCTCTTCTCCTTCCTTACCGCGACGACCAGGTTGAGATACATTAGCGAGATACACTCTAACTCGATTCTTCCTCTGCCGTGCGACACTTTGAAACTTGATTATCAGCGGCTCTTCGTCGAGAATGAATACGGAATACACGCGGTATATCAGATAGCGAGAAGCTCGCGACAGATCGCTGTTGCTGCTTGCTTGCTTGGTCCGCACTTGCATATGACGATCCCCCTCGACGCTCGTTCTCTAATGGACTAGAAGCGTACTGTTTCCACAACGCATTCCGACACGACGGATGTAGTCGGGGAGATTCATCCGTACATACACACACACACACACACACATATATATATATATATGTATAATATACACCATATGTGACATAGATGTGTGCTGCATGACACGGTATAACCGTCTACTTATCACTGCCCACAGCAGCAAAGCCGCGGGTGATGATACCTGTATAAGTACGAAACGCAACGCGTACGATCGGCGGCGACGATGCGTTTCCATACAAAAACGCCAACTGACCGATCCTCCTTTCGACATCGCCAATTGTATGCTAAAAAAACAATATTGAAAAACCGCCCTCGTTCTTCCCTCGCAATTGTGAATCAATTTTCATCAGCGACGTCTGCAAACGGAAATAAAAAATAGCTAAAGTTGTGGACGCCACGCATGCATGCACGCACGCACGCACACACACACACACACACACACACACACACACACACACGCGCGCGCGCGCGCGCGCGGTATCGCGTTGCTCGGATCAAGTAGATTGCTAGCTCAGCCGTTTAATAGGTAATCCTTGGATTCACCTCGCCTACTACTGTATTCAAAGTGTTAGACAGCGTACATAAATTAAGCCATGCGCGACGGCGGAGTCGGTCGTGCCGTGCGCGTCGGCGCGAGCGTTGCGCTCATATACCCAGAGCTATTTTCCTTTCCGACACAGCGATTACACTTATCTTACGATATCTTGGGAAATAAGAATTCCCGGGTGAAATTGTGCCGGCATTCTTGGTCGTTTAGAATACGAGGGTAAACTCGAAGGTTCGGGCGCTCACAGCGGAACCTTAGCTCGTTAACTTTTAAACGATGCTGCTTAAACTAATCTTGTTTCTCTCTCTCTCTCTCTCTTTTTCTCTCTTTCGTCAGCTTTATTCGAAAATGAAGGAGCGCAACAATTTCCGAGGAGATAAATCGGGCGTTTTAATATCGGGACTTTTTCGACGAGTGAATTAAAGCCACTCGATGGTCCTATCGTTGCTCGCGCTGGACTATCGTAATTAAATCGTCGACCGAAATAGAAAAGATGCGATCTCTCAAGTTGCAACGTCAAATGCGCGCGGCACGCGATCAATAGACAGCCGGCGCGGCGCGAAGCGCATTTACGTCTCTCTAGCGGTAATCGGTCAAATTGGGAGAAACACCACGCCTCGTATTCATGGACGGTGAATTATCTCGACATTTAACTCGTTGTTTCTTCGAGCGTGACACCATAAAGTCGCACAATGGGGCCCGTTCATGTCGCGTAAACTATCTTACGAAACACGATAACTGCGTCTCTCTCTCTCTCTCTCTCTCTCTCTCTCTCTCGATATCCTTCCATACAATAAATAGCTCTTGAATAGCGCGCCTCGAAGCCGCCTCGAGCTAACGTCGCTGATTTTCGAAAAGAACAAGAAATCTAACGTAAACTAAACTTTGAGAGGAACATGTTTGAGGCAAACATAAATACAAAGACGAGTAAAAATAGATCCCGTCGTGGGGCATATGCGCGTCAAAAGTATGAGCTATTAAAAGACAACATTGAAAATATCACGAACGAGACTCTCGGAAAGGTTTCCTCGTGATTTCCTGTTCCCTCTTTTAGTAGGCGTGCCTAATTAAACCTTGAGCAGATAGGAATCTTAAAAGCTCCGTGAATCACTCCGCACATTAACGGTACAAACCGACTTATCGCGCAGCGCGGCTCCTCTATTATGACACGATTGACGTCGTCGCGGGTGACTGCGATTACGGCATCGCGGTGTATCGTCGATAAGGGCAAGCCCTATTCAAACGTGTACGAGAAAGGAAGGATGGGGGGGGGAGAGAGAGAGAGAGAGAGAGAGAGAGAGAAAGAGATAACGAGAGACAGCGTCGTCGCAT